TTACATTGCTGACTTTGTAAAATTCAGCCCAATCGTCTCCAAAATACACTGGGAGGCACTTCAAGACCGCTGTCCGGGTGGCAACATCATCATGGGTCTACAGATGAAGATGTGTAAATTACATATTTGCAAATTGCCAACCATAGCACAACATATTTTTGAATATATGCATTAATTAATAAAAATGACAAAATATCCATCTCTAGCTCATTAATTGGCAAGCATTTAGACTACATTGTTTATACTCGGATAGGACACCAAACTGTTTCAGTAACTTTTAACCCCCACCTTAACCGAGTGCATTTTCTCCAGTTCAGCTCTACCAAAATGTAAAAGTTTAAAGCCTCAAGGCCAGAGTAACGCCTCATTTGAAAGCTAAGACCTACAAAACTGACCTGATCTTTTTCATTGCATTGTTGATGTGTTGTCTCAACCGTTTGACATTTTTCATTGCTTTTTTGTCACTCTTTTGAGCCTTTTTTGTTGGTTATTTGTCACTCTTTTGTTGCATTTTTGTCACTTTTTTTTCAGTCTTTCGTTGTGTTTTTCAAGAAGCTTTTAGATTTGGGTAAAGCCAAATTGGATAAAATGTGCTTGGTTCAGGTGGGGGTTGAGAGATTAATCTCACAGAGGTAGAATCTTGGCCCAGACGCCCGCTATTGAACCAGTGGCAATTACATGTTTAAGGATCTTGCACAATAAAAAATGTCCCACCTGCTGCATTAATCATGTCCAAGTTGAATAAAAAAAATAATATACTTGCCGTTGTTTGGGTCCGTGTCAAGATTCCCTCAAGGGTTTCTCCAACCTTTCCCTTTTTTGCTTTGAAGAGCTCCAGTAGCCGTGGCACAAATCTATCCAAAGCCCGGAAAAAATCATTTGAGGTTTTTGCTGGCCACACGTGTAAATTCAGCTAAAACCTAGATCAAAAAATAGACAAGCAATATTTTGTAAACATGTGATGTTTACCACACACACTTTTTACATATGCAATTATTTACTTACTTGTTGCTTTGTAAATAGAGCTGGCCATCGTCCCAGCATCCGCTGAATTGGTGGTTGATCCTCAATTATTTCTTTGCGTCTCAAAGCAAATGTTTGGATCATAAGTTTGCTTATGAGTGGTAAATCAGGGTTCTTTTTCCTCATCTCATTTGCAAGAAGTTCTCTGGCCTTTTCCTGGGCTTCTTCATCCTGGCCCTCAGGGAAATTCGGCAAAAAATTTGTCTCGCTTCTTCTAGCCTTTTTGATAGTTTTCCCGGCTCTTCCTTCATCTTGTCCTTTTGGATTTTTGTTGCATAAAACATCTGCCATTCCACAATCCCGAAGTTTGGAACGAAAATTGCCCATTTTGAACTTCAAACTATTCACCCAGGCCGAGTAACCAGTTGGTGACCCAGGCTCACGGAGGCATGGGTGTTTGGAAATCAGAGCCTTGGCAACCTCTGTGTAGTGCCAATCATCAGGATAAGCTGTGTACTTGTATATCTCTTCAGCAAGTTTTTGCAGAATGTCATGCTTCATATCACGTGAAACTGTCATGCGTTTGTTGTCTCTCATGTAAATGAGGTTGCCTTGACGCAACCTGTATTCTATGTCCACCGAAAAATAAGGCATTTCAAATTCTGAAGGCCATGGATTGCTCCGTGAGGTGCTCGATGAGGTGCTCGATGAGGTGCTCTCAGGTGTAAGTATTATGGTATCTGCTGAACTGGTATGTGAATAGGCACCAGGTGAACCCAGGGGGGAATTTACAGGGGAACTCAGCGTTACAACTACACTGTCTAAATTTACTATCTTCACTGTCCCACAATCAGGTAGATCCACCATGTCAGTCAGGTTGCAAAAGTTATTGAAGTCTGGGTCTTCATAGTGAAGTAAGAAGTTGTAATCCAGATGTAGTTGTCGTTGTAACTGTGTAATGAGATCTTCCACTGATTCAGGTCTCCCTTGCAATCTCACTTTTCTAATATTGTTGTCCCCCACAATCACTCTGACTGGCCAGGATTGGTCCATATTTCTGTTGGGCGAGACACTGCAAATGAAAAGGAAAAGAAACTTACATTTAGTGAGATCATTTTGAAACTTGTGCAGTAGATTACTGACATTGAAGGAAAAATGTTTTTGGCAATTTTTAGGTGTAAATGGCAGCCAATATTTTTGCAAAACAAACAATGAATAGAGTCATGTTTATATTTATGGTCCTATTTTGTTGATTTTGGGATATTTTGTCATTTGCTAATCATGATTGAAAATATCTGTTCAAAACTCAATCAGGAATGATTACTTTTCTTTTTTTTTTAATCCCTCAGATAACCCCTCCCAAATCTTTTTTTCACCCGCTGTGTCTCGCCATATAGAGGGTTAACAAAAAATGTAACGTTTTGGGGTGACAAAGATTTTGCCCAGGACTTTATAGGCAGAGAGTGGGAAAACATCGTTCAAATCCTTGACCTGTGCCATAAGCAGAGAGCCAGTTTTACAGAGTTGGTATGACCGGAGGTGTTCATAATACCAGGCCAGCATCTCTCCACACACAAAAAATATGTCATTTTTTACAATGACTATATGCTGAATCTGGGCAAATTCTGGGAGCCCTGAACAACGACCTTTGCTCACAACCATATCGACTGCATATTTCACTCCATCCATGGTTACAGATCTGGCTGAAAACACAACTTTTGTGTCACCGTTTTTGGCCAACAGTTGTTGCTGTAAGTCCTCTGGAAATGAAGAAATCGAGATACTAGTCTGTCTGTCTAGCTCTACAGAAGGCTTAAAAAAGGAAGCAGAATCGAGATGATAAGCAATCATCTTCTGATGTCTGGTGGCTAATGTCAGAGGGACATTTCTGAAGTTGTGATTTTCACGTATGACTCTCTTGAAAAATTTGTGTTTCCCCTCGAACCTCATTGTCCACACATGGACAAGTGGACCAAAAACACGAATAAGGTGGGGATAATGTTCAATGAAATGGTGTTTTGGTTTCAGTTTGTAGTTTGGGAATACCTTTTTCAGTAGAAATCTATGTTCTGACACTTTTGTTTCCAGATAATGGATAATCTCATCTGTAAATCTTGTGGACATGGCCAACTCGAGAACATCTTTTAAACACAGTATCACCTCCCAGGTTTCATCACCTTCTGGGATGTAATGACCAACCATTAGAGGTAGGAGCCTGAGCAATGTCCAATTTTCATGGCCATTGCCACTGATGGTTCCCTTGGAATGAAATGTTTTTGGGATTATCTGAGGTTGGTTGGTTTTATCAGTATGGGAGTAGGGAAATCTCTTTATTTCATTATTCAGTGTGTCAAGCGTGAAATATTTCTTTTTGATAAGATCTGAAATGCACAGGTGCAACTCAGAAGGTATAATTCCTTCCAAGAGATCGTGGAGGATGTCTGGGGCAAAACCATTGACAACCTGAAAATGTTCCAGGCTTCCAAGTGGACAGTTTCTCTTCACTCCATATTCTTTTGCCATTTGAGGTTGCTCTTGGACTTCCTTAACATGATGTCCATGTTCCTCATTGGTCCTCATTCTGAAATGACCAGAGCTTACTTCATGATTTTGAATTTCCTCTTTTTCTGCCATGCAAAAGCGACAAATCTTGCCAGACACAAAGCTTTCTCGGAAGCCTGCTAAAGAGTGAGCTGCAAGATTATCTGCTGCAACATACAGCACTGTCCCTCTGATACTTGAGCCAAGCTTTTCCAAATATACTCCACTCTTCTCTAGAAGTTCTAAGTCTTGAAGGAGAGGCTGAAAGACTTCAGAGTACCCACACTCATTTACAGTTTGGACTTTACACATCAAGGCCAACTGTATAGCATTGAGCATAGAGCGAAATTTGTTTGCAATATTTAGAAGCACCCAGTATACAGCACAAATTTTGTACTTTTTTCTAGAGGTCCCAAGTGGATTGGCTACCTCAAAATCATCGATATAAAGACCCAAGGCAAATCTGCACTCTTCTTCCATTAGAAGAACATTTTCCTTGAATCGGGACCCATCTCTGTAGCAGCCAAATCCATTAGATCTCTCAACATTAAGGACTTTGTCTAAAATCTCATCTTTGTTCAACAAAGCTTCCAGCATTTTGATTATTGGCACGTAGACAACAGACTGTTTATTTTGTCCAACTATATACTCGACAGGTTGAACAACTTTGAATTCTTGTAACAAAAATGCCTCTCTTTTAAAGGTTGTCGATAGGGAGCCTCCATGTTGAGTGTGTTTCTGGATAACATTTTTCTCAGATATACTATCAAGTATTTCTTTAGCCAATGACAAGTCAGTGTTGTGCTTTCCAAGTATATCCTCAATGGCAGTCAACAATAACGGTTTAGACAGATCCATTATTTGGTTGATTTGATGGAATACATCTTGGATAGCTTTTTCTGATATGTTGAGCATCGTCCGCATTCTGAGAAAAAGACCAGCCAAATTATGTTTAAGCTGTAGCTCTAAGTCAGGATCACTATACTCATACAAGTCATCATTCCATTCATTTGTTGTCTCTGTCTGGACTGTATTCTCCATACCACAAACAGCAACTACAACTCCCAGTTTGTAGTCCAAATGTCGTTGTGTTTGCCTTTCTCTGTGTTTATTGGTTTTGTGAGCATTAAATGTTGCATACACACTTGTTTCAAATGAACAATCCTTGAAAGGACATTGAACTTTTTGGTTCATGCGTATGTGTGTTCGTAAATGGCTTAAGAAATCTTGCTCTGTACAGGGCTCTACAAAATCACAAATTTGACATTGAAACAAATGTTTAGGGGGATTTTCGACAGCACTATTACTGGTGTCGCAATGTGTTCTTGAGAGATGTATCTTAAGAGCATTAAATGATTTGAAAGTGCAGATACATCCTTCATGAAGGCATGGCACTGGAGATGTTCTTGTGTAGCCACCATGCTTAAGTCTGTAATGCTTAAGCAGCTGTCCTCTTTTTGGATAGGAAACTTGACAAAACTTACATTTCCACAACATCAGAGCAGTTTTTTCTTGCTTGGCAACCTGGAAAAAGAAATATCACAAGTTATTAGAATCCCAGTACAAATAATACAGCTTAATATCATCATCTTCTTTGCTTACATGTCTATCCAAAACACAGTGCATTTAATATGGAGAGGTAAGAATACAAAAGGTTTCATAGTACCGAGTATGGAGTGAATGAATAACAACCGCAATACAAGTGTAAGGCATTATTGTTATTACTATTATTCCAGCTATCGCTGCTTCTGTTCATTGATCAGGATAAAAGCATTCAACAGTGAAACTGACAGAACTTTGATGTAACTTGCAACTAACTAAGGACACTTTATCACTACAGCAGCTCACATGAAAGTACTTGAATTTGTGCAGTTTGGTTGCACTCTCTTTTTGCAAACAAACTATGCTATTGAAGTAGGGCTGAAACAACTAAGCGATTATAGTATTTAGTTTAAGATTATAGTAATAGTTGTCAACTATTTTAGTAAATCGATTGATTGTTTTCTGGTACACTCAGACTCAAATGGAACAAAAAATACATAAAAATGTTACATTTTTGATGGAAAAACTACTTTGTTTTTAAAGTTATGGTATGCAATGTTTTGTAAATTTTTATGTATCTCATTCAATCAGAAAACAGTATTAGCACCAAGAACCTTCAACAAACATTCACTTTAAGTTTAAATGTCCTACAGTCGTGTCACTTTAGCTTAAGTGGGAAAAAGTTTGAAAAAATATAATTTTCAAACACCTTTCACAGCTAACCGATTAATTATTTAAATCGTAAAAAATATTGGTAGTTTGATCAATTACCAAACTAATCGTTAGTTGCAGCCCTGAAGCATTCTGTGCTTGGGCAAGTTTTGAAAGCACAAGTGATTGCACCCGAGTTTCCCAAGACACAAACATATTTAAGGAAACATGGATAGCAACAACATTGATTTTTGCAACTTTTTAGTTTAACAATTGGGGCCCAAGCATATTTAAGATGAAAATTAGGTTACTGAAATTGTAAAGAGGACCAAACCGATTAAAAACTGGTTAAAACCAGTACTAGAACAAACCTGCTCTTGAACCACTCTCGAAGAGTCACTAAGCCTGACGCAAATGAACGGCAGCAGCTTGCTTCAGCTTCTTTGAGATTCTGTAAAAAAAAGAATAGAAGACAATTCAAAAAGTGCTTTTTTTGCTGTGAAAACAAAAGGACTAGAAGATGAAAATAGTGAAATTCACAATAATTAAAGTATTTCAATGTCAAATGATTTCAACCATGTCCACTTTTGTAAACAAATGCAGTGCCTTGTAATATGACAATCTCTCATTAAGAGTGGCAGGAGGAGGAAGTTATTTGGGCAAGCATTAAAACACATTACTAAATTTCTTATTACAACGTAATGTTTTAATGACATTTGATGCCCATTTGACTGTTAATGTCACAAAGACACAAAGTGCATATTTTAAGTACGAGGATTTGCAAACAGCATTGAAGGAAATATTTAAAATAGCAAATTAGAAACAATGAGGCCAATAATTAACACTGTAAGGTGCACAATTTTAAACTAAACAGCAGTTGAATATATTTTAAGGGCTTCTTCTGTCCACGTTTATGACAGTCCTATCATCATAATAAATAAGTTAAATCCATTAACTTATTTAACAACAAATTAAAACTTGAAGAATCTGTCTCAACACTGCAGCAGTTCAAAGAAACGTACCAACGACCAGAGCGAATGTCAGATTATGCCCTGCGTGTGTTTACCTGTGGCAATAGCTCTGCTTCCCAATAGAGTGTTTTCTCTATATGAAGTTATCTGGTGCGCGCATTAGCTGTTCTGTAGCGCGTCAGTGTGCAAACTAACCTACCTTCACGAAAGACAAAGTTTAAAAACAAATGCAGCAAAACCTAGGAGTCAACATGCTAACAAAATGTCGATCACCTAGACGCCTCCTTAACTGCGCTTTTCATAGCAACGCGTAGCAAATTGGAGCACAGACTGCGGGCTTACCGGCGCTAGTCCAGAGCGATCACACATGTTCAGTGCTTTGAGTTTTAAAACACATCAATTGAAAGCTGAAAAGCACAAACACAGGTCTTGGTCTTGGATGGTGTAAACATTTATGGACATAATGGCTCTATGTGTTTATCTTTTTCATCATTGCATTTCTTGTGTTTGAACTGTTTGATTTTTGTTCTGTGTTGGCAAAGAGTTTTTGTTAACTACTGTTGTGATTTAGGGCTATACAAGAATAAATGTAATTGAATTGCTGTGTATGGCAGTGTTTGTGGAATTGGCCCGCAGAAAAGGGTGTATTTTTTTAGGCGTAGATTCCAAATACACAAGATCCTACGTGGGATTTATGAACGTGTGAGATCCGCCCAGATCTGAGCACACGCACCTGCGGCTGTTAATAAGTTCCACCCTCAAAACTAGCGTATATATGAAAGTCACGCCTATAAATATTCAGAAACCGCCCGTTTCACGCTCCGTTTTTACGACAGGTCAGCATGGAAGTCGGCCAAGAAGACTGTTTGGAAGCTTCAAAAAGCTTATTCACGTTTGTTTAAAAATAAATATATGCTATATTATACATACGCGTTTTTTCCTATAGTGTCTAGACCCACTGCCGCACTCATCCCGCTTCTCTTCAACTTTCAAAGTAAATAAACAAATAAATAAATAATGAATGAATGAATGTTAGTATCTCATCATTAACCAGGTGAAGCGTCTGCGCGATCTCTGTGAGAGAGTAAGATACGTATGAGAAGCTTTTCGTCATTTCACAGAGTAACTCTGGATCCAAAATGTCTGAATGGTGTGCACCGCATTTGAGCAGTGATGCAGTGGGACCTGTCCTGACACCTGCTGCGCACTGCCCCAGAGCCCGTTCCTACAGATAAGCGCGTTGCCATCCTATCTCTGCTACATGTGTCCAGATTGATAAATGCCAAAAAGTGTAAATTTTTTGTGTACGCATCATTTGCACCCTGATTTGGCCATACGCAAGTTTCATAAATGAGGGCCATTGTGTGTACCTTGTCGAGTTCCGCACACAGCTCGTCCAGCTCCGCCTGAAGCCGCTGCTTAGTTTTCTCCAGAGAAGAGCACTTGGCCTGGGTGGCCTCCACGGCCTCCTCCGCCTCCTGGAGACGCACAGCCAGCTTCTTTCTAAACTCAACACATAGAAAGTGTGAAACAGAGACAGTTAACACATGAAAATGCGAGCACACACAAACACACATATGCCCACACACACACAAAATTTAAAAAGCCCAGATTTTTACTGTTATAGATGATGGTGAAAAAGTCCATCAGAATCAGTTGTGGATTAGATTTGATTTAATAAACAAAAATAATGGTAATGAACTCAACTTCTATGCAATTTTGATAGCTACCAAATAGCTCAATTTGTGTGAAAAGTTTCTCCCTCTGCTCCTGCGCCTAGTGTGTGCAGCTGTGTGTTACCTGGCCTCCTGCAGCTCCTCGGTGTGTTGCAGTGCGTCCGCCTCCTGCCTGCTCCTCCACAGAGACAGCTCAGTGTTGAGTTTGGACACCAGCCTCTGCAGCTCCTGTCTGCTCTCCTGCTCCTCCTCCAGCTGCTCCTTCACATGAGCGCTCTGCTGCCGAGCCTGAGCCAGAGAGCTGCAGAGGAGGCTTTGTTCTGCACACATACACACACACACACACACACACACCCACACAAATTCCAGTGTCACAGTTGCACACATCACATGACAAAATGTGCTGAAGTTTGAGCTGTATGAATACTTTTGCACGGTACTGTGTACTCTCTTACACCTGAGACGCCATTTCTTAAATGAGTTCATAGATTTTCAACCTCTAAACACCTGCATCAGACAGTGACCTGTGGCTTTTGGCAAGACGTGGTTTTATGTAGTGTGTATGAAGGACAGGTGCTGGACAAAAGCTGTGGCGAAGTGTGTTAGGAGTGAAGGAGCCACAAAAGGATCTGTTTTCTTTGTAAATTGAATTTTTTTACAGTTATAAATGATCATCATGAAGCACGTTGTGATCTCACACCTTGACTTCCTCATCCAACTGCTTGCGGAGCTCCTCCAGCTGGGATTGGACAAGAGAGTTGTTTCGGCTTGTCTGATTGGCTCGGCCCTCCGCCTCATCCATGCGCCGCATCATATCTGCGTTATCAGCTGCTCGGGTAAAAAGACTGTGTCAGGAACTCAACTCTCATACAGACTGTGTCAGGGGCGGTGATCTTATAGAGACTGTCATGGGCTGTAGTCTCATACAGACTGTGTCAATTGCTGTGGCCTCATTCAGACTGTGTCAGGTGCTCGTGCATCATGTGACTGTGGCAGAAGTTGCACATGTTCACTGTTTTGCATGTTTGGCAGATATAGGGAAAGCCGACGTCTCAGTCTTTATGTTGGGAGTGTTCGGCCTGTTGGGGGCCTGATAATGGTACTTTACAACTTCCCACTGAAAACATGCACAGCATATGAAATAAATGTTTGTGATCAGGATGTTAAAGCACGAAATGACTGGATTGACATCTGCCAGAGTTTCTGAGGCTCATGTTGTTTACGGTAAGTCATAGTTACTGAGTCAGAGCCAAACGTACCTTTTCCTAGCCACTAGGAGCCGCTGTGGGCCTTATGTGATTGTGCACTAATGAAGCTCAAGCGGATGTTCAGACTGAAAGACCGAGTGCCTGCCAGCCCTGAGCCTCAGCCAATCACACAGCTCTGCCAGCCTCGAGCCTCAGCCAATCACACAGCTCTGCCAGCCTCGAGCCTCAGCCAATCACACAGCCAGGCCAGCCTCCTGCCAACCCTCTCAGAGCAAAGCGGGCAGTTTAAAAGGCAGCCACTTCCTGACAAACAACGCTTCCTGAGGCTCTTAAATGCAATCTATGCAATGCTGCCTCCATGCAATGCATGCAATGCTGCCTCCATGCAATGCTGCCTCTATGCAATCTATGCAATGCAGCCTCTATGCAATCTATGCAATGCAGCCTCCACGCAATGCTGCCTCCACGCAATGCTGCCTCCACGCAATTCTGCCTCCATGCAATGCTGCCTCTATGCAATCTATGCAATGCTGCCTCCATGCAATCTATGCAATGCTGCCTCCATGCAATCTATGCAATGCTGCCTCCATGCAATCTATGCAATGCTGCCTCCATGCAATCTATGCAATGCTGCCTCTATGCAATGCTGCCTCTATGCAATGCTGCCTCTATGCAATCTATGCAATGCTGCCTCCATGCAATCTATGCAATGCTGCCTCTATGCAATCTATGCAATGCTGCCCCTATGCAATGCTGCCCCTATGCAATGCTGCCTCCATGCAAGGCTCCCACGCCTCCAGATAGGCAGCTTCCCACGGGAGGCCTGCGCATTCCCGGCACACATAGCGTGGCTTCCTCTTTTGGGGGATCTGAGATCATCTCAGCTGCAATCGATCTCATAGCTGCAAGTGTCACTGCCGGGGTCAATGCGCCAAACAAATAAATCATTTTAATGTATTTATCGTGTCTTTGGTCTCTTCAGATTGAATAAGGGGTAGAAATATATGGCACAGGTGCTGCTAAGTTTTGAGGTAAACGGTTTCTTACTGTGTCAATGACAGTGGAATTGTGTTGTGCTACTGTGGATTAATGGTCAGATGGGCCAATAAATAATTTGGTCTGCGGTTTGTGGAGACACATGTTGGAGAAATCCTTAAAGCTTGGCAGTCAGGAGGAGATTAATAAGCAAATATCTTCGCCTCCACATGTAACATCCATCCATCCATTTTCTTCCGCTTTATCCGTTGCCGGGTCGCGGGGGCAGCAGTCTAAGCAGAGACGCCCAGACTTCCCTATCCACACACACTTCCTCCAGCTCGTCCGGGGGGACCCCAAGGCGTTCCCAGGCCAGCTGAGAGACATCCCTCCAGCGTGTCCTAGGTCTTCCGCGGGGCCTCCTCCCGGTGGGACGTGCCCGGAACACCTCCCCAGGGAGGCGTCCAGGAGGCATCCGGAACAGATGCCCGAGCCACCTCAACTGGTTCCTCTCGACGTGGAGAAGCAGCGGCTCTACTCCGAGCTCCTCCCGTGTGACTGAGCTCCTCACCCTATCTCTAAGGGAGCACCCAGCCACTCTGCGGAGGAAGCTCATTTCGACCGCTTGTATCCGCGATCTCGTTCTTTCGGTCATTACCCAAAGCTCATGACCATAGGTGAGGGAGGGAACGAAGATTGACCGGTAAATCGAGAGCTTTGCCTTTCGGCTCAGCTCCCTCTTTACCACAACGGTCCGATACAGCGACCGCATCACTGCGCACGCTGCACCGATCCGCCTGTCAATCTCACGCTCCATCCTTCCCTCACTCGTGAACAAGACCCCGAGATACTTGAACTCCTCCACTTGAGGAAGGACCTCTCCACCCACCTGCAGAGGGCAAGGAACTTTTTTCCGGTCGAGCACCATGGCCTCGGATTTGGAGGTGCTGATTCTCATCCCAGCCGCTTCACACTCGGCTGCAAACCGCCCCAGTGCATGCTGCAGGTCCTGGTTCGTTGGAGCCAACAGGACAACATCGTCCGCAAACAGCAGAGATGAAATCATGTGGTCTCCGAACCGGACCCCCTCCGACCCCTGGCTGTGCCTAGATATTCTGTCCATAAATACAGTGAACAGAACCGGTGACAAAGGGCAGCCCTGTCGGAGGCCAACATTCACCGGGAACAGGTCTGACTTACTGCCGGCAATGCGAACACAGCTCTGGCTCCGGTCATACAGGGATCGGATGGCCCTCAGCAGAGGACCTCCGACCCCGTACTCCCAGAGAACCCCCCAAAGGACACCCCGGGGAACACAGTTGAACGCCTTTTCCAAATCCACAAAGCACATGTGGACAGGTTGGGCGAACTCCCATGAACCCTCGAGTATCCGATGGAGCGTATAGAGCTGGTCCAGTGTTCCGCGACCGGGACGAAAACCATACTGCTCCTCCTGGATCCGAGATTCGACCATCGGCCGTAACCTCCTCTCCAGTACCTTGGAGTAGACCTTACCGGGGAGGCTGAGGAGTGTGATCCCACGATAATTGGAACACACCCTCCGGTCCCCCTTCTTGTAGAGAGGGACCACCACCCCGGCCTGCCACTCCATTTGCACTGCCCCCGATCGCCACGCGATGTTGCAGAGACGTGTCAGCCAAGACAGTCCTACAACATCCAGAGACTTTAGATAATCAGGGCGGATCTCATCCACACCCGGAGCCTTGCCACCATGGAGGCTACCAACCACCTTGGTGACCTCAGCCAGGGAGATGGATGTATCCGCCCCAACTTCCTCAGCCTCTGCCTCTGTAACAGAGGACATGACGGGGGGATTGAGGAGAACCTCAAAGTATTCCTTCCACCGCCCGACAATATCCCCAGTCGAGGTCAGCAGCTCTCCACCCGCACCGTACATGGTGTTGGCAAAGAACTGCTTCCCCCTCCTGAGGTGCCGGATGGTTTGCCAGAATCTCTTCGAGGCCGACCGATAGTCATGCTCCATGGACTCTCCGAACTCCTCCCAGTCCCGGGTTTTTGGGCTCAGCGAGACTGCCTTCCCCAGCAGCTAGGACTCCTTCCTCACCCTCACTATCCACCACGCTTGCCGCCGGGTCTGACCAGGTCTGGACCGGCTTCTTCCCCTGCCAGCGGATCCTTGGGTCTGCCAGGTCTGACCGGCTTCTTCCCCTCACGGATCCAACTCACGACCAGGTGATGATCGGTTGACAGCTCCGCCCCTCTCTTTACCCGAGTGTCCGAGACACGCGGTCGAAGGTCAGATGATACGACAACAAAGTCGATCATCGACCTCCGGCCTAGGGTGTCCTGGTGCCACGTGCACTGGTGGACACCCTTGTGCTCGAACATGGTGTTCGTGATGGACAAACTGTGACTGGCACAGAAGTCCAACAACTGAACACCGCTCGGGTTCAGATCAGGGGGGCCGTTCTTCCCGATCACCCCTCTCCAAGTGTCACTGGCGTTTCCCAGATGGGCGTTGAAGTCCCCCAGGAGAATAACGGAGTCCCCGGGCGGTGCACCGTCCAGTACCCCTCCCAAGGACTCCAAGAAGGCCGGGTACTCTGCACTGCTGTTAGGCCCGTAGGCCGTCACAACAATGAGAGACTTGTCCCCCACCCGGAGGCGGAGGGACGCGACCCTCTCATTCACCGGGGAGAACTCCAACACGTGGCGGCTGAGATGGGGGGCAATGAGAATGGCCACCCCAGCTCGCCGCCTCTCCCCGAGGGAAACTCCAGAAAAGTGGAGTGTCCAACCCCTCTCAAGGAGTTGGGTTCCAGAGCCCAAGCTGTGTGTGGAGGTGAGGCCGACTATCTCTAGTCGGTATCGCTCAACCTCCCCCACGAGCTCGGGCTCCTTCCCCCCCAGTGAGGTGACGTTCCACGTCCCAAGAGCCAGATGTTGTGTGTGCGGACTGGTTCGCCGAGGTCTCCGCCTTCGACTGCCGCCCAGTCCTCTCAGCACCGCGCCACCACGGACCCCTCTGCAGGTGGTGGGCCCACAGGAGGGACTGCCCACGTCATCCCTTCGGGCTGAGCCCGGCCTGCGAGGGCCTGCGAGGCCCGGCCACCAGGCGCTCGCATACGAGCCCCGACCCCAGGCCTGGCTCCAGGGTGGGGCCCCGGCTGCGCCATGCCGGGCGACGTCACTGTTTTCATATTTGTGCTGTCCATGGTGTCTTCTGGACTGCTCTTTGTCTGACTCATCACCTGAGACCTGTCTGCCATGGGAGGCCCTACCAGGGGCATGAAGCCCCAGACAGCATAGCTCCCAGGATCATCCGAGTACTCAAACTCCCCCACCACGTTAAGGTGGCAGTCCAGGGGGGAGCCTGGATGTAACATATTTGTAACAAATAGCATGAATAAGAGCCGCTTTGTACCTGTGAGTCTGTTCTTGACAGCAGTGAACTCAGACAGCGCCCTCTGCAGGTCGTCTCCTCTCCTGTTGGCCTCGCTCAGCTGCTCCTCCATCTTCTTCAGTTGGGAGTCAGACAACAGCTGACAAAAGAGACAATTCAGAGTTCAAGTTTGACAAGGAGAATGATATTACACTATTAAATTAGGAATGTGTTTTAATCAGCTCTTAGGGACGGATTCACTCTAATATGATCAAGGCAAGACAAGTTTATTTGTATAGCACAGTTCATACACAAGGCAATTCAAAGTGCAACAATACAAGATGACATCATTACATTTCTTGTGTTCAGTCATAATTAATCACAGTACATTAAAGAGAGTAAAAAACGATTTTGGAAGTGCCAACATGTTTCCATCACATAGCACATAAAACAAGCCAGTAAAACCACTATAACCATGACAACGGTTAGCATGGATGGAAACGGTAATGGTAACAGTTGCCTGTTGGCGGTATGGCAATCACTATGGCAACTGTTACTGTGGCAACAACCACTATGGCAAATGTTGCTATGGGAGCAATCACCGTCGCAACTCTTACTATGACAACGGAAGGCCAATCTGGTGACTCTTGTTTAATGTAAATTCCTTGTCATAGCAACGGTTGCCATGCTAACAATTGCCATGGCAATGGTCACAAATGCAACCATTGCTATGGAAATGGTCTCAACGGCAACCGTCACTATAGCAATCACTACGGCAACTGTTACCTTGGCAACTATCACTATGGAAACAGTTACCATAGCAACCAACACATTACATATTTGTTTGTTTATTAATTGCATAGTAATGGTGAGTTTACTCACGATTAATCGCATTTTTAACATTCTATTTCAAATCCACTCTAATTGAGATTATCAAATGTAATGACACATTGTCATTCATACTAAATGTACTTAAATCTGTTTGATTTGCTCACAACCTTTTACTTTTGGGCACAACCAACATGAGCTGTTAATGAACGGGAAAACATACGTACACCAGCTTTAATTTAGTTTAGTGGCGTTTCAGGAGGAGACACGGAGGAGACATGGACACTCCCTGAGGCTCCATAGTTCAGCTTCAGCGGTGTATTTGCGTGCACAGGTTACGCAAAGACACAAACACAACATGCAGAGAATAGTTCTATGTGTGTATGGTCTTATATGACCACGTTCACCGTGTTGTTGTTAGCGGCTCACAGCCAGCTAACAACAACACATAAACAACAAAGACGCAAATGTCACTTTTAATTTAAATTTGGTTTAAGCAGTCAACTTCTCCTGTGAAACCGCACTGCTCCTGTGTGATAGCAATACCTTTCCTGTCAGTAAAATGACGTAGGCCGATGACACGTCCTGTGGCTAACTCGACAGCTAATAGCTTCCAACTTAAGAGTTTGTTTTTTTTTTCCATTATCAACCCAACGGGCCAGTCGGGTTGTCGACTGGGCTGTTTGCTGTCGAGTTAGCCACAGGACGCGTCAGCAGCAATGTGGTGTGTTTCGGCTGCCGTGAGAAGCGCATGCGCAGGTTTGCATTACATCATAAACAGCTGAGGGAGCTCATCTCAACGGGCACACCACTTTGACAGAACATCGGGAAACTCATTGAGCCAATGGAACGGTTCAACACACTCACTGACCCAGTTGATACAAAGCCTAGCAGTGCCGGAAGCGTCCGGGATGCTGAAATGTTTGTAACACGAGCGGCTGTATCAGGAAGACCCACAGACTCCGGAGCGTTGATATTGTTTTCCCATCACTAATATTTATTTATTAGGCCTTGTGCCCAAAGTTATCTTTATCCGCCACTGATTATTATTATATTGTTCATCTTAAAGATCTTTCCATAACCATGTAATGCCAAAGTAACCCTGGTCATCCTGAGGTGTTGGCTCAGAGGAGTCCTGGTCTCTGGTCTCTGGTACCTTGGCTTTGTGCAGCGTGTCCAGTGAAGCCGCGGTCTCCTCCAGCTCGTCCCTCAGATTCAGCTTGTCCTTCTCCAGCCGGGTCCTGGTCCTCTGCAGAGCCCCATACTGCTCACTCAGCTCGGACAGTGCTTCAGCATGACGTTTCCTGACTGCAGAGAGGATGGCCTCGGACTGGACAGTGCTCTCCTCCAGCTCCCGCCGAGAACGCACCAACTCCGCCTCACGCCTCTTGTTCAGCTCCATCTGCAAAGGACCGTGAGAGGTACATATAGATGTATATATATATAAATATATATGACTTCAATTCAAAATTACTGTAATATAATCAGAATTATTTTTTATTGCCATTGTGAGGAACAGGACACATATTAGGAAATTGTTTTGGCTTTTGTTGCAGTTATGTGACAGTTATGAAAGTAAAAATAGATTCAAGGCATGTATACATTTCTTTATAACCTTTCTTAAAATTATTACTATATACAAGTGCACTAAGTTCACACAATAGACATTTTTCTGTGCAGTAAACCATCCATTACTTTTCACTAGTGTGGTCTGTTTTGTGCAAAAACTTTCACTTTAACTGTGTCTGTTGTGTTTTTGAACCAAAAGTATCTTTCTGATTACAGTGCCTTAATAAATGAGGGGGGATGATTGGTCACAATGTAGTATGCGTGTTTGAGTATGTGTGTTTGAGTATGCGTGTTTGAGTATGCGTGTTTGAGTATGCGTGTTTGAGTATGCGTGTTTGAGTATGCGTGTTTGAGTATGTGTGTTTGTTTATCAATGGAAATGCTCATTTGAAATGAGAGGAATATCTACAGGGCTTAATGTTAAACAGAAATGAGTCTCTCATTTTGATGGACTCAAATGATGAGGAATACTACTGTCTGATTTCTTAGTTTTTAATTTGCAGTAATCTACATTATTACTAAACCTGTTTTGCTCAATCATAAAGTAGCCTGATTTCAATAATGTTCAACAAGACCATTTAATGTTTTGTAAAAGTAATAATAATGTCAGCAGAATAATTGTAGTTCGATTTGTTAATTGTCTTGACGACCATTGATTTAGATCAATATTGAAGATATAGTTGGATTCCACATGTGATTTGTGGTGTTTGTGGTCTCACCTGCGAGACAGAGAGGCCTCCAGCCTCCTCCAGGCGCTCCGTCAGCTCATCCAGCTCTCTGCTCAGCTCTGCCCTCTGCTTCTCCACCTGGTAAGTAAGTCATCTTTATTTATATAGCACCTTTCACGGACCAGAGTCACAAAGCACTTTACATCTGTGGGCATTTGTCTCTCACTCCACACAGAGATGGGAGCGAGGTCGTTATACTGGAGGCGCATGCCAGAGATATTGTACAGTACATGCTTTTAGTGGTAGGGGAAACTGGAGCACCCAGAGGAAACCTACATAGACACAGGGAAAACATGCAAACTCTATGCACATTCCCCCACACTGTTCAAGTATTCATACACTGAAAGCACTCCATAGTCCTAAAGTAGATGCAGCATTGGTCCCAGAAGTTAAACCAAGACAAAGGCTTCAGTGGGTCATCTCTGACTCATATCAGTGCTTCAAAGCACTGCTCAAAACTACCTACTCTTTTTTTCTTATTTTTCCTTTTGTAAAGTGTCTTTGAGTGTCCAAAAGCACTATATAAGTACATTGTATTATCATTCTTATATTTAAAGAAAAATAGAAAAACATTCTCAGTGAATAAAAATGCTTTAATAAAGAGGGACATGTGTTCCAGCCTCAAAGGGGTGAGGTCTAAATGCACAGCAGAATAAAAACATTTGCTGTACAAGAACATTCACAAGAGCATTTAAAAAGGCAGTTTAGGTTATGATTTAGAAAACACCCATGTGGGGATAACCGACTCGACAGTCATTAATTCCAAATAGACGGAGTAGATCGTTCGGACTCCACCTCTGACAGAGGCCAAACTAAACACAAACAATGCATCACATTTGTCTTTGTCGTCTCATTGGAAACCAGCAGGGGGCAGACTCAGCCCCTTCACACTGTGAACTTCTAACCCTTGCACTGGTGTAGAATTCTTACTTTCACTGCACTGTGAATATACGCAGTGCTCTAGTGCTGACAACGACAGTGGTGCATTCCTCTGGGGAGAAGAGCCGTGTCTGTCAGCCCACTGCGATGCTATCTCACACCACGGAACAATGGCCGGCTGTCCCCTACAGGCCCCATCATGTTAGAACAACCAACGTGTGTGTGCGGATACCACCCAGAAAGAGCAGAGAAAACAGCTCCAGGACCCAGTCACCTCCACACATGTCTGACAAGTACCACTCCAGAGGATTTGGAGAGGGTTTCACGCCGGAAAACAACTAGCGATAAATATTTCTGTAATGATAGTAATTTGTCTTGGAGAAAAAAAGTAAGATAATTGTAACTATAACTGTGACGCAATGCATTCCGGTATTTTCACGGTTTGGAGACCACATGATCTCATCTCCAGTGTCAGTTGTAACTACTAAAAAAACTACCTTTCGGGGAAAAGTAGAGTTAGCGATCGTCAATTTAGTAACGTAAAGGCCTTTTTGTTGTTTTTGATCTGCCTCATTGTTGCTTTTATTTACCATGGCAGCTGTGACACTCATCGTGATCTCATTGTATGTTCACTGTACATTGTATGTGAAGCAAGAAACCGCTAGTGCTGACGCTGTACATCGCAGAGTCGCAATTTACCTCCTGATGAAGAGCTGAGAAGTTGCCGCTCACAGCTGCAGTAAGGCTGACTTTTTTTTCTTCTGATAAGGAGGAAGAGGCAACGTCCTTTAGTGCAGACGCTGAGGTACTGGAGTGCATGAGGCTCAGAGTTAGATCCCGAAGCGATTCCTCGAGTGAGAACTGTGTTCATGAAAACAACCCCATGTTTCATGATCTGTGGGGTTTTTTTAACCATAAAGAGAATCTCTCTAAGGCCCCGTTTAGATGGAGAAGCTGCAGAGACACTGCAAAGCAATTATCAAAAACTACCATTTGAAGTGCACAGTGTTTACACATCAGCAAAAAACAATGTAGTTCTAGCGCCCGGCCAGATTTACTTTCTCAACAACACCCTCCTCAGGCCATGGAAAAGACGTGAAAGAACCAACATCGTTCTGCATTTAACAGCAGCAGCGAAAATAGAAACTGAAACTTCGGCTTCACATGGTTTCGTTCGGACGAATGAAGGAGTAGAATTCTCCTCCGTGTAGCGCTTGAAACACACATATCATATGTTGATCTACCGCCATTGTTGTTTACGTTTGATCTCGGCCACTGCACATGTCCAAATGTTCGTGCGGGAAGTGCTGAGATCATAGCAGGAGAGAATTCACACCTTTTTCTTCACACAGCAGTGAAACAGCCCCACGCTGAGCAGCGTATCTGTTCTGTTCCACTCTGGAGGCCGTTTATCAACACTTGAGTTGACTGTACCATTTTACTGTTGCAGCGTCTCTGTGTAAACAGCACCATAGAGATAGTAGAGCTGCTGCTTCTCCAGGTCAAGATGAGCGGCTAGCATCTGTTTTGGATGCTTCCTGGATGCTGAAGACTGGCATATCCAGATAAATAAACCATATCCAGATAGAATAGAGCATTCATGGCATGAACAGATACTCCTGCAGTTTATGTGTTTATTCTATTGTCAGCTCTAATGTCCTCCTGTTGTGTATATACAGTACTTGTACTTTTTTTTTTTCACTTTTTCTTATTTGTCTGTAAATCTACTTATGTGTGGTAGCACTCCCACTGATGACTGCTGCCGTTGTGTCCTTGGGCAAGACACTTAACCCCACTTTGCCTGAAGCCCCCACTGAAAGATCTCAGCTCCTGTGGACTCAACACCTGCAGGAGGATCAGTGAGGGGCTGTGCTATGTGTACTGGGTGCAGCTCTGACTGCCACCCCCCCGACCCAGAAATGGATTAAGGGGAAGAAAATGGATGGATGGGTGTGTCCCTTGTGGATTATTTCACTTTGACTTCAGTATTTTTGGTCAGAAAAGGCTAAATATGAGGACATTTTAACACTGTTTGACATTCAAAGAAGTTCATAAAGAAAGTTGTACTGAATTCAAAGTCCCTCACCTTGGCTCTCATGCTGCGCTCGGCCTCCAGATCCTCCTCCAGCTCCTCCAGTCGCCCCTGGACACAGGACCACATATCATTGTAATGATAAACAAAGGCGTTCAACGGTCACTGTTGTGAGTTTGCAAAACACTGTTTTATTGATTTAATTGTCATCAGATATAATAAATATAGTTTATCTGTTATTATACATTAATATTGGATGCAATTATTTCTATGACATTATTTTTGTTATTATTATTATTTAATATGAGCAACTCTAGCTTTAACTAAAAAAAAAAATTAACCAAAAGACTTTCTTGGTAACTAACATTCTATGGAAGCCTCTCCTGGGGCTGGTTCTGGACTGATCCTTATGACTGCTAAAGGTAAAGCCTGAAAGGTCGTAAAACTGGTGGAAAAATAAGTTTCTCAGAATCCCATTGATTTGAACGGGAGCAGTCAAAATGACAGCTTTTTCAACTGCTGGGCATTTGGATACAGTCTTCGGCGCAGCCGCGGCGCCAGTGATAGGCCCGGGTAGGCCGGTGCCTACCAGTTTTTTTCTTGGCCTACTCAAATTTGTTCTTCGCCTCTCAAGTCATTAGCCTTTTTATTAAAAGTCATAATTTAAATATTGTTATTTTTATACACACATTATTTCCTAAATGTTGCGTTCTAATGTTTTAAGAAAATGTAACCCCCTGAGCGTTCACGTTGCTTCAAATAGTCCTGTTTATTGGCTGAATAATTTTGTCCAATAATCTGCATGATCATATCACGCAGCGCAAAGCTCGTTCCCGAGAACAAGCAGCCATTCCTCGTCTTTAAGATTGACAACGCTCTCAAAACATTCACAACAAAGCAGCCTTTTTAGTCATTTTAGTTTTAAGAAAGTTCAGCGTGAACTTCGTGAGGTAGAGGAGCCAGAGGCCCGGGCCCGTAGGTCCCAGAGGAGGAGAGCGCAGTCAGGCCAGGTTCACCTCGCACTGATGAGCCTGTGTGAGACACAGGGCCTCATGTATGAAACTTGCTGTGTTTTCATTGAGCATCATGTTTCAAAAGTTGAATTTGCGCATCGGAAAAAGTCTAATGGAAAAATGCAAACTTTGAATAAATCACAGCTCATGATCAGGACCCTCTATTAAATCTGACTTGTGTGTGTATTATTTTGATCTGTATGTTTTTAAAATGTGAAGTGCTTTGTGATCCTGTGAAAGGCTCTATATAAATACACTTTACGCAACAGGGATGTGTGACCCAGCTATTGCTGTGACAGGCTCTGCGCTGCGTAATTACGCACGGCTATTTGTATTCCTCGCATCTGGTAAAGCAATGTGTTATTTCATTAGATTTGTGTTAGCCTCACACAGACACACACCCCAATAACGCACCGATGGTATTGCTCACTCCAAATGTCTCACTGCCCTGTCCAGAGTGCGCAGCGAGTGCCGTGAGATATCGCGCCACATAATCCTCAAATGTGCAGAAGTTTTGGCTTCAGTTTCTTTGTGAAATCTGGACCGCAAACGCTCTCTGAAGTGTACAGTGCTTCAATGCGCACCTCTACCCCGAGCCAGGCTGCGTCCAAGACGCTGCAGACGCTTCATTCATGAGAGCCACCGCTGCATGATATATATGAATTATTCATTCATTCAATCAATCTATATTTATTCACTTCTACAATTCAAGAGAGATTTTTCTAATGTATCAAAACTATTTTTGCAAATTTGTGCAAAACGCAGCTGAATATATAGCGTATATTTATTTTTACATAAACATAACAAACAAACGTGCCTTTGGAGGCTTCCAACAGTCTTTTTGGACTTCCGTGCTGACCTGTCGTGAACATTGCTGCATAATTCTAGGCGTGACTTTCATAAATACGTTCGTATTCAGCCGATTTATCAACACCCGCAGCTGCGTACGCTCAGATCTGGGCTGATCTCACACGTTCATAAATCCGACGTTGGATTTTGCGTAAATGGAATATACACCCCAAATGTACACATTTTGCTACGCAAGTTTCATAAATGAGCTTGTGTGTATGTGTGTGCTTGGGTGCGTGTGTGTGCGTGCGTTTGAACCATATTCTTTGAAACCCCGTGCGAATTTGGCCTACTTACTAATCTGCAGGCCTACCCAAAATTGCAAACCTGGCACTGCTACTGCTTCGGCGGAATAGATAATGATAGATAGGTACACTTAAGACATTTGCGTCAAGCCTCCAGCTGCTTTATGTGGCACTCGCATATTGCAGAGCTGATGAAATGAGTCCAGATTAGGGGCATACTGGGCACACCTGTTTCAGCACAAAGTCAAGCCAAGCATGGGTTTAATCATGGGCTGCAGACAGACGAGGCTGCAGACAATCACCACTGTCAGATGTGCGGGACGTACCCAGGCTGAGCTCCTCCAGGTGCCTCTTATTCTACATGGGACGCCCACATGGGACAGTCCTCTTGGCCCAGAATCCAAACACATGTCCACTGTCACGTTACCTAGTCCCATTCAATTCAATTTATTTTTGTATATTATTACAGAGCGGTTGAATTCGCCAACACAGATCAGAGACTCAAACACAAGAGATAGAACAGAAAACACATGATATTGGTCTATAAGGGGCAGATGACCATGACCCAAACCCTCTGTTGTAATAATAATAATAATAATAATACGTCAGTTTTTTACAGCGCTTTTCAAAAACTCAAAGACACTTCACAATTTAGGACACACATACACACACAAAACTAAAAATCTAAAAGCAGGAAAGAAGAGTACAAAGTTGAAACTAGAGTCGTATGCTTGGAGGAAGAGGTGAGTTTTTAGCTGTTTTTTTAAGGAGTTTAGAGAGTCTCTGAGATGAGGGGGGAGAGTTCCAGAGAGTGGGAGCAGAGATGACGAAGGCTGAGTGCCCCCAAGGTTCGGTGCCTAGATTTGACAGTGGGAGTGAGGAGATGAGTCGATGGGAGGGACTGTAGGGCTGAAGAAGTTCAGTAAAGTATGGAGGGCTTTGTAGGTGATTAGGAGGAGTTTGAAATGGATGCGCTGTTTGATGGGGAGCCAGTGGAGTTTATGAAGGACAGGGGTGATGTGTTCTCTGGAGCAGGTCTGAGTGATGAGGCGGGCGGCAGAGTTTTGGACATATTGCAGTTTTTGGAGATCAGATGAAGGAAGGCCGTATAAAAGACTGTTGCAGAAGTTGAGTCTGGAGTTGTATACATAAAACTATTTAGTTCTTGCTCTAGAATGTGCAATATTTGATACTTGTTTTAATTTAGTATAAAGTTATTGTTCACATATCTTGTGCTGTGTGCTCCCTATACAACTGTGAAATATCCCCACTGTGATATGAATACAGGATCTCTTACTCTGACCACATCTGGAACAGTCTGCCTGAGAATGTGAGAGGAGCGTGCACTAACGGCCTTCCAAAAATGGCAATGTAACAATGTGTGATTGTTTGTGATTCTGTTATCATGTTGTGATTCTGTTCATCACTCTGAGTTGCCTTGTGTATGAATTGTGCTATACATATAAACTTGCCTTGTCAATGTTTGGTTGTCTCACCTGTAAGAGATGATTACTGATCAGGTAATGATTTGCCTTTAAGAAAACCTCCCGCAAAATTATAACTGTTGCAAGCTGAAAGAGCCGAGGGAATCAATATTTGCCACTTTAAGCTCTGCAAGCTCTGCTTCAGTGGACCAAGTTTGATACAGAAAATGCTGTGTATAAAAAGCCATTCAATAGAAAATCTAGCGTGCATGTGTGAATATTGTTTGCAAAGCTTTGTCTTCTGAGCTACAAAAGCAATTTGGAATGTAATGTATAGGTGTCAAACTTCAGTCGAACCCTATCAGTCAACAAATAAGAATGACATGCCGGATTTATATTAGTTTGAACAGGAAGTGGACATGAAACATTAAAATCCTTCCCAGGTTGATTTGTGGCAAATATGACCAGGAGTAAAAGTAAAACTCAGTTGGTGTTAAAAGCCAAGGCGTACACATGTCTTTAGAATTGATTTAGAAACCTAAAATGAAGGAGCTGCTATGATGTACAGATGTAAACTAAAAGCAAAAGCCTGTGGCCGTATTACCATAGATTCTTAGTGCTAAGAGTTGCTGATATTCTTAGAATCTTAATGTACTCTTAGAATTTCCACTAAAATTGAAAAAAAATCTAAAAAAAATCTTTGCTCCTAAGAGAGCTCCTAAAGTGAGATCTCTTAAGAGTAGAGAGGAGGACTTTTAATGACTAAAGAGTTCCGAGGACAAAATGGCAAACGCAAGAGGCAGGAGAGATATTCTACAAACAGTGGTGTCAGTGGGGCCAGATTTACCTCTCAAAACACTTTTATTCTCATTGACCAATTGAGCCAGAAGCAAACACTCTTCCTCTGTCCAGTTGGGATTCCTCTTTCTTTTATTCTCCATTGCTGTATTCTTGTGGTATAATGTGAAAGTCAAGCAACTCAGCTTCATCACGGCTGTGCCATTTTACCCTTGTTACATAAAATGAGTAGAAATGGTAAAAGTTGAAAGAGAAAAAATGACCAGCATGGCAAATAAATATAACTATCACTGTGTTTAGACTGTGCAAGTTTTCACACATTCTGTGTGATTTAAAAGTATAACTAACTATTCACAACATTCATTTTACATTGGTCTATATCTTTCTATCTTTTATGTGGTATATTATTTACAATGACAGTCTTCCTAAGATGAGATTCCATGATTAAGATTGTCCATTTGAGATTCCTTGTTTTGACTTCACTGATCAGACAGGAGCAGACAGAGAAAACAGCTCTGTCAGAGACCAGAGAGACCGGAGAGAGAGACCAGAGAGAGAGACTAGAGAGAGAGACTAGAGAGAGAGACCAGAGAGAGAGACCAGAGAGAGAGAGACCAGAGAGAGAGACCAGAGAGAGAGACCGGAGAGAGAGACCGGAGAGAGAGACCAGAGAGAGAGACCAGAGAGAGAGACCAGAGAGACCAGAGAGAGAGACCAGAGAGCGAGACCAAAGAGACAGACCAGAGAGAGACTAGGGAGAGAGACCATAGAGAGACTAGAGAGAGAGACTAGAGAGAGAGAGACTAGAGAGAGAGACTAGAGAGAGAGACTAGAGAGAGAGACCAGAGAGAGAGACCGGAGAGAGAGACCAGAAAGAGACCAGAGAGAGAGACCACAGAGATAGAGCAGAGATAGAACAGAGAGAGACCAGAGAGAGACCAGAGAGAGACCAGAGAGAGACTAGGGAGAGAGACCAGAGAGAGAGGCCAGAGAGAGAGACCAAAGTGAGAGACCAGAGAGAGAGACCAGAGAGACAGACCAGAGAGAGACCAGAGAGAGAGACCAGAGAGAGAGACCAGAGAGAGAGACCAGAGAGATAGACCAGAGAGATAGACCAGAGAGATAGACCAGAGAGATAGACCAGAGAGAGACCAGAGAGAGAGACCAGAGAGAGAGACCAGAGAGAGACCAGAGAGAGAGACCAGAGAGAGACCAGACCAGAGAGAGACCAGAGAGAGACCAGAGAGACCAGAGAGAGACCAGAGAGAGAGACCAGAGAGAGAGAGACCAGAGAGAGAGACCAGAGAGAGACCAGAGGGAGAGACCAGAGAGAGACCAGAGAGAGACCAGAGGGAGGTAAGCAACAATATGAAACATCATACAGAGATAATAGCTCTGTCAGAAAACGTTTCTGTTTTACGTCTGCAGTAGGGCTGCACGATATTGGAAATTAGAGCGATATTCGATATGAGTGTTTACTATTTCGATAATGATATTATAGTGATATTTTTGTCGTTGACCTAATATTGCAATCTGCATTGAAACGCAAAAGACAAATATCAAAAAATAAGCACAACATTAATTAAATTATAATGCATATAATTATATACTTTTGCTTGTTTGTTCTTGGGTGTCTGTCTGTTTTGCTGTCTTTAATGAAAAGAATTTATGTTTTTATATTCCATCTTTTCGATATGGATATTGCACGCACCAATATCGCGATAACAATATTTTTTGAAAAATTATAAAGTATGAGGGAATAATTGTTTTAATCAAGTGGTTTTTAATCTTATTTTGAATCAGTTCTGACTGTCTTAAAACAAGATTCTCCAATGGGACAAAGCCATTTAGTCTTCAAGAACTTTTGCTTTTTCATTCCAAGGGAGACATTTCTTAGATATTTTTTAAAATAAGACCAACATTAACTCAAATGAAGATACATTTTTCTAACTTTGAGCAACGTTTGACTTATTTTCCATCACGTTTTGCAGCGGGTGTTGTGATACATGTGTAATGAGAGCTGCACCTGCAGGTCGTGGCTCCTCCTCTGCAGGTCGTGGTCCGGAGCCTCTTCAGCCTCTCTCCTGCACAGAGGGAAGCTCATACAGTATAGTCTCACAGCCTTTAATCATGTTCCTACGTCTACATCAGAGCTCGTTTTAGCTCCGTCCAAACTCATATCAGGAGCTTCCAGAAGAATCACCATAAACACCTCCCCCTGAGGGACTGATGTGTCGGGGGGGACAAATAGTGCAGGTCTCCCCCATAGTGTTCGGATAAGAGGTCTAGAGATAACTCGAACAGACTGTATGAGGATTAGAGCAAAGTCAAACAGCCTTTGTGTGTCATGGTGTAGATTTTGTTATTTTGGTAATTTTGGTTTTATTTTGACATCAATTCTCTATGGTTCAGTTTTGGTTCTGGTAATTTGAGATAGCTGTATAATTTTAAGTTACATTTTGGTAACTAACTTATCTGGTAAGTTTTAATACATCATAAGTTTATTTTACTAAGTATAAAGTTTAAATTGAATGTTATAATGAAAGCTTGGATTATAAAAGTTATTAAATTGTTGCCATAGAATGTCCGTAATTCTTCAATTAGTCATTTATGCTTCTTTCCAAGTAACATAGCAACATTTATTGTATTTACACACGTACAGCATATATTTTTCAAAACTTCCACTTAAATGACTTTTTCCCGACATTTTGGTGTGTACCGCAAAGAATTATGGGCAATATCCTTTGCCAGAGTCTGCTTAGATGCAGGCTACGGCGAAGTGTGGATCAGGGGCGCAAAGGGGGCGGGGCCAAAGAGCTCCCTGGAGAATTGGGACACCCTACGCACTCGCACCCATCATTGGGAACATGCAAATGAGGGGCGCAAGGGTGGAAGTGCGAGTATTGGGATTGGGCCAATATGTACCAACGTCACGTAATTATTCTGATTCTGTGTCCCGTTCCTTGTTTCCCTGGTCCTCTTACTTCCTGTTTCTTCGCAGTTTCCTCACCCACACAACACGATTTACCTAATTCGACGGCTCTCGCTGCAAAATTAGGAATTATCACTCGCTTATTATTCGATAGTGTTTGTATGACACCTGTTAGCCTTCTGCAGTCCAATATGGCGGCACAACTACCAGTCGCTATGAATGTTGCTGGTTTATTGTCTTTGTCCGTCTGTTTTCTGGTTTCATTTGGAATCTGAGTTTGTTTTTCACTGGACATTATTATCATTGTCTTCATTAAATTATTGTTTTTGCATTCCTGCATTTTGGGTCCTTCCTTCATTTTTCCACATGACATTGTGAAGATTAGCGCTCGTTCTCTCTAATCCTCATGAGGCCTCCATGACGATAAGAGCAAACTCAAACACTCCATCAGGGAGAATTGTAAAGCATAGGTCAGCCCTTTCTTTTCTTTTCTTTTCCAAACTTTGCTTGAAATCATTAAAGGAAACACAGCAAGCAAAGGGACATGTAGGCAAAAGAAAACAGCTCATACAACGGGTAAAAAGTCACCCACAATTCACAATAGAGAACCTAAAAAGCAGATGAGACAAGGCGCTGTCAGAGGTCATGCAACAGTCTAAATTAAGATACCTGACTTTGAAGTGTGTCCCTGTAGGCTAACTTCGTTGACAAGTCTGTATGTGCGAGTCTTTGGCGCATTGGTGTGGAAGATTGAACAAATGAGGTCCGGACATGTCGTTTTGGCAGCTACATTGGTTTCTCTGACAGAATGTGCTAACCCGGATGCACCACTGATGGATGGAGAAGCATGTTTGGAAATTAGGGAACTGTCTATCAGCGCAGGTCATGTCCTATTCTATTTCTTAAAGGGGCCATGACATACTAAAATCAAATGTTCACAGATGTTGGTTGTGTTATCATGTTGTGGAGTGGTTTTCAGAGTGCTTTTTTTTTTTACATTTTTTACACTCTTACATTTATCAATGTCATGTAATAGTGCTTTAGCATGATCTAATAATGGAACACTTGCAGGTGAAGAAACAGCCTTTGCTGGAGCAATTCACTGAACTTACAGAAGAAACAAAATTGTTAGAGGACAGAAATCAGAGGAACAATCATAGTTTTCGGAATATGTTTGAATTATCTGGAAAGATATTCTGTTAATTTTTGACTTTAGAAACCTAAAACTCAATAACAGTGCTGAAAACAACCTTGGTGTGAATAGTAGTTCTCACAGTAACTTGAGCTTAACTATTCTCTCTTTCTCTCCTACTTTATCTGTCATCAATATGTCTTCACCTGTAGCATGTTCATTGCAATTCACCCATTATCCCATTGTCTTTTTCATGGCCTCTATGACCAGCATCCGTGAACTGGTGGTCCCTGGTCCGGACTCAGTCTCCCTGCAGGAGAACTTTTTCAGTCCTGGATCTGCAGCTTCAGTCCCAGATCTACAACCTCAGGAGCTGTGAATCTAGGGCTGTAGCTGTAGATCTAGGACTGAAGCTGTAGATCTAGGACTGAAGCTGTAGATCTAGGACTGAAGCTGTAGATCTAGGACTGAAGTTGTAGATCTAGGGCTGTAGATCTAGGACTGAGGCTGTAGATCTTGAAGATCTACAGCCTCAGTCCTGGCCTCAGTCTTGGATCTACAGCCTGTCTGTCCGTGGGAGTGGATCCCTCTCAATGTGGGCCTCGCTGAGGTTTCTTGCATTTCCACTGGGTTTATATGAGTTGCTCGTTGCAGATGCAGGTGGGTCTAAGGACAGTGAGGATCCAAGCCATTTATACACTCTATGGACCAGTGACTTTGTGTTTCTTATTTTAATCTCTGATCTAACCTTGGTGAATTTAAAACTTTATAAATTGGCTATATTTAGTTGTGATGTAGGGCAATAGAAAAAATAAATTGAATGTTATAGATTACCTTGTGCTTCAGATCATATGAAACTCTGAGGGGACCCAGAGTGAACAACTTTGAGACTTTGCAGCTCTATTGTACTGTTTAGCATAGTGTCCTATGAAGTGGAAATACCAGTCTTCCCCACATATTCTTTTATAGAGCATCATACCATTTGAAGATGCCATCCATGCCGTTCCTCTGCTCCATGCGTCCTACTCCTCTTTGACTCCCGTGGGTTTTCTCCAGCTCACCCAACCGGTACTCCAACTTCATCCCAACAAAAGAACAAAAACCAGTACAGATCATACAACATCTGCTCATAAACGTCTCGCTCCAGGCTAGCATCTCTGCAAACGTCAGGCTAGAGTGGTGCAGCGATCAATCATTCTTGAAGTGACGTTTACACGGCGTTCAAACCATGTGCGGAATATATGATTATTTTTCTTTGGAAGGTTCACTTCAACTGCACTAGTTTTCAGAGTCTAGAAGTCCACAGACTGAAGACCACAGACTGTAGAAGACCACAGTGTCTAGAAGTCCACAGACTGTTGCCGCCACACAATAGAACGCAACATAGTATAAGCTACCATGGCATGCTTTACCTCATTTCACACCTTCTCTCCACTTAAAGTTAATCTTAAGATGGCTGCTTTGTCAACAAGGACACAGCAGTGTTTCACCGAGGGCTTCAGGTGACAGCAGACATCAGTGGGAGCAGTTGGCATGGGTCGTGGGGGGATCAAACCCATGCCCATTTAACCCATGTTCATTAGAAGTAATAATTTTCGATTAGTTAATGGTTTTGACGTATCACAATATATTGTTGACTATTCCGGTTATTCTCAAATCGTGCATTTTCCCTCAGAAGCCGATGGAAGACGCACAGGGTCTGTCTGCTCTCTCACAAACCATTGTTTTGGGGTTAAATGAACCCTGCTCTCCCCCCTCCGGGCTTCGCTTCAAGACCCTGTTTTATCTTTTCTTAATTATGTGTGTAAAAGTCCCAGCCCTGATTAAAATACTGTAGATCTTATTTTACTAATTTGAATAGAAATAATGCACAATATTTATTCTTGAATATAGTCCTTCACATCAGTGGGAGAGCGGTGTGGACTCACATCTTGCGCGTGCATCTGCAGCTGGCTCTTCTGTTGGACGAGGTGCTCCACTTTCTCCTCCTCGCTCTGGAGGTCCTCGATGGCCTGCTGCAAACGAAACACCACATTCACACAGTCATAGGTAAAGCTTTGTTTCATTTGTCATGTGATTGAATTTATTGTTTATTTAGTCAGGACAGTGCTGTTAATGAACACACCTCTCCTGAATTCTATCCGTTGTCCCGCAGACTCGCAGTTGCACAAACACACACACATTCACCCCTGGAGGTATGTAGGAGGATTTTCCCAAATTTTAGGAAAGAACCACCCTCTACACTTTCTGAAAAAAGGCACATGCTCTCCCTGCTCCCGAGATGGAACGCCTACTACAACATGTGCATCGCTCACACCAGCTCACCTTCCAAGAAGATGCACTTTTTTCCCACAATGTCAGACCGTACAGACATAGAAAAAATTTACTTGAGGTGATTTGATGTAGATTTCTCCAAATAGAATCCAAACTTTATCTGTCGAGCAGAAACTTTCAACTGAAGCATCAGTGGGAAGCCCAACCTGAGCTTTCAACGCACGCCACTGTCTGAAAGAACTTTCCAAAACACTCAGGTCTAGTTTGACAAACATGTACGGCTGGCTCTAGTCACATGTTACCAGGATGATTGACAGTTAGGAAACCAACAGTCTTGATGATCCACCCGGAAAAAGTAAATCCTCCAATTGACCCCTTGCATGTTACGTCACGGCCACGCCCACTCTCCATGACAGACGGCAGAAGTCTAACTGCGAGCCTACGGACACCTGACCAAAACAAACTGTTTCAGCGGTGGTTGATTATACTAACAGGCAAGGACATAAGCTTTTTTATCTGATACCTGCTCGTCATGAAGACAGAAGACGACGATGGCCAGCGGCAATCAACCAAAAGGACTGGGACCCATCCAAGTACTCCCTAATATGCAGTGAACACTTTTTACAAGATAAAGCAATCACAAGTTTGTATTTATTTTATTTCCATTAATTTGGAGGACAATGACACACGTCAAACGTGTCTCTTACTACTGTCCTGTATGTGCGCTGCAACATTGACATTTTTATCTTTTAAGTCAATTGCGTGTTTCACTATTTTCCTCTCCGTCAGTACGTATCATGTTTGGCTGTAGACAGAAAAGCCACAGAAAAGTGGACTATTGCTAATGCTACCAGCAAAATGTACATATAAATCTGCTCCAGTGTGAGGGGATGCATTGTTAACGATAATGATAAAGATCATGTAGGGTGTTGTTTTATTTAATCGATAAAATTGACTGGGGGGAGAAGGTACGGGTCAACATCCAGTTAGGCAATCCTTAACTTCTCCAAATACCACTCTTCGTGAGCCCTGACCTGATGTCCTACTTCCACCTATAACGTAATCGAACATTGCTTGAAGCAGCCACTTCTCGATTTAGGAGAGGAAGCTCCGTTTTTAAGAGTTGTGTCCGTTTTGTTCTCGCAGCAATGCTAGTTTCCAATACTTCCGCCGTAAGCTCATTCACAATCACGTGACTGGATGACGTTGATGCATCTGGTCAATATATCTCTAACTAATTTTTTTTTTACATGTTTGGAAACTGGAGCACATGGAGGAAACCAACAGAGGCACAATGAGAACATGATAACTCCACACCAAAAAGTACTGTATGGAGGTGCAACTGAAGAGTGCAATTTACACATCTGTAAATACATCTGTACATCTGTAAATGCTTCTGAACCAAGTGCCTTTACAGCTCCAGAGTTTTTTATATTTTATTCCATTTCACCATCTTATTATCTTTTTATTGTATTTCTATTATCTTAAATACTATGCTGTTTGATGTGTGTAATCTGAGTGCTCTTATGTCCTTCTTTCTCTGCTGTAATGTGTAAACAATGACACTGAGATTTCTCCACTGTGAGACGAATAAAGGAATATCTAATCTTATTTTAAGTTTGAAGTGCGAGTGTTAACTGCGGTTCCATCATGCTGCTTTTATAAGTAACTTACCAACTACTACCAAAGACAGAAAAGCAGAAAGAAGAGACTGAGAGTGTGGTCAGACCTGGCTCAGCTCCAGCAGATGCTCCCTGTCCTCCTGAAGCCTCCTCAGATCCTCGTGTCTCTGCTCCAGCCTCTGCAGCAGCCTCTGCACCTCGCACTCACTGTTCTGACAACACAACACAACAGATATGAACCACACACCTCACATTCACTGCTCTGACAACACAACAGATATGAACCACACACCTCACATTCACTGCTCTGACAACACAACAGATATGAACCACACACCTCACATTCACTGCTCTGACAACACAACAGATATGAACCACACACCTCGCACTCACTGTTCTGACAACACAACAGATATGAACCACACACCTCACATTCACTGCTCTGACAACACAACAGATATGAACCACACACCTCACATTCACTGCTCTGACAACACAACAGATATGAACCACACACCTCGCACTCACTGTTCTGACAACACAACAGATATGAACCACACACCTCACATTCACTGCTCTGACAACACAACACAACAGATATGAACCACACACCTCACATTCACTGCTCTGACAACACAACAGATATGAACCACACACCTCACATTCACTGCTCTGACAACACAACAGATATGAACCACACACCTCGCACTCACTGTTCTGACAACACAACAGATATGAACCACACACCTCACATTCACTGCTCTGACAACACAACAGATATGAACCAGACACCTCACATTCACTGCTCTGACAACACAACAGATATGAACCACACACCTCGCACTCACTGTTCTGACAACACAACAGATATGAACCACACACCTCACATTCACTGCTCTGACAACACAACAGATATGAACCACACACCTCACATTCACTGCTCTGACAACACAACAGATATGAACCACACACCTCACATTCACTGCTCTGACAACACAACAGATATGAACCACACACCTCGCACTCACTGTTCTGACAACACAACAGATATGAACCACACACCTCACATTCACTGCTCTGACAACACAACACAACAGATATGAACCACACACCTCACATTCACTGCTCTGACAACACAACAGATATGAACCACACACCTCACATTCACTGCTCTGACAACACAACACAACAGCACGACGAGTCTGTCAATCACCCGCTCCTCACCGTGTGCTCCAGCACGAATAACCCCTCATGCAATGTACATGATTTTATTATGAATAAATTAATAAAAACTATTTAGTAGTGAAACAATATTTTTACACCAATGTGGATCTTCCTGCACGGCTCATGCAACCACTGCACTAACATCAAGAGAGCAAAAACCTGTGCCGGTATACTACACAATCAGAGTGGAGCAATGAAAATAATATATAAAACATGTGCCCTTGATAGTCCTGACATCAAGGCAAGTGTGTCTTTTGTCTACAGTCTGATAAATGCATATTAATATATCCCCTGTTGGGCTTTTTTAATCTAACAGGGAAAACATTGAACTTTGTGCCACTTTTTGATTCATTTGAATTATGTTTCTGAGGATGCTCAACTTTTGAACCACACCTGGGTCAGACATTTATCAAGAATGCCTTCACCATTTACAAAAGCCAGCGTTTCCAGCTAACCTTAATGACAAAAGTGCCCTTCCCCTTTTATTCCCAAATAACAGTTCAGTCCACAAAGCTTCCAAACAGGCCTCATCTTGCCTCCTCCGTTCTGGACGCATTAGAAGAATGATTAACTGGAACTTTATAGGATGAGTACAGCTTGTGTCAGAATGTCTGCTGGATCATTTCTCCAATTAATCCGTAAAATGTTCCGGTTTAGTTTTTACAGTGATGTGAGAGTGGTGCATTCTTGGAGCATTCGTAAGAGCTTATAGCATCTTAGTCCTCCACTGTACGATGGGACAAAGGCTCGAGTCTAAGAATGAACAACTCTCTATTATGATTAAAAGCTACTAACCCTGTAGTATGTGTTCCATCTTTCTACTTAATCTATCGCCCTCCCTCTAGCGGCTGCCATTGGCTCAAGCTTCAGTGTGGTCTCAGGGCCTTCTCCTGGAGGGACATGTTTGTCTTGATCTGATTCGTCCAGTTCTCAAGGGTTATTTCTTCACCTGGTCTTATGATGTTGAGTACACCGTGTGTGGTTGCCTTTAAAGATAGTTCTAAACATGATTCAGGCCATTCTTTGAGAAGTGACACAGTGAAGACAGAGCCGACGGTTCACCTCTGCGAGTAATATCATTAAAATATCCATCCACCATCCCACAGAGCTGAATGTGTGATGACTTTGAATGATCTACTTAAGTAAGTAAGTTAGAAATCTTTATTTATACGGCGCCTTTCAGAGACCAGAGTCACAAAGCATTTAACAATTGTGGGCAATTTTCTCTCACTCCACACAGACAGCGAGTACGCCAGTACAGTGCCAGACCTATGGTACATTTTTTTTTGTGGTAGGGGAAACTGGAGCACCTGGAGGAAACCTACATAGACACAGGGAGAACATGCAAAATCCACTCAGATCCACTCTTGTTTCGACCGGCATTCAACCTGGTACCTTCTGGCTGAGAAGCAAGAGCGCTATCCACTCAGTCACTGTGTCGCCCGTATACAGACTGAGTAAAGAGTGTTTGCGTAGAACGGGTCTAAAACTGCTTTAGGACAGCATCCTGAGAGGCCACACATTTAGAGTTGGATGGATTATCACAGTAAAGAAGAAGTGCTCACTTAACCTGACAATATTTGTTAGGAATACGTTGACTGTCCACATAGACACGGTTTCATATATCGCTGTGTGTTCAGTCAAAGGTCTGGATGTTTTTCCAAGAGAATCTAAAGTCCTTGAACTGGACTATAACCGCTCTCTCTGCTGTCTGACTGATGTAAACCTGTCACTCACAGAGGCCCTCGGGCCCACACACTCCAGAGGGGCCCCAGTCAATTACCAGCACTGTTACTATATAGTTATCACTGGGAAAACAGACCAAAAGGCAAAAAGTATTATTTGATGTTTGTTCATTCATTGGAATAATATACTGTGTGTGTTTGTGTTTCTAAAACACTGGTCTGACAATGATAAATACTACTCTAGAAGTACCCTTTCGCTGTGAGTTGTTTCCTAAGAATGGTAAATGTATTGTGATTTGTTTTGGAGGTGGTGTTGTACTAAGTGCTTAAAGTGGGTCAGAGAGGAAGTGGGTCTTTTTCCTAAACGTATTCCTCTTTTTAAATGTAGTGCTCCTAACTTTAAAGGACACTGAGCTGGGACTCCCCACTTTCCACATGTCGCAGGAATCTCTAAGAGTTTCCAGGGGAGCTGGGAGAAAGAGCCCCTCAATTTCCGCTCGTATGCTCTGTGTCTTTGCCCGGCAATGGAAATACCACCCACGAAAGCTCTCCCACCACCTCTGCTGGATTCTTTCGACTCTACCTTGAGCTCCGTCCATGCGCGCCCCATCCAGGTGGGTCGACATGGGACGAGAGAGCGAGATCATAACATTATACGTGGCTCTCGATTGGAGTGTATCGACTCCCCACCGCTGCAGAGGGCCGTGACCCTGTAACCCGGTGTCTGACATGACGGTTCAGGTCTCTTTGTTTTGCTGTACAGACAAACGAGTGGAAACGTCTGTAAAGTTTTCCCCTGCGCAGGCCTCGAAGTGTCACAGCTGTCATGATCCAACATTCACGCTTTTACGGACGCCGCACGGAGAACACCCAGAAGTACGTATCTGTGTGTGTGCGCACGACTCAGGCTCTGACTTATGATTAAAGGCATAACAGGCAAGGATTTCAATTGTCTGATCGATTGTTTGTCAGATCTGCAGATCAACAAGTCTTGATCTGCAATTCATTCAACAGTTATATCAGTTGAAGATAAATAAAAAAAGGTTGATATGAATAAAAAAATAGAAATGATTTTATAATTTCTTTAAGATTTGTGAATCAGTACTATACTTATTAATTGTGTTAGGGTTCGGGTTAGGGTAGGCTGCTCAAACATGCTATGTCCTACGTAAATACCATTTAGTGTGTTCTAGAGGTACACGATAATAATCAGTTCAAACAATAGTAACATGTTTTAAGGCTTGTCAAAGTGCTATACTCTTATTATGAATTAATGTGTGGTAATGCAGTCAGTAAAGGCCTTCAGCTCAGAAGACAAACACTGTCATCCAAGCTGTTGTGCTGAGATATTCTGAAGCCACAGCTGCCCTGAGGTAAACTGAGAGCAAAGAGGCTTATGAGGTCAGACAATCATGTATACATCATATATACGTCACCCTACACTTCAGCCAGGCTCAGAAAAGCAGCCACAAGTGTGTGAGTCAGCCCCAGGGCACGTTTAGCTCTGGTGACACCCTGGATTAGTGAGAGAAAGTCAAAGTGAGAGCGATATTGGACTAATACAGATATATAAATATAGATTATGGCACACATTACATCAGTGCTGCTTGTCCCTGTTACAATCTTCCCTGTTGAGTCCGTGAAGAGGGAGATGCACAGATGACCAACGTTTCCCTCTGAGGACCATCAACCCGAGACACGCTTCAACCATGTATTTTCTGACAGCAAGTCAGAGCCAGCAAGTATCCAACAAGCGATTATACACTAACTCAAGATGTGACAAGTGAAAGTATACATTGGCAGGTAATTGGCTCTTTGTGTGTTTAGAAGCCGAGCCAGAACGCCTGAACTTCCTTTGTGTCTCACACTGGAATCACAGCTATATATATAATATATATATAGCTGTGATATATATATAGGATATTTCCTGACAGATCCCTGGGCATGTCTTCAAAGATCACATGGATTCTGAATGGCCTTGCTCAGAAGTAAGGTGGAGTGAGGTAAGGCTAGCTACAGACCACAGCCTTACGCTCAATTTTAGCCTTGCAGGAGTTCTGGGAGGAATGGCCCGAGTAACATTCTCGATTGTGATGTTTTGTCATGACAGTAGTTAGTGTCAGAGGATTCTGTCCCATCACAGAGACCAAACTTTTGCAATGCCGCACAGTGACAAATGTGAAACTGCGGCACTGTGACTAAAACACATTACATCTACAAAATGGAACTAATACACTTCAAACACAGATCTGTTCAACGACTTGTTCACCTGACATTTATTTTAATGTGTGCTGTGTTTCAATGCATCAAACTGATCCAGGACATAAACTACCAAACAGGACAATGTTGAAATAGACAATTATCAATTATTAACCATAACCCGCGGCCCGAGCGTACAGAAGTATCTCAAAGTTCACCCACAGTCATTACCGTAACAACTTTGGCCGAGCAGGGACAGTTTCCACCAATATTTCTGGACACTTTGGCAGCGGCAAAGTGTTGTGTTTGTTGTGTTTTCAAGCCATTCGATCATGCACGCACCTTTCCCTCTTTAACTGGGCACCTCTCCTGTTGCGTGTTGGACGGATGTAACTTGATTGGTTTTTGTAGCTGTACGTACATCAACTTTGGTATAGGATTTGAGGAGGTGTGATTTTTTTCTAATTAACGGGTCGTAATATCTATTTGCTATCTTCAAAAGACTTTGGGGACAATGCCTTAACAAACGAGGCAACATGAGATAGGACATGACCATTTCCAAACGCAACACGTAAGTCACCAACATGTCAGAACAACAACTTCAGTTTGAAATGGCAAAGCATAATCTAATAATAATATAATCTTCTGACTTACCACTGCTAGGCATCAAAGCTCAGCAGTTAGGACAGCTATGATATAAATTGTATGTGTTCATGTCATTTGCAGGTTTTTTGTAACAGTTTTGGAGGCATATGTCCCCAACAACTTTGCTCATGAAGTTACTCCTTTGCTCATAGTAGTTTTGTGTCTGAATAAAACAGTCCATGGAGGACAGCTGCTGTTACCACCGCGCACACTTCCCCTTTTGTTCCATAATTCTTAGTACTGAAACTATCGCTGATTAAAGAGCTACTGTACAGGTGCATATCCACAGCTCTGTGTATACCATGGATGTATTACATTGGTGTATACTGTGAAACCACAGCTGCTCATGGACTGCATCCAAATTGTTTTGATAATTCATTCCAGGTTAAAATGTACCTTTTATATGAGACATTGGTTGTCCAGGTTTGATACATTGTGACCTTTTTAAATGATTTTTAGTACTTTGATTGTTATTCGTGACTGCTGTCGTTGTGTCCTTGGGCAAGACACTTAACCCCACTTTTCCCAAAGCCCCCACTGAAAGATCAAGGCTATGCTCACACTCTGAGAGCAGCCGTCCTCCTGTGGACTCACCACCTGCAGAGGGTCAGTGAGGGGCTGGTGCTATGAGACTTGGGTGGCATCTCTGACTGCCACCCCCCTGACCCAGAAATGGATTAAAGGGAAGAAAATGGATGGATGGATGGATGGATGATTGTTATTCAGTTTATTATTGGGCCTAATGTATTTAGAATGAGAAGAGAAAAAAGAGAAGGAGGTGTATTATATTAATTAAACGATGCCATTTCCACAGAAATCAAAGTGAACTGTGAGGCAGAACATTGTATCAGTATAGTCTGTAGACGCTTTAAGGGACAACACAGATATGCATCATAATTATTCTTTACCAGATATACAGTGTATCCTGCAGCCATAGGAAGCCTCCGCTGTGCAGGCTCTGACATGCAGAAACTCGATCCAAAACAAACCATTGTGGTCATGCCTGGACTTGTGCACCTGGACCAGAGCAGGACTGTTCGAATCAGGAAAAAACCATAAACCTCCAGTCTCCCTCTGCTCTCTCTGCGCGCTGCCGTACAAACAGATATAACTCACTATCGCTGTTTGGCCTCAAAGCCAGACTTAATCCCAATTCCTGACATTCCGGGACAGTGTTAGGAGGACGTCCATGATGCATTGTTTAAACAGCTGGAAGTCTATTCACACCTGCAGCCTCACAGTGCACAGCAGACACTCAGGGGCCCTTACAGCAGACACTCAGGGGCCTTTATAGCAGACACCCAGGGGCCCTTATGAATGGATGGATTTCAATTAGGTTACCTTTTGTTTTCCATTGCAGTTATTGTACATGTTACTTGTCTTCTTACACACATACAGTATATTTCTTGTATATCTGTAACAGGTCACATGAACACATCATATCTGACCTTTTCTGAACCAAAGCTATTATTTTTCACAAATAGTTGGAATATAGATGGTTCATATATGTTTAATGTTTTTGTTGTTGCTACAGGGACAATGCATATTTATGAACATTTCGCATGCAAAGCAAGAATTGGCTAAAAGGCTGTATTTCGTCTATTGTCCCTGGCACATCGACTCTCTTGTTTGTTAAAAACAATAATTACAGTACAGATAAGTATACTGTAGATAGAAAAACACCATTCATCCATCCATTCATCCATTTTCTACCCTTTAATCCATTTCTGGGTCAGGGGGGTGGCAGTCAGAGATGCCACCCAAGTCTCATAGCACCAGCCCCTCACTGACCCTCTGCAGGTGGTGAGTCCACAGGAGGACAGCTGCTCTCTGACTGTGAGCATAGCCTTGATCTTTCAGCGGGGGCTTTGGGCAAAGTGGGGTTAAGTGTCTTGCCCAAGGACACAACGACAGCAGTCATCAGTGGGAGTCGATGGAGAAGGTGCAGAGGTGGGAATTGAACCCACGACCTTCTGGCCTTAAGGCCAATGCTCTACCAACTGAGCTACTGTCGCAAACAAGACACCATTCAGATAAAATCAAATAATGATGAATGAAAACACAGAGTTTGTACTGTTTCTAGCTAACGTCCAGAAGGTGGATTGCATCAGTAATCAGTGCTTAGGAGAAACACATGTTCCACAGGAGGAAGATTCTGGAAGCAACAGTGTGAGTGTAACGACTGTTTTAGAAGAGCGTAGACGACACGAGGCTGAGTAAGGACGCTCTTCTCGTTTTCACTTTTCAATTCAATTAAATGTATTTTTGAATATCCCTAAATCACAATTGTAGTTTTCTTTGATTACTTTACACAATTAATTCACAAACACAGATCAGAAAACAATAAACAGTTCAAAGAAATGCAATGATAAAATACACAGGGGATGAATGTTTTCTGTCTGAAAGCTGTGACAGAGGCCAAAGGTACGTAAAATGTGTGAAAACTAGTGAAGCAGCTGGAACTAGTTAGATAGATTTCTACACGTTCTATATTTTGTGGTTTGAAAGTTAGGTTCTCCAGCCTCGGCCTATTTTACGTACTCAAGCAACATCCATTCATTCATCTTCCTCTTCAGTTTGTGGAGCCGATAGCCCCCGTAAAACACTTAACCTCCGAGACAATAACTCGAACGTGGATGATTGCAATCAGTGACGGCCGCCTGTGGGCTCCACCTTTTAGACTCAGCAGAAGCCCTCCCCTTCCTCACGGTGGAATACTTGGCATATTTCAGAGGCAATTAACCAGGATAGATGACTGCGATAGTGGCACTGTCCAAACCAGAGCACAACATGAGATAAGACAGCCTTTATTCATCCCGCCATACGGAAATCTGACCCTTCAACAGTATTGGCCTGAACGTTGCAAGTGTTTGTCAGCGTAGAGCCAGAGCATCCTGAAGGAGCATCTTGGGCCTGTGTGAATAAATCCAAGGAAATAAATGGTAGATCCCATCCCCATCTATTGCACTGTGAGGTCAACTGTGGAAGACCTCTGACAGGCGTCTCATCGCCAATGTAGAGACTGAAAAAGTATTATTTCTGAAATTGTTGGCCTCATCAACAACTCCTGGATCCCATGTAGTGCACACAATTAGTGGTCTAGTGAAGTCATTACAATCACACTTTTGTATCCAGAATCTCCCTCCTGTGACACATGTAGCTCCTCAGCACTTATTTCTGAAGCAATCTTCTTGGAATTTAGCTAGAAATAGAAAAGGTGTGTTTTGAAAGATACCATATTTTTCAGACTATAAGCCGTGTTTTCTTTCCTGCATTGTAGTAAGGTGTGGCTTATTTTTTTTTGTCCTTTTTATTCTGGGGTAAGTAACAGTACACCAACAGATTTGAAGTTCATAGAGGTTCATTATTTATAAAAAAGAAAGAAATAATAATACATTTTTTGGTTCTTTGTATTGACATAAAAGTGAACAGGGACCAGTAGATGTGGCTCTTTACCTTTCTGCTTCTCACTGGAAGATTAAGAACAGTCAGTGACTCACTTCTTACTCTTATTACTCACAGTAAAGACATGATGAATGGTTTTGAGCAACATTTTTCAACATTACAAAGTGGGACGGGTGCGGCTTAAAATCCAATGCGGCTTGTACAAGTACAAAATTACATTTCTTTCAAAAAATTGGGGCTTAAAATCAGGTGAGGCTTTTAGTTTGGAAAATTGAGAACATATTTTTGTATCTGCTTTCAGTGAAATATTATAGTACATTTCACCCAAACACAAACCTCATTCTGCTCTCTGATTGGACAATCTTCTTGAAAATTGTAAATATTATGGACATTATGGTATTTGTATTTTTAATTAACAATAACTCCACTTCAAACTGTTGTTCCAAAAGGATCGTATATGATTGTACCTGTGAGAGATGTAGACCCTGTCCCCTTTAACTATTCTTTATTTATATACCGCCTTTTCACTGCACATCGGAGTCTCAAAGCGGTTTACAATTGTGATTTTTGGGAGTGGGGGTGCCAGTACAGGAGGCACATGCCAGACCTACTGTATTGTACATATTTTTAGTGGTAGGGGAAACCGGAGCACCTGGAGGAAACCTACGCAGACACAAGGAGAACATGCAAACTCCACTCAGAAAGGCCCTGGTCCAACCGGGATTCGAACCCAGGACCTTCTTGCTGAGAGGAGAGAGTGCTATCCACTCAGCCACGGTGCCGCTCAGATCAGATCCAGATTCAGATTCATTTATTTGCCATTTGCAGTAAAACCACATTGGAAAAACTGTGCAAGACTACCCCAGTGTGCACCAGACGACACACACCAGAGCTCTTGCCACGGCGCTCTTTAAACAATTTGTATGATTTGTCTTAAAAACATAAACAAATAAGAAAATACACAATAGTAGCAGCAGCAGCAGCAGCAGTAGTAGACCAGTAAGTCCTTCAAAACCACTAGGATGTGAAATTATATATTTTCATTGTTCACTTGTTTGTTGTAAATTAGTTAGAACAGCAGCTGTGGTTAGAGCTGTGGTGATCTGATGGTCCACAATGAAAAGAAAGTCACAGTCTACAGTTCATTCACAGATACACGGTAAAGTCATTAGGATGATGTAGATAAGCCACATGCCTCTCCAAATCTCCATGTTTTTGCCCCAAACCGCATTCACAACTGTATTGGATCCCATGCTATATATATTTATATATATATATATATTTTTTTACTGTGATTATTTTTTTTCAGCACTTTCAGCTGCCTTATGAATGAATTGCGCTATACAATTAAACTCGCCTTGCCTATGCCCACAGTAAAGTGAATTGCAAAAAAATACAAGAAAAAATCAATTTGATGTGAGATGATATAATAATAATAATTAGAATTACACACATTAGAATGAATGTGTGTTTTGTTTTGTGGCTTTGTCATTCATTCTGTAAATCTTATAAAATAAATTATTTTGAGTTTGAATTAGATTATTTTAATTGCAGATTCAAACTTGCTTACAGTTTGCTTATGCCATGTCAAGGGTCAGACCTAATTCTTACGTAGTCTATCATTACCGTAATCACATGTTGGATTTGTCTTTATCATATTGCTGCATGTGTTGATCTGTAGCGGTGAATTGCTGCCTCGATGTGAGCCCTAACATTTAAAGGTGTTGCATGTGTTCTTACCAGCCGGGTGGGGGTCCTCACGTCGCCTCTGTACTGGTGGAAGTGTGTCTGGATCACACACACTCTCTTGTCCATCCTCACATGTGAAGGGTGTGCAGGGGTCCCACAGAGGCAGGGCTCAGTGTGGGAGGGGTCCGGTGCGAGGAGGCTGTCCCGCCCTCAGTCACGCTCCCTCACTCCACAGGCTCCTGTCTCCCCTGAAGAAACATGTTCTAGGCTGTTCAAGGCTTATCTGAGGCACAGGAGCATTTGAGTATGATGTCATAGAAACACAATTACATTATACTCTTATAGGACAACACAGTGTTCATAAATAATCCAGAGGAGACTGTTATGGGAACTTGTTTTTCAGCCTCAGTCCTGGTTTTACAGCCTCAGTCCTGGTACTACAGCCTCAGTCCTGGTTTTTCAGCCTCAGTCCTGGTTTTACAGCCTCAGTCCTGGTACTACAGCCTCAGTCCTGGTTTTTCAGCCTCAGTCCTGGTTCTACAGCCTCAGTCCTGGTTCTACAGCCTCAGTCCTGGTACTGCATGTGAGACATGTGCCTAGAGCCTGGAGTGTTCGAACTGTTTGATTCTCCGATATGTTATTGGCATATTGAAAACTTTGTTCTCAGAGACTGTTATGATTTAGGGATACACACAAATGTATTTTGTATATATAGTCTTGTAAAAGTAAAGTTCTGTGAATAAATGCAATCACAACATGTTGACTTCACCCTTTTAGGAACAAGAAATAGCCCTATGAGTCACCATTTGACTCGTTGGGCTGACGCTGATTGGCCGTGTGAGGGTGGTCCTCTCTTTGTTGCTTTTCAGTCTAAAAAACCTGATCTAAAGAAGAGTCAGACTGGCCCCATCCGGAAACACCATCTGATAAAAGACACGTCACATCATCACCTGACAGGTAAGTACTAACTTCTTGTGTCTTATGAAAAGAACCCTCTAAGCCTGTCTTTTTTCTGCTGTCAGACTGCACAACAAACCCTGTAGCAACAATGTGCAATAGGTACATTACAGTGCCTCAATGACAATCTAGTTTTCTGTTCATCTGCTGTTAATTCTGAAAACAGTAATCTGAAACCCAGTTCACATTTTAACTGTACTTTAGAACAGGCGACTTCCCTCTCATCTGAGGGAGTCTCATCCCAGGCCAGCTGAGAGATAGTCCCTCCAGCGTGTCCTGGGTCTTCCCCTGGGTTACTCTCGATGGGACATCTCCAGAGGGAGGAATCCATCCGAAACAGATGCCTCAGCTAGCTCCGCTGGACAGGGACAAGCAGCGGCTCTACTCCGAGCTCCTCCCGTGTGACTAGGCTCCTCACCCTCTCTAAGGGCCCAGCCACTCTGCGGAGGAAACTCATTTTGACCGCTTGTAAATGAGTTTTTTGTCATGACCATAGGTGTGGATGGAAACTGGAGTCTTTTCATTTATATCAAAATTGAGTTTGTCAATGTAGTATGTTATGTGTAAGGATTTAATATTTACAGTCTGGTAAGGATACAACATACAGCATACAGCAAAACTGACATGCTAAGAAAAAATATGTATTTGGATAAAGTCATTTTATTCCATGAATCACTGTCACAGTCCTCAATACTATTAAGCTTTACTCTCCAAATACAATAAATAACAACACATGGGTTTCTAACATTACAGGGGGAGCCCAAACGCCCCAAATGTTTATATGTATTTAGTAAAAGCATTGACATATTTGACCAAATGAAATGACGTCTCTCATGAGAATACCATTTATTTATCAATATTGTGTCGCTCTCTAGTGGCTACATATGGCATGACATTATCACCTGAGAACAACTATAAGGCAAAACACTGGACAAAGCAAGATTTCTTTTTTACATCTTTCACAATTTTTACTTTAGAGACAGCAGCAAACATGTCATAACTTCACAAAACTAGAATATTATATAAAAGATATTTTTTTAGGGAATCAGATATATCTGCTTTCATTCTGTAACGCTCAGCTCAATCTGCTCCATCTGCTTTCATTAAGTCGTGTTGAGTCGACTTTTGAAAGACTGTGCTCCTCTTCACTCCCCGCGATAAACCACGATGTTCTTATCGGTCTCGTGGATCTTGATCTCGTACAGAAGGCCCTCAGGGAGCTGCTGGAGCATGTGGTCCCAGATGTACACCGCCACGTTCTCTGTGGTACTGCAACGACGACAGTAAAGACTGTAATGAGACTCAGAGAAGGTCTAGCTCTGTGAAGAACCTAAAATGACATATTTTGATTATGTTCCAACCTTAACAAGCGCTGCTCGTGTTAGAATGTGAAATCCTGAATAGAAAAGATGTATAACCAACTGGTGAAAAGTTTTCTTTTATGGAACGTACAATAAACGAATTGTTTCTCACTCAGAAATTGGGAGGAAGAATATCTAGAGCTTGCATCTAAGGAACAAGCTGTATTTTCTTTGAATGATCTCTGTAACGAGCACCCTAATACTTGATTTATTATTGCACTAGGGCTGCATGATATTGGAAATTAGAACAATATTCGATATGAGTGTTGAGTATTTCAATAACAATATTATCGCGACATCTTTGTCCTTCACCTAAAATTGCAATCTGCATTGAAACGCAAGAGACAAATAAAAAATAAGCACAACATTAATGACATTCAAATGCATTTATTTACATATTTTTGTTTTTTTTATTGTTCTTGTTGAATGTTGATGTGTCTGTCAGTTTTAATTAATTAACTACTTATTTATTTATCGCGCATATTTTCGATATGGATATCGCACGCACCAATATCGCGACAACGATATTTTTTAGATATACTGTATCATGCAGCCCTAATAGCTCCGTACACTTGTTTGTGTAACATGCTTGTTGTTTGTGGGTTTGTGGGTGGCCGGGGTGCTGTGACTGTGTGTCCAGTGCAAGGTGAAAATACGACACCCGCAATATTGAAATAATATCACCAAGTGTCTGCCACCCCCCAATCTGCTGTGTGTTTGTTATATGTAGCTATGCCAGCGCATGTTATTTGTGTTGTATTTGGTCTCCAATGTTTGTTTAAAAATAATATAAAAAACCTGTTTATAAGGACAATAATACGTTAGAATGTTGTATAACCAATACAGTAAGTGATCTTTATTTATTTTTCCCTTCACTCCACACAGTGAGGCGAGTGGACTTACTAACAAGAGGCGTATACCAGGCCTTTTGTACATGTTTTCAGAATCAGAATTAATTTCACAGCAAGTTCCAAACAAGGAGTTAGCGTTGGCTCAAGATGAAATCAAGCTGAAAGGGCGTGTATAATAACAATCCTCATAACTTTTGCTAAAATTACTGCTATATACTGTACAAACGCAAGTGCACACAGTGGTAGAGGAAACCAGCACATCCAGGGGAAACATGCAGACATGGGGAGAATATGCAAAAACCACAGAAAGAACTCTGCACCTTCTCGCTCTGAAGCCACAAAACTGATATGCAAAAGTAAGCGTTTGGAACTGTCATGTCCCAGCTTTAACAAACTCTTGTATTTATGGACTACGCATGAGCGATACAGACCTGACCACTTTGCCAAAGTATGGAACGTCCTGGTCCAGGTTTTTATGGTCCAGAGGAATCATGATCACCTCCTGCACCAGACAAACACCATTATTATTATTATTGCAGGTAGAATAAGGGAGGACTTTTGGACCTGAAGTCAGATTTATGTGACACAAACTTATGAAACTACTCCTAGCCAACAGCCTCTCAACTAACGGAAGTAAGTAAGTAAGTAAGTAAGTAATCTTTATTTATATACCACCTTTCACAGACCAGATCGATTTACAATTGTTGTTTTTTGGGCATTTGTCTCTCACTCCACACAGAGATGGGAGCGGGGTCGCCAGTGCAGGGAGGCGCATGCCAGACCTATTGAACATGTTTTTAGTGGTAGGGGAAACCGGAGTACCCAGTGGAAACTTACGCAGACATGGGGAGAACATGCAAATTCCACTCTGAAAGGCCCTGTTCCGACCGGGATTCGAACCCAGGACCTTCTTGCTGAGAAGCGAGAGTGCTATCCACTCGGAAAGCCGGAAGTGTGTAATTCAAATGAAGTATCAAAACTGCCAATTCCGACTTCAAATGGGTTGTTTCTGCAAGTGAAAATACCCAAAAAGAGGCAATGGAGGAAAAAAAAAAAAAGAACATATCATCTTTGTTCTTATCCTTGCGACAAAATAACCTTTATCTGAGAAACGCACGAAGGACATTTCTCTCTGAGATTTTAATTTCCAAACAGAATAATATCCATATGATTTCTGTCACCATTCAATGCTCCTCTAGTCATTTCAAAATTCATAAAATTAGATTAACAGGAGTAATCAGTGGCTGTCAACCAATTTTCAAAAATAGATTTTCCTTGCTTGGCAGGTGACATCTCGCTGTGAATACCTGATCATTTTCATTGGTCTCTAAAAGTCACTGTGGTTGAACCGTTCATAAAGTTGGCACAATGTTTAATGTTTGGGCGATTACAGACCTATTCTAAATCGGCCATTAGATTGTGGTAAAGTTTCCTTTTGTGTGATTCAACAGCAGCATTTGACACAGCTGTCCTGTTTGGAGCTGGTTTAAATCTTATCTGAGTGAAAGAGGTGAAAGAGTGCAGTTCTGACAAATTTCAAACACTGTATGGAGTTCCACAAGGCTCCATTCTTGGGCCTGTAATTTAATCTTTATGTCAAGCCATTAACAAAACTGTTATAGAACTTGCAAACAACACACACTTGAATAAAACTAAACTAATGTTTTTTTTTTTTATATATTAGCATTTAGTTATTTTCCAAAATGGTGGCAAACTTCACCTCACTCACCTCAATGCATCTCTTGAGCTCGGTCAGGTTCATCACCATTCCAGTCAGAGCATCGATCTGCAACATACAAGACTTTTATATCTCCTGATCACCTCATGTTCTCGGCTTTTGACTCTCCCCACAGAAGGCATTTATTTCCTAAAAGTGTTGGTCTTGCAATACCACCGCTGTTGTGTCCATTTCACATAAACAATGCCACAGAAAAGCAGTCAGAAGCAGTTGTATGGATGGATGTGTTTCTTCTGCTACTGCTCACCTGATCTATCTATTTACAACCTCTTGCTGGAATCGTGACCGAAGGAGGAGACTGCAGCCCTCAGGACAATTGTCAGCCTTCAATAAGGACAACAACCAAAGTGTGGCCATATTTTGGACTATTATAGAGTGCAAAGGGACATCTGATAGAAGACAGCTATCCTGTCCACCAAATGTGCAGGAAAAAAGTTTCTGCGAAGTGAGATCATCAATCACAACTCTATAGCCAATGCTAGGTAAGATAACGCTAAAGTTTTAGCTTAAATAGATGATGCGGGAGACTTTGGGGTAGAGGGAGATTTGTCTGACTATCCGTCTGTCAATAGGAGGATCTTTGAGTGACATCGTTGTTGATAGTTTTTCAGCGCCGGTCACGTGTCTGTGTGGCAGGAAAGCTATCAGAATTCTAGAGAGTTTGCTAGTTTTAGACGTTTAGAGAGGTTTTACTAAATCAAATGGTCCGTTCTTGTTGTGTGGATGGTTGTACGGCCCGTTGGGGACAGATTGTTTTTTTTCTAACTCTTTCGGAAAAGAAGAGCAAACGGACGTGGTAAAGTGGTTGCCCTTTTATGCTGTTACCTACGGTAAACGTAGAACAGGAAGCCGGGTTGCTCATCCCGAGGCTTCCTGTTCCACTTTAACGTAAGTAACAGCAAAAAGGGGCAGCCCGCTTTTAATTGTGCTTTACCGCGCCAAGGAAATGCCGTGCCACTTTTCCGCAGTGAAAAACGCGAGAAATGGATTTTCACCACGGACCCTTCTTGAGTGAAGGGTCCTGGGTTTTCTATGAAGTGAGAATAGATGTCTCAGAGCCCCAGCCCCAGCAGAATAGATCAGTGCCAAGACAGAGGTGAGTCTGACCAATGTTTTCTCTCGTCATCCCAGGTCTCATATTGGCTTTGGATTTGTTCAGTTCGGTCTCTTACACTTATTTTTAGCTTGTCTTTATATCTCCTCTGATCTTCTTGCGTTAAAGTGCTTATATACAGTGCTATTCGTCCACTGAGTCGTTTAAAAGTACTGGTCTTATCCATGCATCAGTATGCGCCGCTCTGACTCTCGCCACCCAGCGAGGAGCGCATGCGGGTGTAAACAAAGATCCTCCAATAATGTTAACGTAGGAGTGCAGCCGCAGCGTCAGTAAATTATAAATGGCTCTAGCTGCCGATTAGCAGCTAATATGCTAAGCTAAACAGGTATATTAGGAAAGAACCGCCCTCTCCACTTTTTGAACAAAATTCTCTGGTCTTATTTGATGAGCACGTATCACCAAGAGGATTGACAATCGGGAGGACCAATAGTCTTAATGATCCACTCAGAAGTATGTATCCTCCTATATACCTTTGATAAATGAGACGGTGAAATGAAGACGCATTATTGAGCGCTGGATGAAGGCAAAACAATACCATGCAATTTGTTTGTTTTAACCATTTTAAACTATTTCAGTTTGCGTATGACTATCAATGCACTCTGAACACATGCATTGAACTTAAAAATATATATGCTGTACATATAGAAAACCGTGGACATTTTGGTCACAATAACCGCGATGTTAAATGTTCATACCGTGACACCCCTTGAGCTCGACCAATTTAACGGTATGATTATGCAAGTATTGAATCTGTTAAATAGGACTCTATGTTGGGCGGTGTGCAGTCTTACCTTCCCACGCACAGTCACCTCCACTGTGGAAAAAACAGAGACAAGTCAAAGCCAAACTTCAATTATTCATTTACTGCTGGAATAAACAGACCTTTGTAGTTGTGTCCGTGTCCGTTTGGGTTGTTGCACTTCCCATAGACTTGCTTATTCTCTTCATCGCTCAGGTCAGGGCTGGACGCACAAATACAATAGAAGGTAACATAATAAGGAAACGTAAATATGCAAACAGGAAGTCCAAGTACAGTATAAGTTCAAATTAAAAAGCAACTATAGCAGTGCAAGTTTCAGTCTTACTATGACAAACTGATCATGCCGATTAAAGGCACTTTACCAAATTTATTTTCTAATGAGTTCATAAAAATGCGTATTAATACAGACAAGTTTCATTAAAAACATAGGTCTTTTTTCAGTTACTGTGCTATATATTTTGCTTTGTGATTGTTGTACAGTTTACGAGATATTGTGCGAATGCTAACGTATTATATGTATCAGATCGCTAATAAAACTAGATGGCAACATGGGAGGAGAGTGTAGGAGAGAATAGGAGAAGATTAAGATTAAGATTAAGATTAGATTAAGAAGCCTGTGAGCGAGTTGGGGGACGGTGCTAAACATTCAAACTGAAAAAAAACGTTGCAGAATCGTGTATTGCTCCAAAATGTAATTCATCGTTAAGACCAGTGTTTTTCAATAGGGACCTATCACTGAATTGGTCAAAACAATGTGAAAAAAAAAAAAAAACTACTTAATGCATCTCAACTTCACCATCACACAAACCCAGACACAAAAAGATATTTACTGTTGTGATTTAGGGCTATACAAGAATACATTGAATTGAATCAATACAAATGCACTAAGTACATTTGTATTTAGTGTTACTTTCTTTTATTCCATATTGTTATGAATCTTATGTAAGTCTTGATTAGTGTTGTTTCTGTGTTAATTCTTTGCTTGAAGAGAAAATAATGTGACATGACTTTAACGTCTTGTTTCACTTTGATAAGGAAAGACTTTGTACCTTTGTGCCTGCTGCTCCTATTGGCTAATCAAGTCAAAATCAATAGGATTCATTACATTTGTGTCTGTTTGTTTATTGAACATGCACAAGACACAATTATTCACCGGAAAATATGATAATTAGAGAAAACAAGAACACCGGAGTATGGTTTGAAAAGGGTCGCAGCAAAAAGCTTATATTAATCCAATCCCATCCATTTAGACACATACTACAATACATACAATCAGAACCCTACAATACCCTCCAACAAAATACATAACAGTCAATCACACAATATCTACAGTACAACTCTGGAAAACTAAGACGACAACATCACAAACTTTCACTGACAGCACCACAAGATACAAACAAATCATTACACAACTCAAACGGCAACGGAGCACTTCACCTCACCTCTCATGGAACATTTTACACTTTAAAAATGTTAATAATCCTCTGTAAATATTGTCATCATTGCTGATATTATTATTGTTGGAATTATAATTGTTATATGTATATTTGCAGTGAAAAAAAAGGCATTTAAAAAGTGCAATAGACAGACAAGACCAAGACACAGTGAGGCTCCTATTCACAGTCAAGACACAGAACACTCACTAACCGCTCCCTTCTGACTCCTCTCTCGCTCTGGGCTGAGGGCATCACGCTCCTTCCTCCACAATTTCTCAATCTTTTTAATTGAATCAAATTTACACACGTCTTTAATTCCTGTCGTTCAAAATGTTCTTTCCTCACACTGGGATACACATGTCATGGTGTGGATTGTATTTTTGTATTTGGTTTTATTTTGACAGTTGCTTCATTCCCTGTTGATTGTCTGCCCCGCCCTGATGTGTTTCACCTGTGTCTGTGTGTGTCTATATGTACCCTGTGCTTCTCTCCCCTTGTTGCTGGTTCATTGTTTTGTTCATGTCTTGTCAAGAGCGGTCCTGTTCCTGGTTTCTTTGGATTGGAGTTTATTTTTATGCCTTGGACTTTGTTTTATTAAAACCTTTATTTTTGCATTCCTGCGTTTGAGTCCTCCATCATCTCACTCCATGACAACACATAGATTTTGATGTAGTCCTAAATTTAGGTTGATATCATTTTTCCCCCTTAAAAAAGGTACACTTTTTAGTTTTTACTCCCATCAAGCGTTGAGATTATATTGCAAGTATCCTTCTATCACCAACACTACGGACCATATGTCGTGTTTGACAGTGGTTCCAAACATCTGGTAATTCACCGGACCACTAAGGAAAGAATCCTTTAGTTTGATAAATGACCGGATCTCTCCAAACACTAGTGCGCCACAAATGTGCCTTGACGCACGTGTGTGAAGGTGCACATTTAAACAAAGTCTGGTGTTTTACCATGGATCTATTGTTATAAAATATAGTTTGACCATGGATCTATTATTATAAAATATAGTTTTACCATGGATCTATTATTATAAAATATAGTTTGACCATGGATCTATTATTATAAAATATAGTTTGACCATGGATCTATTATTATAAAATATAGTTTTACCATGGATCTATTATAATATAGTTTTAGAGAGTACCTGTATTTGAGGTGTCCCTCTTCAAAAACACGCACACACACACACACACACAAACGCGCGCGCGCACACACACACCTAGACACACACACACGCACGCACGCACGCACGCACACAACGATGGAACTTTGGCTTGAAAACTAGTCAGGAGTCAGGAAAAACCGGTATGGAGCATGTTTGGTTTGAATCCAGTCCTCACGAGGACAGTCCTCAGTCTAGTCCTCTGGGTTTGGGAAATGTGCTATAAGTAAAGTGGATTGGATTGGATAGTCCTGGTTGAGTCCAGTAGAGACTCAGCATTTGCGTATTCTCTCTCTGCATGCGGATAGAGCTGGACTGTCTGACCATTGTGCTGACCTGTGGAGCCGATGACACGCGCTGAAGCTCTGGACGCGGGTGATGTAACCGATGCGCTCCGGGGCCATGAGCGCACCGGGACCGGAGCGAGAGCGCACCGAGAGAGAGAGAGAGGGAGAGAGAAGGACAGAAGGAGGAAGAGAGTAGAGTCACTGGGGCAGTCCAACGACCAGGAATGGACCGTTATTTCCACCGCGGAGCAGACATGGGAGCAGAGATGGAGCCGAGAATAAAGCCTCCAGAGACCGGCCCACTGCAGAGGAGCGGCCGCTGATAGGCGCACGGAGCGGGGAGGAGCAGGAGGAGGGATCTTTTCTTTTTTTCGTTTTTTTTTTGATCAATGTTTTCTCTGCATGACTTATTAAGACTAATGTATTTAATAATAGTAATACTTTTGTTTGAATAAAAAATATGAAATAAACTAATGTCAAATCAGTACAGCATGATTCAAGTATTTTTAGGAAAGGCTGTTGTTTTACACAAGTAAGACAAGTTTATTTGTATAGTACAGTTCAGAATTAACTATATTCAAATCATATGTTTTCACAGTACATTAAAAAGAGATAAGAGTGTATAATTTGTAATTTGTATCAGAGTTCAATAATGCAGGCAGAGGAATAGGCATCATTATGGCATTTGATTTTAGTTTAGATTTTCAATTGCACAGATTTTTTTTCCCCATGTCTTCAAAACAACTATTATAAAACACACGTATACATGATTGTATTATACACTCATGATTATTATGCACACGTGATTTATTCCACGCATCTGTTGTATTAAGAAACGTGCACTGAGTACAATAGCTGTTAGCAGTGCAGTAAAGTGACAGTAGAGATAGTTAAGTGACTTCATGAGGGCAGGGGACAGTGATAAGTTAAAGTGTTCAAGAGTCCGACTGCAGAGGGGAAGAATCTGTTCTGAGGAGGTACTTCCTGAGGTCCTTCCTGAGGAGTGATTGGAACAGTCCAGGTGAAGAATAGAATAGAATATACAGTATTTGATGGTTGATTCTTTGTTATGCTAAAGTTAGTTATTTTCATTTTAGTATAGAATTATTCTTGTGCTATGCTCCTACTGCTCTGTATTTTTCCTATACTGTTGCTGATGCAACACTAAAATTTCCCCACTGTGGGAGGAATAAAGCATCTCTCAATCTTGATCCAAATCTTAATCTTTAAAATAAAGATCCCTTACTCACAACACAAAAAAATTCACATGAAATACACATTAACACAAATGAATACAAAACAGTGACATGAATACTTTACATATATGTGTCTTTCTAATCCTGCGAGATCTTTGAGGAATGGTGAAACCGTGTAATGCTGTTTGCGGCTGCTCTGCACATGACGAGCCGCGTGGGTGCTCAGGCTGCAAGGCTTAAAAAGAGTCTTCTCAAAAAGAAGAATGCATTTAATGACAGTAAAGCAAGGCCAGTTTATTTGAATAGCACCGTTCTTACATTGGGCAACGCACAGTGATTTACAAAACAAGAAAGGAAACATTAAAAATGCAACCAGCACCCTCCCAGACCCCACCCCCTCTCTCTGGGGCCAGGAGACCAAGATATTTCTTCCTGGTTAGATGAAGGTCAATAAAAAAAAAACAGACATTAGAAAGTCCCAGCAGCAGGCTAGTCCCTGTGCTCTTTGCTTCTTTTGGAATTACCTTGTCATGAATGTACTTTGGTGCAAGACCATGGAAAGACTTGTTCAAAATCTGACCTGACTTTGAGAGACTGGAGGTAACAGATACTGCTCTCTCTGTTTCTGGGGACCAACAACATTCATTTAAGTTTGAGTGAGCACTGGTCCATGTTCTCCTGCCAATCTGTTACTGCATATTAAAGTTATAGGTATATAATGGCAGCATGTAGAGATTGAATGGAGGATCGACCCCTGCGGCACTCCACAGTTCAGGGCCATATGATCTGGGACACAATCAAAAATCTTAACAAAGTCTTCTAGATAAGACTTACCCCTAGGGCAGTGCCAGCAACACCCGCCCAGTGCTCTTGTCTTCTTATGAGAACCGCACAGTCCTGTAGTCTCTGTATGAGGACCACACAGTCTATAGTCTCTGTATGAGGACCACACAGTCCCGTAGTCTCTGTATGAGGGCCGCACAGTCCTGTAGTCTCTGTATGAGGACCACACAGTCTATAGTCTCTGTATGAGGACCACACAGTCCCGTAGTCTCTGTATGAGGGCCGCACAGTCCTGTAGTCTCTGTATGAGGACCACACAGTCTATAGTCTCTGTATGAGGACCACACAGTCCTGTAGTCTCTGTATGAGGGCCGCACAGTACTGTAGTCTCTGTATGAGGACCACACAGTCCTGTAGTCTCTGTATGAGGGCCGCACAGTCCTGTAGTCTCTGTATGAGGACCACACAGTCCCGTAGTCTCTGTATGAGGGCCGCACAGTCCTGTAGTCTCTGTATGAGGACCACACAGTCCCGTAGTCTCTGTATGAGGGCCGCACAGTCCTGTAGTCTCTGTATGAGGACCACACAGTCCCGTAGTCTCTGTATGAGGGCCGCACAGTCCTGTAGTCTGGACGATGTCAAAAGCAGTACTCAGAGTGAGTTAATTTACAAAACATAAGCATGCCGAGTGTACACTGTGTTGTTCCCAAACCAATCAGACCACTCTGGTCCCAGTCTGTGTCTTACGTACTTTTATTTTGATAAATCTTAAACAATATAAAGTCATTTTAAGACATAATACAAATAAGTGACCCACTGCTCTCAACAATGTAATCTACCATTAAATCAGATATATTCTTTCAGCAATAACATAAGGACGCCACAGTTAGACTTGACTTTATACAATCTGCATATGAATATTCACAGAAGCAATACACACAAAATATAGATCTGTACACTTCGCTCGGATACGGTGAAAAATACAATAAAAACAGAATGAAAGTCTGAATAAAATGCATTTACATTTTAAGGAAAAGCAATGACCCAGCAGAAAGACAGCAGCCTTTGTACAGATATGGACAGATGTGTTGTGGGGACTCACTGCAGTCATATGACATGTTTATATTTCATTATATACAAACTCACAAAGCCTTCAAACATTTGCCACAGATTACAATATAAGCTGTGGTACGTAACCTTCAAACCATAATAATAATAACTGATCAATAAAGTTTGCCTCTAACACTTTTCAGGTTGGAACAGAAAAAAGTTTTATTTGTGAAAAAAAGTTTAGGTAAAAAACTCATCCTAAAACCTGATTTGATGAGAACATTTATTTTGGGATTTTTTTTATTGATTGATTGATTGATTGATTTTATTTCAAGCTTATAAACAGGAATCAATTTATAGATTTAAAGGCAATTACATATTATTAATTATTAATTAATAATAATTAATAATTATTAATAATAATATAATAATAATAATAATAATAATAATTGATTAATTAATTATTAATCAATATGTATATAAACTTTAAAGGAATTTAATGGAATAAGAACACTCCAATCTACTCAGAGATACGGGAAATTAAATTGAGAGAGTGATGCAACAGTTGTTGTAGGCGCGCAGTTGTAATGTCATTTAACCGGAGACATTTCCAAACTTAACTGCACTACTGTTTTAGAGGGATTCACATTTAAGAGGATTTGTCATGGCAAAACAACTTTGAGAGAAGAGCCTTTCGACAGAAGAGGCGGGGGGACTTCTTGATATTAGAGTGGATGGAGTGAAAACAAGTAACAGATCTGGGGAGGGACATTTGTGAGTGACATTTGACCTCACACCACTTCAGCGTCATGAATGGGTTAGAGGAAGTCCATGATGGATCAGAACTGGCTCTCCTCCAGAACCTCCTCCACGGTCTCCCCCATGGTCATGTCTCCATCGCTGCTCGACAGACTCTTCCTGCCCCCTCGGACTCCGTTAACCCCTCTGCCCTGGGCCTTGGACACGCCAGACCCCCCCAGCCGTGCCCCGCCCTCCAGTCTGCACTCCAGTGGCAGAGGGCAGGGGCGCGGGCAGCGGGAGGACAGCCTGCCCCGGTCGGACTCGGGCTGAGTCCTGTGGGTGCTCTTCCAAAGCTGTTTGAGCGGCGTTCCTCTGAAGCAGCTCCGCACGGACCAGTGGTGAGTGAAGAGGAAGAGCTGCCAGCGCTTTTTGAGCTCTGTCTGCACCTGCGGGACACAGGGGCCACAGGGTCACACACACACACACAAACACACACCCTGGCCTGGTCCTAAAATCTGAATTTGCTTTTGAGTGTGCAATGCCTTCTTACTTTTAAACAACCCCTCAATTTTGCACCTCATCAACTGTTTGTGCGACACCGATTCTTAATGGATCATTTCTTAATAAATCTCACTTGTCAAAGAGTCAGATGAGTGACATTTTCAGCTTTTTACACTAATCATCTAATATGACACTATGTACAGTAATTGAAGACACAGTTTGGAGACATTTCCCAAACTGGAAAAAGAAAATACTTGTTTGTGTTTTGAATATTTCTGTGGATTGAACTACTCCAGGTCATTTTGGGGAACACAGTGGCAACAGTGAATAAACCATGTGTTGTGTCCTGTGAAAGCTGTACCTCTCCGTTGGCAAAGCAGTAGAGCACGGCCACCAGGAAGCCCTGCAAGCACAACATCACACCGTTTGTTTTTAACTTTCAATTCTCCAACTTCAAAGATAGAAATAAATGAGAAAGTGACACAATGGGGGTGCATGTTACTCCTCCTGAAGTTTTATTTAAGCTTTACCCATTGGCCGCAACCACTCATATCCACCTCATCCATAAACTCATTAGAACGCTTGTAATGCTATTATGAAAATTATTTTCAATACAGTCCCAGAGCTAAAAAATGGTTTTCATCCTTGAATTAAATATAGCTAAGGTAGCACCTGTCTCACTCCTTAAAGAAGATGTCTAGTCCTCCTGACTCTGGGCCCAAGCAGGAGGCCAGTCCCTGTGCTCCACAGAGTCCCAGCAGGAGGAGGTCCCTGTGCTTCTCAGTGTCCGAGTTGGCTCATATGGTACCACCAGCCCCAGTCTCATGTCTGCACACTCACCTGGAAGGAGCTGAGGGTCAGGTGGATGAAGTTTCGAGCGTATCGACTGCTGCCCTCCACACACTCGTCCAGCAGCACCGTGAACACTACCTCGTGAAGGCCCAGCAGAGGCACCAGCACCAGGGTGGCCCGCGCCAGGCTGCAGGGCAGAGACCAGACATTAGAGAAACTATGTACACTGTAAACTCCAACGCTCAAAATAGTTAATTTTAAGTACAGTTAACTTAAAAAACATAAAAGTTCTAGGGTTGAGTGCCATAAACATGCTTTGGCTTTAAGTGAACTACATCAATAATTCTTGATTATTTTAAATTTTTTACAGATGTCATTTTTTCCAAGATCCAAATGATTGTATTAACATTAAAGCGAAAAGTTATACTTTTTTAATTAAATATATTGTAGGCTAGGCCTAAACCAAGAATCAGCCTAATCGACAATGGCTCAGTTGGTCGAGCATTGGCCTTAAATAAATTGGGTAATTATTATTGTGGGTCCACCCCCATGGCCTGGAGTGGTATTGCAAGTAAGTCAGCGCATGAGTTCATGGACCTTTTGGAGCCGGAACCCGCCCCCACTGGTTTCGCACGATACTTATCTTTTGTACCTTCTTTCATTTGTAAACGTGTGATTTTTGTGTGTATGAAAAAGTTAATATAGAAAGAGCCAAAAACAACTAAATTACAATTAACAAACTACCAATCCAAATGAGAACCTCATTCTGCACTCTGATAGGAAAATCGGATTGAAAATCATAAACACAAACTTGATGGACTTGCCATTATTTCTAGTTTATTTCTAGTTTAGTTTATTTTTAGTTACATAAGAATAACTCTCAACCTTTGTTCGGATAACGCACTATTGTCTTGTGTATTTATCTTATTGTATCCAGCCATTGTTTCAATGCTTTCAAATCAGAAAACAGGGCAGGGATTCTTCAGCAGTTTTAGTGATTATGATCAGTGGATTTTCCCCAAAGGAACCACCCTCTCCCCTTTTTGAACAAAACGTTCTGGTCTTATTTGACGAGTACGTATCACCAGAAGGATTGACAATTGGGAGGAGAAATTGTCAATTCATGTCTTGTTGATCCACCCAGAAGTTGAAAATCCTCCTATGTACCTTTTAATATAGAGTATTTCAACTTTGTGGTAAAATGGCAAGTACTGGTATTTGTACGTGCACCTGTATCTGTAGTCAGAGAAGGTGACCTGGTCGGCCTTCAGCTTGGACAACAGCAGCAGCAGGATCTTTATGAAGATGAAGAAGATGATCTGGGAAAGACACACACACAAAATTTGGGCATTTCATTGAACCTTTTTGCGTCCCACAGTGGAGAAATGTCAGTGTTGCAGTGCACATACAGGAACGTAAAAGCACGGCAGAGGCGCAGGAGCGGAAAATCGACACATGCAGGAGATAAACATTGCTGAACTTTCCTCGGGACGCTCATGCAGTGAAAAATCAGAGAGCGGCAAAGTGGTCACGGGGAGTGGTCTGAGCTGCATTGGCTTCCCATGTGTTTCAGGATCGATTTTAAGGTTCTTTTAATAGTCTTTAAATGTCTTAATGGTCTTGGGCCTTCTTATCTTTCAGAACTGCTTTTATCCTATGAACCTTCACGGCCCCTGCGCTCCTCCGGCAGCAGACTCCTAACCATCCCCAAAGTCAGGACACACACTCACGGCGAGGCATCTTTCCAGCACTACGGCCCCCGTCTCTGGAACAGTCTGCCGGAGGAGCTCAGGGCCGCAGAGAACATTCATTTTTTTAACCTCTTAACATCCGCCTCATTTTGGCTCGTGCACAATGGTTGGGCATACCCAAATGTCTTTGCTTATTTAAAAACACATCTTACATCTCACATGCTTGTGTGATGCATCATTTTAAAGCTAGAGCCTTCTAGTTTATGTAAAAAAACACTAAAATAATGTTTGTCATCCTTATTTTCCTCTGCATCCTTTGAAGTTAGGGAAAAAAACCCAATTTTTTTAGCCTCGCCTAACATTTTCAATTTCTAAAGGCCCTAAAAAAGGCATACTTCATTGTAAGTTCACAATATTCAAACCCTCTGTTCATTGTGTTGTTGACAACAACTGTCTAAAGTTTCAGACTTCTAAGTTTTATAGTTTTTATGCAGTTTCTCCTTTTCATCAAGTAGTGCACATTTGGCACAATTTGGCACAAGTGTGCCAAATTGTGCCAAATATCTTTACTTACATTTAATCATCATAAAAACGATATTTTTTTATTATTGGTACTTATAAGTTACTAATCTACGTGTGTTTTTCTTTTTTAAATGTCAAAGTTATTTTTTTATGAGTGTAAATTCATTGCAGCTTCGAGAGCGTCTTTTGGCTTCCAGGCCCAACATAAGACAGGACACCATTGTCCCACCCCTTGTTCGAAAGCGTTCCTCATTGGCTACAAGGACATGTCAATCGTAAATCCCGGAAGTAAAAGCAAACAAGTTGGGACCCCACAAAAGATCAGTGTTCATTGCGCAAACAGCAGCGCAAGCTGTACTTACGGGACCTCTTGCAGACCCAAAAATTGGTCTAGCTTTTCGGGAGTAGTCTCATTTGAAAGATAAGGAGCTAAGGAACACGTGGATACCAGATGTTTGGGTGAAAAAAAAAGCTAAAAGTCCGTTAAAAGTGAAAGAGTAACATTTGTGCTCTTTTTTTTCGCTAAAGATAAATGCACATTTTTGGATTATTTCTGCAGAATGGATTTTACTTTGGGAAATACAAGTGGATATAATTTTCCTTTGGACTGTTCCAGAGAGAATGATGTATTGCAAGCTGGGAGGAGAGCTGATTTATTTGTACAGCACAAGCCCAAAGGTAAAAAACTATTTCGGAATTGATTTATTTTGTGCCCACATTATGTGTTATATCTTTTGAATGCAAAGTCTGATGTGGTTTACACTTGTATATAAATGTAGATTGTATATAAATGTAGATAAGAAAATAAGCTTTAAAATGATATACAGCTTTTGGGGTTTGGTGTTCAAAATACATCTGCTATTGCCAGCAGAACATTTAAAAACATAAAAACAGCCGCCGGCGCGCCGGTGTTAGTAAAGAGGTTAAAAGCAGGCTCAAGACACACTTTTTTAGATTAGCTTTTGATTAGTATTTATTATTCATTATTGCGTTTTAGTAAATGTATTTATGTTTTTAGACACATTTTATTTAGGTTTTTATTTATTTTATCTACCTGTTTACTAATGTTATTATTAATATTAAGCAGCTGCCATTTACTTTTTAGTCTCACATTTTAATGTTTTACTTTCTATTGTATTGTTTTAGTATCCCCAGTGTTTCCTCTGGAGGAGCCCTCTGTACTGGGAGCTGGGGTCTGCTAGGGCTGCGGCTCTTGGATCCGGTGGGGGTCCGGGGCCTCCTCTCTCCTCTGGGTCCTGTGTCGTTCCCTGTGGCTGCAGGCGGCTCTCTGCTCCTGGTGCAGATGGCTCCTTGGATGGCGCTTCTTCAGCTGTATGCATTTGCACCCAGCCCTATATCTTTTCATTGTTTTACCTATTTTACCTATCTTTGTATGTGTGTGGTGTGTGTGTGTGGGTGTATACGCATGGGTGTATATATAATAATAAATGTGGTTTATGGGTGGGTCTGTGGGGAGGCGGGGTTTAGGGGTGGGCAACTTGGATTTAATTCAACTGAACTGTAAAGCACTTTGTGCTATACACTCGTAAACAGCCAACACAGGAGTTACACCAGGACTAAAACCAGGGTTGACAACGGGGGACTCTGTGCTTGTGAACATATGCGTTTTCATGCTCCTGTGACTGTATAAAACTGCTTCGAGCGTGTTCGGCAATGCAGAAGTACTGTTTATAATAAAATAAACGTATGCCGCACGTTCATGAACACATACTGCTGTTATATAAAGTCTGTGGAAGGTCTCTGGACACAAAGACGCTGCAGAACTGCATTATTGTAGAAGAACTTTACACAAAAAGCCGCTAGCTTCACTCCGTTAGCTTAAGTCCGTCCGCTACTTCTGCCACTTCCGGCGGGCGCTACCGCTGGCCGGGACTTCTGGTCTGAAGACCCCTGCATCTGAAAATTAGAGAATGTGCATCTGGTGCGCGAGGCATCAGCATTCCAGCGTTTGCGGTCTAAACGCGCCATAAGACTGAACTCACTTGAAGAAATGTGTGGAGTCTTCTCTCCTCTGGATTTGGTCTGATAGAAAACCTGCAGCCACAGTGGCTCATTCTGGACCAGTTTGGACACCCCTGGTGTAAAGGGTAAAGAGAAATGGCGCAAAGACGCTCCCCTGGGGGGAAGCTCTCAAACTGTGGTCATCATTAACGTGGATTTCCCCAGGATAGTTGGTACAGGCAATGTGAAAAAAAATCTATGCTTTATGAAGACATGTTTCTTACATTTAGAAAAACTCTTATTTCCTCTTAGTAGTATACTCTTAGTAGTATACTGTTTTGTCCTGAGCAATGTACTTTGATGAATCTGAAATTGAAGTAATCTGACACTATTTCAGCCGGGAGTCATTCAGCGCTTCTCCTCTCTGATTGGAAACAGTATATTTGTGGACAAAGATGTCACGCGTGAGTGAGCGTGAATTCACATGAGATCACGGGACGAGGACGCAGTGAAATGTGCAGAGGAGCACCCGAGAGCACGGGACGGTGCCGCTGTGAAATGAGCTCCAGCGTCCTGGAGGTGTTCAAACAAGGACAGAAGGAGACACGACGGCCACATTCCATTGGACGTGAAGGAGATGGTACAATATAAATCTGCGTTCCCACCGGACCATAGTGTGGCAGAGGCGGTGGGCAAAGTGACTTGACGCATGCAATGAACAGGGCTCAACTTGGGGGAACCAATCAGAGAGCAGCAAAGTGGTCACACGGACACAAGCCACTTAAAGCAGTAGGAACACAAGAGCTAAAATCAGATTAAACGAGGTGCGACAATGATGAACATTGCCAATGCCATTAAGGAAGTACCGGTTCATTCTGGCAGCAATAATAAAGCTGCGTTCTCACCACAGACGTTTACTAAGATTCAGCCATATGAGTTTGGAAAATCTGACGTACTGCCCTGCAATGCCAAAAAAGATGGTGGGCGGGCTTTGATGCAGGAAGAACCGGTACTACCTCATTGTCGATCATGTTAGCAGCACTTGTGTCCCCAATTGTCAGTCTTGTTTTGGCTGTTTTCGAGAGTCTTTGCCTTCCCTTTGTGTGATCTCTGATACTCCCATGATACTTACATGGTGCAATCTGCCTGCCAATCATCTTTCTTGTTTTTGGGGGAAACCTAATTAGAACCTTGTTTATCTGGGCTAGGACTCACCAGCACCGACAGCGTGATGGGGCCTCGTATGATCCACCAGAACCACTTGTTCACTATGGACCAGCATCTGACAAACACAACACACACATCAATTATCAACAAAAACATTTTTTTAACCAAGCTCCAACATGTCCTCATCAAAAACAGACCAAGAACTCCCTGCCCCTTCTGCCTTCACACTCCTGTTTCCAAGTCGTTATACTATGTAATATGAGTGAAATTTTCCACAACTATGAGACATCACCGCCCCAACGCAGTTATCATATCCGCCAGTGATTTTAATACATGTAACTTAAAGACTGCAACAACGTGTCAAATACGTATGTGCTTTATGTGTTCACCTTCAGAGTTAGGCTTCAGCAAAAGCATCCAGGGCTCTGTATATCAGTAAGAGCTAGTTTTCTTGTTGGTTCTATGACTGTGTGATTTGGTGACATGACAGCAAAGAAAGGAGAGCTCTAAACAAGGTGCTCTACTCTGAAAGAGGACTGTGAGCTATGAGACTAGAGCGAGACCAGAGAGGGACCAGAGAGAGACCAGATAGAGGACTATGAGCTGGAGGTTCTTTACGAATCCAGACTTTTAAACTGATCTCTTAGAGTAATCAATGACTCTTCTGGGCCCTGGAAAAGCCACGTTCCAGCTTCTTCCCTCTGGCAGAAGATGTTGTTTGCTGAGATGCATGAAGATCTCGTTTTGCTCACAGCTTCTTTCCACAAACTTTTGCCAGTTTAAACAGAGCACTTTAATGATGTCACATGTATTGAAACTGTTTTAGTCGATCGATATCACAGAGTCAACTGTTTCATGTTTGGTTTTTTTCTTGTACTTTTAACCTTGTTTATCTATGTACTTGTCCAGTGCACACTGGGGACTTTTGCACATGTATTCCAATGTGGTTTTATTGCAAATGGCAATTAAATTAATCTGATCTGAATCTGATCTGATAATTCAATTCAATTCAGCCCTAACTCAGTCGTCTCGGAGGACCTTACAAAGTTGTCGATTCACCAACAACAGATCAAAGGATCAAACCGTTTGAACACGAGCCTCATATAACTGGCTCACTGTTGTGAACATCCACACAAAGCTCATTAGTGAATGTTTTAGACAAACAATAAACTGAGAGGGAGAGCGAGAGCGACATTTCTCAACTCTGATTAGCAGCGGATAATGTGGGGTCTTTTTAGAAATGACATATGTGCATACAACAGTACACATGTAACCATTTCCAAGGAACAAATACAATATTTTTGTAACAACATATGGTTTTTCAGATTTAAACAAATAATTCAGAATTTGGGCCTTTGCTATTAACTGTTCCACATCAACAAAAACATTTACTGCATTGCATTTTGGAAACAATGGCAGCAATTTAAGGGGAACAGACATTTGAAAATGTGTGTATTTAAAAAAGGCTAAATCACCCTAATAATATGTCTGCATCTTCTATTTTGTCAACTTTGTTTAATTAAAAACTAATAATAAGTTATCCTACAAACATTTTATATTTTCTGACTCTGCCCGGACCCCAATCATAAAAAAACATACCAAAGACAAATAAGAATAGAATAGAACGTTTCACTTAAATTTCAGATGAATTGTAACTTACTCTGTATTTTCATAAACAAACTTCACCACTGTCCAGGGAGTCACAAACAGGATGGGCGTCCCTGGAAAAGAAAAACATACCACATTCACTTCCTAACTTTGAGACACAATACATGTTGTCCTGCCCCAGGCCAGAGGGCAAGACCCATCAACAGTTTTTTGAGTTCATCTTCATTGACAAAAAATGACATCCACATCATTCACATGCCCTGAAAATGGTTATTCTGGAATTTTTCATTACGGTCACGGATGGTCACCTTTTGTGTAGTTCATTTTGGCAAAACCATTCAAAACGAGTTGACATTGGTTTGATATAAAGTGGCTTCATCTAAACACTGTTGTTCTCTCCTCTAAAAATGCTGGTCATCCAATCAGAAAGCAAATATAAAATAAATCAAACAATCAATCAAGTTGATTTATAAAGCTAAATTCATGCAGTACAACCCAAAGTACTTTTACACAGACATCAAATTATACACACAAATAATTGTCTTTGGTCCCCAGAAACAAAGAGAGAGCGTCATCTGTCATCTACAGTCTCTCTCCCTAAAACCTTCAAACAAGGTCAGAAATCTAGGGGTAATACTGGACTCAGACTTAAATTTTAATAGCCACATCAAATCAGTAACATCAGCAGCTTTTTACCATCTAAAAAACATTTCCAGGATCAAAAACATAGTGTCTAAAGCAGACCTGGAGATTCTTATCCATGCATTTGTCTCCAGTAGGTTAGACTACTGCAATGGCCTGCTCACAGGTCTCTCCAAACAGGCTGTAAAACAGCTGCAGTACATTCAAAATGCAGCAGCTCGAGTCCTGACTAGAACCAGGAAGTACGACCACATTAGTCCAGTCCTCAGGTCTCTGCACTGGCTTCCTGTGGCTCAGAGAATAGACTTTAAAACAGCTTTGCTTGTGTACAAGTCTCTCCATGGCCTCGCACCAAAATATATTAGTGACATGTTAGTCCCATATGAACCAGCCCGGACTCTGAGGAGCACAGGGACTGGACTCCTGTTAGTGCCCAGAGTCAGAACTAAACATGGGGAGGCTGCTTTTCAGATTCATGCTGCTAAAATCTGGAACAATCTTCCTGAAGATGTGAGACAGGCCTCCTCTCTGACAATGTTTAAAACCAAGTTAAAAACGGTGCTGTTTAGCTGTGCATACAACTGAGGGATTTTATATTTTTATCTTTCGTTTTAATGTTCTGTGATTATTTATGATTTTAATGCTTTCTTGTTCAGCACTTTGAGTTGCCTTGTGTATGAATTGTGCTATACAAATAAACTTGCCTTGCCTTGCCTTGCCTACACATGTACAAATATTTTAAAACATAAGGTAAAAAAAAAAAAAACATATGACTGTGATTAAGGTTTTCAGATTGGTTGAGTTCCAGTTGGCTTGGTCTTTGTATTTGTACTAAAGCCAGCAGGTGGGTGACATCAGAGTAATTATACTCTATATAGATTAAACTGTATGTTTGTCTTGAAACAGGTCCATCTATTGTGGTGTGTCTGCCCTCTCCAACATCAGGGTGCAGTTCTGTTAAAGCACAGCAGATGGCGATAATGCTCCCCAACATGCTGATATAAGAATGACCGCTGCAGGATGTCTATCATAGGTGAAATGTGGAGCACACATTTTTTGTTCAAATAAAGGTGAGAACAGCTCTTTCCCAGAGAGGCTGAGTAGTCTTCTGCTCTGGGCTTACAAGCGCCCCCTGCTGACAATCAAGTGTCATTATTTCATATCACGTTGCAGTGACAATGACAGAAAGACCCCATTGTAAATAGAGAAAAAAACTAATTGTATCTGTTCAGACGTATGTGCGGCACAGAATAAACCTGTCATGATGCCTCATGGTCTTTGTAATAGTTTGGATAAATCTTTTACATTTAGAGTGTCATACTGTGAAAAGTAAAACAAAGGGGCGTGGTAGTGGATCACAATGGGGATCAGGAGAGTGGGGGCACAAAAGTGCCTCTAAACCAGCAGTGGGTTGAATGCACACAGGCAGGGTAAGGACATATTAGTCTCGGACACTTTACAACCATAGTCGCTCCACTGTCACACCTGATGTTCCCAGAGGACTCTCATCGCGGTACTAATCATGCCCCGTCCTGCTTAGCTTCAGAGGTTTGACGGGATCTGGCTTTCACTGCAGGTTGTATGGCACAGTTTAGAAAATGTACCATTGCACATATATTTACACTATTATTGATATTTGAACATCACAGGAGCACCACAGGGCACCGTTCTGGCTCCCTTCCTCTTCACAATTTACACTGCAGACTGCACACAACTCTGCTGTTGTGGCATGTGTGAAGGGGGGAGGTGCTGGCTGCCTTCTCAGACTGGAGTGAGAGAAATGGTCTGATTCTCAATGCGTCCAAGACCAAGCAGATGATCATTGACTTTCACAAGAGCCCTTCCCATCAACCGATCACAGTAAATGGACAGGACATCCAAGTGGTTCAGTCCTACAAATACCTTGGAGTCGACCTGGACCACAGACTGGACTGGTCAGCTCAGGCCAATGCTGTTTACTGTATAAGACAAGTCAGAGCAGACTTTTCTTCCTGAGAAGACTGAGGTCCTTTGATGTGAGCAGTCAGATGTAGCACATATTTTATCAGTCTGTTGTGGCTAGTTGCGTGTTGGGGGCAGTTTGACCTCGAGAGACAGTAACCGGCTCGATAGGCTGATCAGGAAATGTAAATGTAAATGTGCACTTTATTGTGGTGGAGAAAAGGATGACGGCCCTAATGCAGGGCATCCTGGGTAACTCCAGACAACCATTACCTAACACTATGGCCACTCAGAGTAACCGAAGCAACAGGCTCCTATCGCTATGCTGCCGAACGGAATGTTTCCTTTTTTCCTTCGGCTGTCAGACTGTACAACAAACCTGGATGAGTTATGAACCCAGCAGCATATAGGACCACACCTACCCCAGCCCAGCAGCATGTAGGTCTGCAGCAGCCGCCTCTGGTTCAGGACGATGGAGAACAGCAGCGTGTGCAGAAACATGGCCTCCACCAGCAGCCACAGGTAGTTACAGAACACACAGTACTCCATGCATACACGCGCCGCCTTGCAGAGCCCTGAGATCTGAGGACACACAAAAACACACAATAAAACACACACACAGCCCTGAGATCTGAGGACACACACAATAAAACACACACACAGCCCTGAGATCTGAGGACACACACAAACACACAATAAAACACACACCCAGCCCTGAGATCTGAGGACACACACAAACACACAATAAAACACACACCCAGCCCTGAGATCTGAGGACACACACAAACACACAATAAAACACACACCCAGCCCTGAGATCTGAGGACATACAGAAACATACGGTGTGGTAAGACCAGGCAGTAGTAAACTAGCCCCACACGTTCTTTGGAGACATAGAATATGCAGTAATTTTGCATGTATCTGGCAACAAAAGATTTTTACATGCCTCTTGCTTATTTATTTTGAACACTTTCCCAATTTAGAAGGATGTTCAGTTGAAGCAGGAAAATATAAGCACCAAAAGAGGTGGGGAAAAACTATTTTTTTGGGTGAATCTGAAACATATTTTTGTACCTTTTGTTTGTCTTATGATTATATTTCGGTGTAATTGTCTGTCTTGTTTGTCATTGTCACTCGGCCCACACATGTTCAGATTAGGTGCGTGGGCTGGTGTGGACTACCGTGGAGCGGGCGTAGGTGCTCCAGCCGTGCTCGTCCTGGGGCAGCTGGCTGTACATGAGGTGCAGGACCAGCTCTTTGCAGATGACCGCAGCCGCTCTCAGCATGAAGGATACAAACAGGTTCATGTGGATGTAGTTCCTGGTGCAGTGGAGCTTTCTGCAACACAGACAATCAGTACTTTTTAAAGAACCAACAGAATTCAGTGTTTGAGTCCGTTATATACACCGTGACAAAACTAGTGGGATTTCGAGTTGAATAAACACCACTCCCATCTTATGGTAGAAGAGTCCTATGTCGTTTATTTGGCTTTTAAGATTATTTATGCCTTCTGTAGAAAGGAGTGGATGTCACACACCTGACACTGACAGCATTTGGCTTTTACCCAAAGTTGTCCACGGCTCATAGTGACCCCAGGAGTAGTAGGTCCGGTGCACAAAAGAGGTCTGCAGATCATTGCTTTTTCAAGACCAGGCTCAGGTCAATTAGTGCAAAAAGACATTTAGTCTAACTCCTAATCTAATCTAAATCTAATTATTTTAACCAAGAGCCTACAGTTCAATTAGACGGTAAATAAGCTTGCGCAATAATAAAAATCCGGGTCTAACATCATCATCAAGTAGATTCTCTTGGATCAGCAGAAACAAACCTAATTTAAATGAGAAATAATTAAATGTAATATATTCTGTAATATAATATAATACGATATTAAGAAATATTTCAGAACAGAACATTTGTTGCTCGACTAGTGAGCAAAAAATGCTCATACAAATGATTTAAATTATTACTGAAACAATCGTGATCAGTAATAATTGCAACGTTGCTGAACTTTCACCTTGTGACAGTCAAAATAAAAGAGTCTCAAGTCAGAGTGTGGTTGTGAGTGTGTGTGTGTGCGTGTGTGTGTGTGTGAGTGCTTGCGTGCATGAATGCGTGTGGCACTGACCTGAGAACCCCCATGATCAAAGTGGCAAAGGCCAGGGAGCAGAGCGACAGGGAGTACCCAGAAACCGAGATGAGTCTCAGGACGCTCTGACGCAGCAGCTGCTCCTCCTGCACAAAAGCACCATCACTCACTGCTGACGGCGCAGACTCACAACTGCATCCAGAACGTCAGAAGTGTTTGGTACAGCATCATTCACAGCAACATTTATGGACATTGGTCTAGAGGCACCAATACAATTTTTTTCAAAACTGATACGAGTACAAGTACCATAATTTGAGTACTTGCCGATACCGAATACCGTTACAAGTACTGCATTGTGTTGTGCCGGGGAATTCATAAAACTAAAACAACTGAAATTTAAAATGTATCATTTCTCATTTCAACAATAAGAAAATGCTTTAACAATTAAACTTTTTAGCAATTGTTTTAACATCATCTATAAGAGCCACTGTCATATTCCACTCATACAAATGGTACAAAGAAATAGCTCTGGTGCTAGCAAAGGTTACTCGGCGCGATGGTGAGTTTCTGGTGTTATACGTGTTTGTTTTGGACCTGCCTCGTGACAGTTTTGCCATAACACACAACGTACAGCCCGCTTCACTCTTGTCGCTCTGGTTCACTTAAAAAAACTGCAATATGGCCGACATCTTGTACAATTGCCGGTAGCTTGCTTTCTCGCTGCAGACTTTAGGAGATCACCATGGCAACACGTGCTGCACAGCTGTCTGCTGTCGTGATGCTAATGTGAATTGAAAATGTGGGTATCGGTCGCCGGAATCGGGTCCTATGGTATGAGTACGAGTATGAATACAGGCCTATGGTATCGACTCGGTACCAGTATCGGTATCCGTGCATCCCTAGACACTGTTCGTCCCGTTCCCTATTGCCCGGCGGCTCCTTAGTATTTGGTATTTTTGTCTTTCCTGAGTTCGAACTGTTCAGGAATCAACAACTGAGTAAAGTCCTTCAGGACGACTGCTGCTGTGATTTAGGGGTGGATAAAAATTTCAATTTCAATTTATTTGTGTATAGCCCTATATCACAGCAGTAAATGTTTCACTCTTCAAACATTGCCCGCATCATCCACCGACTGAGGAAAATGAGAAACAATGCAGAGGTCTGGGATCGCATCACAGCAGCAGAAGACTTTTTATAGGGCTGTCAAACGATTACAATTTTTTAGTTGATCAATCGCATAGTAATGGTGAGTTAACTCACAATTAATCGCATTTTAACATTCTATTTCTAATCAACTTCAATTGAAGTTAAATGAGATTACCAAATGTAATGACACATTGTCATTCAGACCATCCATCCATCCATTTTCTACCCTTTAATCCATTTCTGGGTCAGGGGGGTGGCAGTCAGAGATGCCACCCAAGTCTCATAGCACCAGCCCCTCACTGACCCTCTGCAGGTGGTGAGTCCACAGGAGGACGGCTGCTCTCTGAGTGTGAGCATAGCCTTGATCTTTCAGTGGGGGCTTTGGGCAAAGTGGGGTTAAGTGTCTTGCCCAAGGACACGACAGCAGTCATCAGTGGGAGTCGGTGGAGAAGGTGTAAAAGTGGGAATTGAACCCACAACCTTCAGGCCTGAAGGCCAATGCTCTACCAACTGAGCTACTGTCGCCCCGTCATTCAGACCAAATGTACTTAAATATGTTTGTTTTGCTCACAACCATCTACTTTTGGGCTCAACCAACGTGAGCCATTAATGAAAGGGAAAATTTATGTACCCCAGCTTTGGTTGGTCGGGATTGTTTTTTTTTTTTTGAGGCGCTAGACGCGGACGCTTACAGGGGCTCCGTGGTCCTGCTTCAGTGGTGTGTTTGTTGCGCGTCCCCGCACACGGCGTGCGGAGACTGGTTCTGTGCGTTTGTGGTCTTGTAATGGCCGCGTTGCCGCGACACCATTCGCCATGTTGTTGTTGGCGGCTCGCGGCTGCTGGAGGTTGGGGCCTCTGTCTGGGGTGGCCACGGAGGATGAGGACTTCATTTCATTTGTCCACGTTCAGCGGCCACTAGTCCAGGTTCTGTAGCTAGCTTAGGTCCTAGATCATTAGCCTGTCCGTCCGGAGGAGCGGATCCCTTTCTCATATGGGTCTCCCTCCCTGTGGGTTTCCCTAGTTCTCCCCAAGGTTTCTCACTTTTTCCCACTGGGTTTTTTAAGAGTTGTTCCTTGTCGATGCAGGAGGGTCTTGTTGGACAGTTAGTGTCCAACAGAAAGGATTGGTGATGATCAGGACACTTTAGCATTCTACAACATGTATGGACATTTTCTTCTGTGTGTGCTTTATATTCTTCATGTGTTTTAACTGTTGATTTTCTGACCTGTGTTGGTGATTTCAATGGTTTTGTTAAGTCCTCTGAGATGACTTCTGTTGTGACCTAGGGCTATACAAGAATAAATTTTATTGTATTGTATTGTATTCATGCAGCAGGCGGCGGCGGGTGCCCCGCGGCCACGTGCATGTTCTTTTGGCCTGTTCAGTTGCCATCTCACACATGCATGTGTCCGCGGCATTCTGAGTGATATTATTGGATACATGGGCGTGTCATTCAGTACATGCGTTAATGCGTTAACATATTTTTTATGTGATTAATATAACATGTAATTAACGTGCGATAACGCAATAATTTTGACAGCCCTAATTTTTATTGTTTTTACAAAGACACGACCAAAGTTTTGCAGCTTGCATGTGCTTTTATACCAGAGGAAGGTCCTCCTCTCAGCATCTGTGTCGACGCCGGTAGACATGTTTGCTTTGACCTTCAGATAACCAAAACATAAAGTGGAAAATTACTGCCGTCTGTATAGTGTTAGAATGACAAGCTTAGGTTTAACCAAAATTGCTTCAAGAGTGTTATAAGAGATCCAAATAGTTTTCTCAGTGAACTTTACAAAACAGTCAAATTCACCAGCACAGATCAGAGAATCCATGATGATGTCACTCAATCCATCTTGAGTGACATCGTCAAAGCAAGTAACACTAATGTGTGGGCTCTAAACCCTCAAAGTACAGAGAAAGTTAGACCGCCACTAAATCAGGACTTCAATATGAGAATGCACCGGGGCCAATGTGTGTGTGCATGCATGTACAGTACGTGTGTGTATGTGTGTGTATGTGCATGTGTGTGTGCGTACAGTATACCTTGTCTCTGAAGTAGTGGTGCTCCTGACACTCAGAGTCCTCTCTCCACACCTCTGATGAGTTTTCCTTCTGCCTCCACAACCCGTTCTCCAGGCACTCCCTGTGAGCCCACCGCGAGCCATCTGCCAATGAGCACATGTGAGTGAGTCAGCCGCAGGGCAACTGTGGCAGCAGGCCTAACATATGACCACATGGTCTGCTTTGGTGAGCATTATTTTAATATCTTTCTACACAGACGTGTCTTACACCCGTCTCCGTGAGTCGTGTTGCTTCAGCCGATGATGCATGTTTCTCTCCTTGTCTGGTCTGAATGTGCACTTTTGAAAAGAATGTTGTATAATTGTGTGTCAGGAAAAGCTCAACCTGGAGTTGAGATTTAGCATTCGCTATGCACTCTAACTACAGAGTCCATGAATGCACTGACATTGACATATTCTGTATTCTTATCTACAGTTTTTTGTGAGACTTTGTGAACCGTGACACAATCTGGATATCAGTAAAAGTTTGTGTGTGGACTGTCAAAGAGTTTCAGGAGTCATCTGTCATTTGATGGGGACAGATATTGTGCATATTTATTCCTTTGTCCAAGAAAACATTTAATGGTCTTGACTTATGATATCTCTCCGGTGATCCAAGATGGCGCCCTATTCAAATGAACGGCTTGTGCTCAGTAGCGGGACTTCACAGGGACCTGCGCTGTGGACGAGCTCCCATGATGCGTTGCGGCAAATACGCGTGTGTGGCTCTCATGCACGTGCACAGAGGGGCTCGGCCGCGCTTTGACCAATCAGAGCTGCTGATCAGAGCAGTGGTAGAGCGGAGCCAGAGCGGGAAGGAAACGAGCAGAGTTTGTGGCAGTAAAGTGTGGATTTGAAGAAAACCGATGGATTTAAGAAGAAAAAAAGTTCAGGATGACAAGGCACACTAAAATCCGATCTTTATGAAAGCTGCAGGTTCTCTGTCAGCTCAGGTCAAGCTGTTTTAGTTTACATTTTCTGGGTAGCCCGGGTGAATTTTGTCTGCAGTACCACGGCCGCCCAACTGTGCCCATAGGTTGGACAGCTATAAGCTAATACCCTATCCAGTAATTATTATAAATCCATGACTAGGACTGGCAGAAATAGTTGTACTAACCCTAACCCTAACCCTAGTAGCTCAGTTGGTAGAGCATTGGCCTTAAGGCCAGAAGGTCATGGGTTCAATTCCCACCTCTGCACCTTCTCCACCGACTCCCACTGATGACTGCTGTCGTTGTGTCCTTGGGCAAGACACTTAACCCCACTTTGCCCAAAAGCCCCCCCACTGAAAGATCAAGGCTATGCTCACAGTCAGAGAGCAGCCGTCCTCCTGTGGACTCACCACCTGCAGAGGGTCAGTGAGGGGCTGGTGCTATGAGACTTGGGTGGCATCTCTGATTGCCACCCCCCTGACCCAGAAATGGATTAAAGGGTAGAAAATGGATGGATGGATGGATAGTAGCATTAGAAGCAGCAGTAGTATGTAGTAGGTACATGTAGTAGTACCTGGTGTAACATCTGAAGAGCTAAGACAAAAATGCTAATTCTATAAAATCTTGAGTATTATTGCAAATAGAAGAGTGAAGTTCTGTGAAAGAGTATGGTTGAAGGATGACTCAAGAATACAAAAAATATTCGGGAATGGGCCTCATGTCCAGGGGCTTGCACCTGTGTAAATCCACCTGCTCGAGTCTGGTTTTTAGAGTTGTTCCTTTGCCAATGCAGAAGGGTCCAAGGACGTTGGTGATGATAACTACCGTTTTGATTTAGATTTGGCTATACAAGAATAAACAGAATTGAATATAATTGAACCGTAAGGCACAGCTTTTTTCTATAACTCTAAAAGAAAAAAAAAGTACCTGGCTGGATCCATGGTAAGTAGGCAGGACATAATATGGACACGTTGCCAGGTGAGGAGTGAGGCCAACAGGCAAAGGAGTCGAAGCTGCCGTTACAGAAGACTCCTGTGGGACATGAGGAGGTCAGAGAAACTAAAAAGCTTTATGACACAACAAATCCATTTGTAGATCCATGCTTTTCAGTTCTCACGATAACTAGGTCATTGATTGACTTTTTCATCATCTGTATCTTATGCCTATGTTTTGCCAAGACTAATGTAGGCAAATCCTTCCCTTACAATTAATAAAAAAACATATTTCATGGTATAGTGTAGTGACCAGAGGGTGGCATGGTGCTGAGAGCCAGAGTCCTGGTGCAGTTCTCCTTGTATTCTGTCCGTTTGGAGATGAGGCTTTCCAACAGAGACCCCCGCACCTGCACAAACATAGACAATAGGAAAGAACCTGTAAGTTAAGGTCTCCAATAAAGAACGCGAGGCAGAGGCAGAAGACGGTCTGTGACAAAGTGAGTTTACCTGGTCCCCTTTTTAATTCACATTTAGTCTCTGTACATTTATTTTTCTGTTTACAAATGGAGCAACAGGTAAATTATTAAGTTATTATCCATGGTTGTTGTTTTCACACTGTTGATTTATTATCATTTTTGATGTATCCATATCCATATAGACCAGGAGAAGAACTGTTTTGGCAAAGTATAATGTGGTTCATGGAAATCTGTACATGTTGCAATATTAGTCAAATTACACAACTACACACACAAATTTATCATTTATAGAAAGTGTTGAAATGAAACTGCAAGAAGTAAAGCGTCATAGTGTGAGTCCTTCATATAGAATTTACTACAAATGTTTCTGGTCTTAGGAGAAAATTGAAAATTTAAAGGGGTGTAGGTGTATTCATGAAACCCACTGTATGTATGGGTGGAACACAGACACTGAGGTGGGCACCTCAGTGTCTGTGTGAGCAGCTTTGATCGCTCCAAAGATTCTTTTTAAGTTCTGCTGTGAATGGAAAACAGTCGGTTTGACTTTGACTATCGGTTTATTTGATAAGGCTGAACTGGGCTGTTTTTCATTCTCTGCTTTTGGGGAACATTATCCACTTCCATGACAGAGAAGAATGAATGCACCAGAGATCTCCAACTGCGACAGAGAAGTAGAAGCTTTTACTCTAAACTGAAGTGTTTTGGAACCACAAATCAGACCACTCCTGGTTGGATAATCACTACACAAAGTCACACATTTATCTCTTGATGCGATCATTCACAGGTGTATACATCGTCATTAATATACTTTCAACGTAAGCAAATATGTTTAATCATTATATATATATATATTATATATATATTATATATATATATATATATATATATATATATATTATACATACATATGTCCAATAGGGCAAATGTGGCCTTCTGACCTTTTAAGTGTCCCTCTGATTTGCGAACCCAATTTAGGACTACAGATGGAAATTAGCCTTTGGCTATAATCTGGCATGTTTACATTCATGTTTCTAATGTGTCTGTTCATTGACATACACTGTCCCATTCAAATAAATAAATACAACCAACTTCTGCTCCACCAATATAGACATGAAAATATATATATATATATTTATGTACTTATGTGTTTGTATGGATGTGTTTCTGCTACTGGACACCTGAATTTCTCCTACAGGGAATCAATAAAGTATCTATCTATGTTATACCAGTGGTGGGCAAACCCTGGTTTCGGTCTGGCCCCAGATCATTCCTCAGTTTATACAGCGGTAGTATAAAGACGATAATCCCTTTGTGCTGCATGCACTCCTCGCACTGTGGAAATATATGATATTTATCATATATTCAAAAACTTAAGCCTGAAAAAAACATGGAAAATATGTCCGGCCCCCGAGAGCCGGCTGATATTCCAGTGTGGCCCTCAGGAAGAGAAGTTTGCCCATGCCTAGAATCAATCTGTTTACTTTATTAGTATAATAATAGTAATATATGTTATGTACTGTATATGATGCCACTCTGGGCACTCAAGGTTGCCTTACAAACATTTTGTGTTTGATTGTATCTCTAAATACAAATATTATAAACTTGATTTCTGTTGAATAAATGTAAATCAATACGGACTTGTCAATTATCAACAAGCCCTGAACTCATCAAAAAAAAAATGTAATCCGGGTTGTTGGCCCTGGACAAGTCTTGGATACATATTTCTCTCTATAAAAATATACATATATGATGCAGTTTGAAGTTTCTAAGTGAAGCTGTGAGAGAGAAAGGGGGAGAGGCCGACATTATTTATTGCATGTTATTTTAACTGCCCTGTAATTCATGAGAAATGATAAACAGAGAATGACCCACACACACAGACGTGCACACACACACACACACAGATGCACACAGAGACACACACACACACAGATGCGCACAGAGACGCACACACAGATGCGCACAGAGAACGCACACACACACACACACAGATACTGATGCGCACAGAGAACGCACACACACACAGATACTGATGCGCACAGAGACATACACACACACTCATGCACTGGTTTCCATGTTATTAGGGGACAATACCTCAGCTTATGTTAAAAGCCAACTATAACAGAACTATTCAGTATTAATTGTGCTCTTTTTGACCTGGAACAAACATAAATTTGAATGAATGTGTGAAATCATTTAAGTAGGCGGGGTCAAAAAGCTTGTCAATAAATTTTTCTATTATGCAATTTCTGTCTGTTCTAGTCTCTACAGATTGAATTAACATTTCTAGATGAATATGAACATTTATGGACGTTGGTCATCTGCCACTTATGGACCAATGGCTCTGTTTTTTTTTGTATCATTGCCTTTCCTTTGATTCTCTGATCTGTGCTGGCGAATTAACAGCTTTTTAAAGTCCTTTGAAATAACTACTGTTGTGTTTTTTATTAGGGATGTCCGGATCAGGCCAATATTTCAAGGGGTTTAACTGATGGGGGATCGGCTAATCTGCCCACAAAGGCAATAATTTAAACCTGAGTTACGGTGACATTTCTGAGTGATGTTCATCTGGCTTCTAGTTAAAACATGTCACAAGTGTGGCAGTATTTCTACTTCAAAAAATAGGACTAAACAAAAGCATCATGCAAAGTAAACAACATTGATTGGGAGGTGGGAGCAGCAGAGGTACATTCAACACGACAAATCTGATTCTGCATTTGAGACTGAACATGGAACGGATCGTATGTCGTAGTATTTTATTATTACGACTTGAGGTTACACTACATTACAATTCAGTAGTGATGGGCAGATGAAGCCCCGCAACTCACCAAGGCTTTCTGTGCCAGATTGTATGAAGTGTGTCGGAGCCTCTGAGCTAGCCCATATAGGTTGTAACGCCAACATCTTGCTACAAGTAGAAGCTTATGAATACTTACCATTAAACATTATTCATGAAACGTAAGATGAAAAAATTATCCCATAACAAGGATTTGCATTTTCCACTCGCAGATACCATTAAAGTCGTTAAAATCAGCAACACTCTGTCTCCTCACTACACAACACTGTGAAGAAATATTGGTCCATCATGTATAAATGACTAAAAAAAGCTTTGGATTGGGACTCGAAATTGGATCGGATCTGAAGTTTAACAATCGGATCGGGATCGGAGGCAAAAAGTAGTGATCGGGACATCCCCAATTTTTATACAATAATGAATTGACTTGATTGAATTGAATCAAAGCCTCTCTCTTTACGGGTGAACCTCGGAAAATATTTTTATTTAATCAAAAGTTAATTTACTTCTATAATTCAACTTACAACGTGAAACAAATACAGTATATTAAGTGAGATTTATAAGGCCTGTATTTGTTGATATTTGGCTCACAGCTTGTAAAAACCCCAAATAAAATAGATATTACACACAATAGACATTTAACACTTCAGATTACCGATGAGTGTCCGGAGAAGTCAGAAGTATGGACAGACAATTGTATGTATTTCATGTGCTCAAGTTGATCCTAAACCGCTCGGGGAGTATTGAAAAACCTTGACCTAAACCCTGACCTTAAACTATCTTAAAGCAAAAGAGACTCATCAGAAACAGATTCCTCCAAAATAGATCACAAACAGTATTATAGTATATGGTTATTTGTATGGCACAGTACATACACAAGGCAACTCAAAACAATATAGGGCCTTCAAATCATAAATAATCTCAGTATATGAACATTTTTGCTAATAAAATCCCTCAAGATTTGAACTTAAATGTACAGATGTAAACATACAACTAAATATTGCTTGCACTAAAATACACAGGACTTTTTACCTGCTTCATATTATGCCAAATTTTATATATTATACTTAGATTGAGATTTTATACTTGTGTCATTGATGCTAGAGTAAGAGATTGTATTTTATTTTAATTAGTAAACTTATTGTTCATTTACCTTGTGCTGTGTGCTCCTCATTCCTACTATTCTGTCACTTGTGATGCAACACTGAAATTTCCCCGCTGTGGGACCAATACATGATCAGTTAATCTTAATCTGAAATACAACCTCTTCATGTTTAGTTCTGATGTCGGGCACTAGCAGGAGGGCAGTCCCTGTGCTCCTCGGAGTCAGAACTGGTTCAAAAAGGCTCTAAAATGTCTCGGATTAATTATTTACTGGATAATAACAACGGATAGACACCAGAATTTGTCCTTTGTATGAGTGGTCCATAAATGTCCATGAATATCAGTGAGATTTTTGGACACTGGTCTTCCTATTAACTCCTATGCGTTAGTTATTATTGGATTTCCAACGGTTTTAACGGTTTGATTCTCTGATCTGTTGCTAAGGAATCAGCAATCGTGTAAAGTTCCTCGAGACGACTGCTGTTGTGATTTAGGGCTGAACACATATACATTGAATTGAAAATGATGAAAAACAGCCTTTTCATTTAGTCTCAGCTAAATTACAAAATTCGGTTTAAACTTTAACCTTTTAACATTCACTCCTTGAAGAAAGCAATGCGTTTTTTGGATTCTCTAAGATGTAGGACACAACTATTGTTAAGTGTTTTGTTTTGTTTTTGAACGCCAATATATTTTTTTAATTATAGGCCTTTTCCAAATGGTTGCGATGCAGTTTGATGGTAAAAGTGCCTTAAAGCCCAATTAGTTAGCTTTCAGTTCTAAGTTTCAAGTACATAGTATCTAAAAAGTAACTAAAATAAAATTATGATGTGCAAATCTTTCCCTTTTCTAAATTTGACATGAGTTTGACTGATTCCCAACCTGGTGATGGATGAGTAGACAGGGCAACAGCAGGAAGGCTCCCTCCATCCTCCCTGCTCTGGGCACCACCCGGACCATGACGGAGCTTCACATCCCAAAAGCCTCTTCAACAAACGTACTCCAGGTCTTCACAAACGTACTCCGGGTCTTCACACCGAGCGGCCATGCTTCTCACCTCCCGTCGTCGACTGCAGCGTTGTCATTCTAAAATCAACAACTCAGTCTCACTTCCAAACGCTGTATAACCGTGAGAGAGTGTGGGTCCAGTGGGAGATGTGGACGTGGTCTCGGCTGATGCACAAGTGGTCTGCATGGCTCAGGTCAGCACAGTGCACTGGTGTGTGTCTGTGTTCTGTCTGCTCCCCAAGGCCCCCTCCCACTCCCTGAAGCCCCCGACCAATCAAGATAAGGCCTTCGGCAAGACGAGTAAACAACTAAACTAAGGCTGAAGGCATGTTGGCCAAAAGAAGACCGAAAATATGAACTTTTCCAATTCTGCCATCTCCTTTAAATCTGCAGTCGCCAAACATCACCGGAGCTGAGAAATGTGTGGGAAATATTGGGAAAAATGTGAGTCTTCGAAATGATGTACAGATTATTTTTATTTGCTAAGGTATGTCTTTTAATGTTAACAATGTGGGTTTTGTTGTTGAGGATGTGTACGGTATCACAACAATAATAAAATACTTATTAATACACATACATGTTATATATGTTATATCATTAACTTAAATAAACAAAGAAAAAAGCCGAACAACAGGAAGTGTTTTATTCACATTTAGGCATTAATGGTTTCCTCAACCGTTTGGTGGATTTCCTTTTGAGTCAATTTATACTTGAAACTTGGAACTGAAATCTAACTAATTGGGGTTTAAGGCACTTTTACCATCAAACGGTATCGCAACCATTTGGTAAAGGTCTATAATAATAAAAAAACAAAAACATATAAACTAATTATTTGTGTCCTCCCTTGGTTCAGAAGTATTTACAGATGTGTATATTGCACTTTAGCAGCGGAGAATATGAGAATATGAATATGAGCAGAATAAGCATCAAATTAAAAAAAATACAAAATGTTAACTGTAGCTGTAAAGTACCAAACTGTTGATGTATCCTTAGGCAAGACACTTTCCCCACATTTCCTAAAGGAGTGTGGTGTATGTGCCAATGGTCGGTGGTATGGGGCCAATGGCACAGACTGGATGCCTCACTTCTGTCAATGTGCCCCAGGGCAGCTGGGGCACACCTTATACGGAGTAAAGTGATAAATCGCTTTGAGTGTAAAAATAAATCTCCATATAAAACCGATGCATTATTATTATGACAACTTGAGTCTTTCCAATGCAGTAGTTAAAGGATGTAAATAACCTAAGCCTTGGTGAATGTAGCACGTAGCACTAGCCGGCAGGGACATGTGCTGATGTCACGTACTTCAGTGGTGTAAACAGAATGGACAGGGACACTGGACCACACAGAGGAAAGTTCATCACAGTTCATTCGCTCATCCTGTATCAGGACGTCTCCCTGCTCTCAAAAAATGCTTTTTTTAAAGAATATTTTTGAATGGCTGTCTGTAATTTCACAATGTTCCCACATTCACTGGTCTCAGATCAGCTGTCGTATTCTAATATGCCTGTTCACTGTATACAGCCCTGTCACTGCACATGGAAGAGGGCAGCACATCTCAACTACAGCAGAGAAAGGGATTTTTACACTGAAACATGTAAAAATCAAATCTACAAGTTCTAGGTCATGTGGAGATGTGTAATATGCGTTGGACAAGATATTAAAATATTTTAGGGTGTTTTAGATGGAATAGTCCAAGACCTAATTTTTAAAGGAGCAATATGTAAACATCTGGCCAAAAGTGGTGCTGCAACCTCTCCCACTCTCCTCGACTCAGGTTGCCAGATATGCAGATGAATCCAACTAGGACCATAATAACTGTTTATGTAAGAGTTTTATCGACAACAAATCTATAACCAACACCTTCTCCACAAAGGCCCGGATAGAAATCCCGGTTTTGTTGTTAATGATTTTAGAATCACAACAAGACCTTTTTTAGTTCTGCGACCAAATATTACAGTGAGATTAGCTCGACGCTGTGAGTGCTGGCAACCCGGATCACATACTTTCTGATTAATAAAACGGTGGAGGGCGGGACATCAAAATGAAAACAATAACAATATTTAGGGGCGGTAAAACTAATTTTGAAATTCAAATATCTCTGAACTACTGTTGTAGTATTTGAAAAGAGCATGATTTATTGATGCCTTTGAGCCTTTTAATGATGACTTGACATGAAAACTTACATATTGCTACTTTAAATTACATTTTTAGTAATTCAGTAATTAACAGCTAATGAAGTGGTAATTGTGTAATGTTTGGTTAATTAGCTCTAAATTGGTATTTATCAAGCACTCATTAGTCTTTATCTTACATGGCCTTATTCAGGGTCAGGGTTAGGGCACTTTAATTAGCACTTTACTGAGGGCTAAACTAAAGTGTTCAGTCACTAAGCACACACTAACCAAGCCTTGGCAAACAGACGCAGGTCGCAAGGCGGGTTAGATGCCTCATGATCCTGAGTCAAGAACTGAAGAGGTTTTTTTTTTTTTACTCATGAGGCCTGTTGAAGGGAAACAAAGATGACTCAAACTCTGGCTGACTTTTCAAAACATATTTCCTCCACAACGGCATCAATTCAAGTTCTAAAACATGAGCGTAATAGGGTGAAGCTAATATGGGCTATACTGAAGACAAATATTTTACAGTTATGCAAGTCCAAATCCACAGAACAGGTAATCAGTCTGCCCCCTTCATCTCCTTTTCCTCACTACTAATAAAATACACCAGTGTTTTGATCAGTCAACAAAGAATATTTTTTTTATTTTTTCCAACGACATTTCCTTGATTTTTCACTTCATCATGGAAAGCGTGATGGCCGGTGAAGAAAAGGTGAAGGCTGAATTATCCAACAATTCAACACATTGAATATAAGATGCACCCATGGACTTTATAATTGTGTTTTTACGCTCTGGGGCGGCAACATCCGTAATGAAAAGTCTTTATATTGTGAGGCTGTGGGCGCATTTCCGGCCGGGTTTATTTGTTTGTGTTACGAGAAAAGGTGGTGGAATTAGATCAGCGTAGGAGCGGTGGTGGGGTCGTCCATGTGTGAGCTGCAGCCCGTAATGAGGCACTCGTTCTGAGGACAGGGATGGAGTTTATCAGGGCCATTTGTCCTGGATGCAGCGGCAATATCAAGTAGAAGAGTCAGGACCAGACATGGGCAGGCAGCTAAACTCTGGAACAATCTTCCTGAAAATGTGAGGCAGGTGTATTCTCTGGCAGTTTTCAAATCCAAGTTGAAAACAGCTCTGTTTAGCTGTAACTTGCACTTTTATTTTGAACTGTATGTCAATATGTCTTTTAGTAACTTGCACTTTTACGTTAAAGTTTTTTTTAGTAACTGGCACTTTTAATTTGAACTATATATTATTATGCAAGTTCTATGATTGTATTGTCAAGGACTACAAGTGGAAAGTAGCTGGTGCTAAATCTGGTGCAGCATCTTTTTAATGCAACTGCACATTGCTCTTAAATAAATCAAACTTCAAACTGTGCATACAACTTTTATATTTATTCTTTTTAATGCATTGTGGCTATTTATTATTTTAATCCCGTTTGTTAATTTAATGTTTTTATTTACTTTATGTTTTGTTTAATTTTATTCTCTGTTTTTAATATTTAATATTTCTTTTGATCTTAATGGTTTTTTTGTCAATCTGGAAAAGCATCGAGACAAAGATTGCATTAGAATATTTATAGTTGAGACGCATGAAAAAACACCAGCAGACTTAGATTGAGTACTAATATCTTTATTGCAAAGATTCTAGAATATGACAAATGCAGAAGGGAGTTTAAGATCATTTATGAGCTTGCGACCCCCTGGAGTCTTAGAACCTGGTGGCAAAGAAGCTGAGCCGAAGACATGACATGGCACTCTACTGAAGAGGTGGTGATGGGGAGGAGGTGGGTTGCTGCTGGAACAGTAGCTTGAGCTGCAGAGAACCGAGAGGCTCTGTTTAAATGCAGCCATGAAGTGATGTTGCGCACTGAGCAGCTGTGGATGATTGCTGTTGAGCTCAGGTACAGGTGTGCTGAGGGAGGAGCCAGTGCAGAGGGGGAGGAGTCAGTGCAGAGGGGGAGGAGCCAGTGCCGAGGGGGAGGAGCCAGTGCAGAGGGGGAGGAGTCAGTGCAGAGGGGGAGGAGTCAGTGTGGCAGATGACGTCTTTTGGGTCTTCCAGTTTGAATTTGCACTTAAGCTTCATTTGTATATTTTAATATATATGTAGATTTTAACGTTTATGATTTGCTTGATGTTCTAGCCCTTTGTGTTGCCTTGTGTAGGAAAGGCACTCAACAAATAAACGTAGATTGATTAATTGAAATGTGTTTTTTTTTTTTTTACAAATCATCATCACATTGTTTGCTATTCTAAATGACATTTTTGTGTAACAGCAGCATCTGATCATTCTTAAAGATAAAATAGATTTACTGAATATTATTGGTGAGAGCCAGAAAGAACACAAACTATATGCAATTTTTTATAGATTGATTGAGCCATATGGGTTTTCTGTGGTTGATTTTTCAAAGCTTGACTGGATGATTTAAATTGCAGATTAATTTTTCAAGGCTTGCAATAAAAGGGGATAGGGGCTAATGCTATTGTGTGTGAGATGTTGGAGGTTATTACAGAATGCCTTGATGGATCCATCCATTTTCTACCCCTTAATCCATTTCTGGATTGGGGGGTGGCCAGAGATTCCACCCAGTACACTTAGCACCAGCCCTGCCTTGATGGATATGGATGGGAATAGTGTTTTTAATAAAGAAGGGAAGTGCACTGTACTTTACTCATCTCCTTTTCCTCACTACTAATAAAACACACCATTGTTTTCTTCCGTCAACAAAGAATATTTTTTCCATTTCTCCCAAGACATTTCCTTGATTCTTCACTTCACTCATTTGGCTGTCTATGAACGTCTATGGAGCAGAAATGCACTCACAGATGCATCATGGGAAGCGTGATGGCCGGTGAAGAAAAGGTGAATGTTGAATTATGCAACAACTCAACACATTGAGTATAAGATACACCCCTGGACTTTATAATTGTGTTTTTACGCTCCGGCGCGGCAACATCCGTAAGGAAAAGTCTTTATATTGTGAAGCTAGGGGCGCGTTTCCGGCCAGGTTTATTTGTTTGTGTTACGAGAAAAGGTGGTGGAATTAGATCAGCGTGTGTGGGTACTTTGTCTTGTTGTGTTGTTGTGTTGTGCTATGGCCTTTTGGTGAGTTGTAGTAAAATTGTCCCAAAAGCTCCCACTGAAAGATCAAGGCTATGCTCACACTCAGAGAGCAGCCGTCCTCCTGTGGACTCACCACCTGCAGAGGGTCAGTGAGGGGCTGGTGCTATGAGACTTGGGTGGCATCTCTGATTGCCACCCCCCTGACCCAGAAATGGATTAAAGGGTAGAAAATGGATGGATGGATAGTAAAATTGTTTAGTAATTAGATCGAGAGTGAAAGCTGTGTGTTTTTGAATGAATGACTATGAAATAACTGCGATATTATTAAATATTTTGATCCTTTGCAGCACTTATTCAGCAATGTTCACGACAGGTCAGCACGGAAGTCCAAAAAGACTGTTGGAAGCCTCCAAAGGCACGTTTGTTTGTTATGTTTATGTAAAAATAAATATACGCTATATATTCAGCTGCGTTTTGCACAAATTTGCAAAAATAGTTTTGATACATTAGAAAAATCTCTCTTGAATTGTAGAAGTGAATAAATATAGATTGATTGAATGAATGAATAATTCATATATATCATGCAGCGGTGGCTCTCATGAATGAAGCGTCTGCAGCGTCTTGGACGCAGCCTGGCTCGGGGTAGAGGTGCGCATTGAAGCACTGTACACTTCAGAGAGCGTTTGCGGTCCAGATTTCACAAAGAAACTGAAGCCAAAACTTCTGCACATTTGAGGATTATGTGGCGCGATATCTCACGGCACTCGCTGCGCACTCTGGACAGGGCAGTGAGACATTTGGAGTGAGCAATACCATCGGTGCGTTATTGGGGTGTGTGTCTGTGTGAGGCTAACACAAATCTAATGAAATAACACATTGCTTTACCAGATGCGAGGAATACAAATAGCCGTGCGTAATTACGCAGCGCAGAGCCTGTCACAGCAATAGCTGGGTCACACATCCCTGTTGCGTAAAGTGTATTTATATAGAGCCTTTCACAGGATCACAAAGCACTTCACATTTTAAAAACATACAGATCAAAATAATACACACACAAGTCAGATTTAATAGAGGGTCCTGATCATGAGCTGTGATTTATTCAAAGTTTGCATTTTTCCATTAGACTTTTTCCGATGCGCAAATTCAACTTTTGAAACATGATGCTCAATGAAAACACAGCAAGTTTCATACATGAGGCCCTGTGTCTCACACAGGCTCATCAGTGCGAGGTGAACCTGGCCTGACTGCGCTCTCCTCCTCTGGGACCTACGGGCCCGGGCCTCTGGCTCCTCTACCTCACGAAGTTCACGCTGAACTTTCTTAAAACTAAAATGACTAAAAAGGCTGCTTTGTTGTGAATGTTTTGAGAGCGTTGTCAATCTTAAAGACGAGGAATGGCTGCTTGTTCTCGGGAACGAGCTTTGCGCTGCGTGATATGATCATGCAGATTATTGGACAAAATTATTCAGCCAATAAACAGGACTATTTGAAGCAACGTGAACGCTCAGGGGGTTACATTTTCTTAAAACATTAGAACGCAACATTTAGGAAATAATGTGTGTATAAAAATAACAATATTTAAATTATGACTTTTAATAAAAAGGCTAATGACTTGAGAGGCGAAGAACAAATTTGAGTAGGCCAAGAAAAAAAACTGGTAGGCACCGGCCTACCCGGGCCTATCACTGGCGCCGCGGCTGCGCCGAAGACTGTATCCAAATGCCCAGCAGTTGAAAAAGCTGTCATTTTGACTGCTCCCGTTCAAATCAATGGGATTCTGAGAAACTTATTTTTCCACCAGTTTTACGACCTTTCAGGCTTTACCTTTAGCAGTCATAAGGATCAGTCCAGAACCAGCCCCAGGAGAGGCTTCCATAGAATGTTAGTTACCAAGAAAGTCTTTTGGTTAATTTTTTTGTTTTAGTTAAAGCTAGAGTTGCTCATATTAAATAATAATAATAACAAAAATAATGTCATAGAAATAATTGCATCCAATATTAATGCTATAATAACAGATAAACTATATTTATTATATCTGATGACAATTAAATCAATAAAACAGTGTTTTGCAAACTCACAACAGTGACCGTTGAACGCCTTTGTTTATCATTACAATGATATGTGGTCCTGTGTCCAGGGGCGACTGGAGGAGCTGGAGGAGGATCTGGAGGCCGAGCGCAGCATGAGAGCCAAGGTGAGGGACTTTGAATTCAGTACAACTTTCTTTATGAACTTCTTTGAATGTCAAACAGTGTTAAAATGTCCTCATATTTAGCCTTTTCTGACCAAAAATACTGAAGTCAAAGTGAAATAATCCACAAGGGACACACCCATCCATCCATTTTCTTCCCCTTAATCCATTTCTGGGTCGGGGGGGTGGCAGTCAGAGCTGCACCCAGTACACATAGCACAGCCCCTCACTGATCCTCCTGCAGGTGTTGAGTCCACAGGAGCTGAGATCTTTCAGTGGGGGCTTCAGGCAAAGTGGGGTTAAGTGTCTTGCCCAAGGACACAACGGCAGCAGTCATCAGTGGGAGTGCTACCACACATAAGTAGATTTACAGACAAATAAGAAAAAGTGAAAAAAAAAAAGTACAAGTACTGTATATACACAACAGGAGGACATTAGAGCTGACAATAGAATAAACACATAAACTGCAGGAGTATCTGTTCATGCCATGAATGCTCTATTCTATCTGGATATGGTTTATTTATCTGGATATGCCAGTCTTCAGCATCCAGGAAGCATCCAAAACAGATGCTAGCCGCTCATCTTGACCTGGAGAAGCAGCAGCTCTACTATCTCTATGGTGCTGTTTACACAGAGACGCTGCAACAGTAAAATGGTACAGTCAACTCCAAGTGTTGATAAACGGCCTCCAGAGTGGAACAGAACAGATACGCTGCTCAGCGTGGGGCTGTTTCACTGCTGTGTGAAGAAAAAGGTGTGAATTCTCTCCTGCTATGATCTCAGCACTTCCCGCACGAACATTTGGACATGTGCAGTGGCCGAGATCAAACGTAAACAACAATGGCGGTAGATCAACATATGATATGTGTGTTTCAAGCGCTACACGGAGGAGAATTCTACTCCTTCATTCGTCCGAACGAAACCATGTGAAGCCGAAGTTTCAGTTTCTATTTTCGCTGCTGCTGTTAAATGCAGAACGATGTTGGTTCTTTCACGTCTTTTCCATGGCCTGAGGAGGGTGTTGTTGAGAAAGTAAATCTGGCCGGGCGCTAGAACTACATTGTTTTTTGCTGATGTGTAAACACTGTGCACTTCAAATGGTAGTTTTTGATAATTGCTTTGCAGTGTCTCTGCAGCTTCTCCATCTAAACGGGGCCTTAGAGAGATTCTCTTTATGGTTAAAAAAACCCCACAGATCATGAAACATGGGGTTGTTTTCATGAACACAGTTCTCACTCGAGGAATCGCTTCGGGATCTAACTCTGAGCCTCATGCACTCCAGTACCTCAGCGTCTGCACTAAAGGACGTTGCCTCTTCCTCCTTATCAGAAGAAAAAAAAGTCAGCCTTACTGCAGCTGTGAGCGGCAACTTCTCAGCTCTTCATCAGGAGGTAAATTGCGACTCTGCGATGTACAGCGTCAGCACTAGCGGTTTCTTGCTTCACATACAATGTACAGTGAACATACAATGAGATCACGATGAGTGTCACAGCTGCCATGGTAAATAAAAGCAACAATGAGGCAGATCAAAAACAACAAAAAGGCCTTTACGTTACTAAATTGACGATCGCTAACTCTACTTTTCCCCGGAAAGGTAGTTTTTTTAGTAGTTACAACTGACACTGGAGATGAGATCATGTGGTCTCCAAACCGTGAAAATACCGGAATGCATTGCGTCACAGTTATAGTTACAATTATCTTACTTTTTTTCTCCAAGACAAATTACTATCATTACAGAAATATTTATCGCTAGTTGTTTTCCGGCGTGAAACCCTCTCCAAATCCTCTGGAGTGGTACTTGTCAGACATGTGTGGAGGTGACTGGGTCCTGGAGCTGTTTTCTCTGCTCTTTCTGGGTGGTATCCGCACACACACGTTGGTTGTTCTAACATGATGGGGCCTGTAGGGGACAGCCGGCCATTGTTCCGTGGTGTGAGATAGCATCGCAGTGGTCTGACAGACACGGCTCTTCTCCCCAGAGGAATGCACCACTGTCGTTGTCAGCACTAGAGCACTGCGTATATTCACAGTGCAGTGAAAGTAAGAATTCTACACCAGTGCAAGGGTTAGAAGTTCACAGTGTGAAGGGGCTGAGTCTGCCCCCTGCTGGTTTCCAATGAGACGACAAAGACAAATGTGATGCATTGTTTGTGTTTAGTTTGGCCTCTGTCAGAGGTGGAGTCCGAACGATCTACTCCGTCTATTTGGAATTAATGACTGTCGAGTCGGTTATCCCCACATGGGTGTTTTCTAAATCATAACCTAAACTGCCTTTTTAAATGCTCTTGTGAATGTTCTTGTACAGCAAATGTTTTTATTCTGCTGTGCATTTAGACCTCACCCCTTTGAGGCTGGAACACATGTCCCTCTTTATTAAAGCATTTTTATTCACTGAGAATGTTTTTCTATTTTTCTTTAAATATAAGAATGATAATACAATGTACTTATATAGTGCTTTTGGACACTCAAAGACACTTTACAAAAGGAAAAATAAGAAAAAAAGAGTAGGTAGTTTTGAGCAGTGCTTTGAAGCACTGATATGAGTCAGAGATGACCCACTGAAGCCTTTGTCTTGGTTTAACTTCTGGGACCAATGCTGCATCTACTTTAGGACTATGGAGTGCTTTCAGTGTATGAATACTTGAACAGTGTGGGGGAATGTGCATAGAGTTTGCATGTTTTCCCTGTGTCTATGTAGGTTTCCTCTGGGTGCTCCAGTTTCCCCTACCACTAAAAGCATGTACTGTACAATATCTCTGGCATGCGCCTCCAGTATAACGACCTCGCTCCCATCTCTGTGTGGAGTGAGAGACAAATGCCCACAGATGTAAAGTGCTTTGTGACTCTGGTCCGTGAAAGGTGCTATATAAATAAAGATGACTTACTTACCAGGTGGAGAAGCAGAGGGCAGAGCTGAGCAGAGAGCTGGATGAGCTGACGGAGCGCCTGGAGGAGGCTGGAGGCCTCTCTGTCTCGCAGGTGAGACCACAAACACCACAAATCACATGTGGAATCCAACTATATCTTCAATATTGATCTAAATCAATGGTCGTCAAGACAATTAACAAATCGAACTACAATTATTCTGCTGACATTATTATTACTTTTACAAAACATTAAATGGTCTTGTTGAACATTATTGAAATCAGGCTACTTTATGATTGAGCAAAACAGGTTTAGTAATAATGTAGATTACTGCAAATTAAAAACTAAGAAATCAGACAGTAGTATTCCTCATCATTTGAGTCCATCAAAATGAGAGACTCATTTCTGTTTAACATTAAGCCCTGTAGATATTCCTCTCATTTCAAATGAGCATTTCCATTGATAAACAAACACACATACTCAAACACGCATACTCAAACACGCATACTCAAACACGCATACTCAAACACGCATACTCAAACACGCATACTCAAACACACATACTCAAACACGCATACTACATTGTGACCAATCATCCCCCCTCATTTATTAAGGCACTGTAATCAGAAAGATACTTTTGGTTCAAAAACACAACAGACACAGTTAAAGTGAAAGTTTTTGCACAAAACAGACCACACTAGTGAAAAGTAATGGATGGTTTACTGCACAGAAAAATGTCTATTGTGTGAACTTAGTGCACTTGTATATAGTAATAATTTTAAGAAAGGTTATAAAGAAATGTATACATGCCTTGAATCTATTTTTACTTTCATAACTGTCACATAACTGCAACAAAAGCCAAAACAATTTCCTAATATGTGTCCTGTTCCTCACAATGGCAATAAAAAATAATTCTGATTATATTACAGTAATTTTGAATTGAAGTCATATATATTTATATATATATACATCTATATGTACCTCTCACGGTCCTTTGCAGATGGAGCTGAACAAGAGGCGTGAGGCGGAGTTGGTGCGTTCTCGGCGGGAGCTGGAGGAGAGCACTGTCCAGTCCGAGGCCATCCTCTCTGCAGTCAGGAAACGTCATGCTGAAGCACTGTCCGAGCTGAGTGAGCAGTATGGGGCTCTGCAGAGGACCAGGACCCGGCTGGAGAAGGACAAGCTGAATCTGAGGGACGAGCTGGAGGAGACCGCGGCTTCACTGGACACGCTGCACAAAGCCAAGGTACCAGAGACCAGAGACCAGGACTCCTCTGAGCCAACACCTCAGGATGACCAGGGTTACTTTGGCATTACATGGTTATGGAAAGATCTTTAAGATGAACAATATAATAATAATCAGTGGCGGATAAAGATAACTTTGGGCACAAGGCCTAATAAATAAATATTAGTGATGGGAAAACAATATCAACGCTCCGGAGTCTGTGGGTCTTCCTGATACAGCCGCTCGTGTTACAAACATTTCAGCATCCCGGACGCTTCCGGCACTGCTAGGCTTTGTATCAACTGGGTCAGTGAGTGTGTTGAACCGTTCCATTGGCTCAATGAGTTTCCCGATGTTCTGTCAAAGTGGTGTGCCCGTTGAGATGAGCTCCCTCAGCTGTTTATGATGTAATGCAAACCTGCGCATGCGCTTCTCACGGCAGCCGAAACACACCACATTGCTGCTGACGCGTCCTGTGGCTAACTCGACAGCAAACAGCCCAGTCGACAACCCGACTGGCCCGTTGGGTTGATAATGGAAAAAAAAAACAAACTCTTAAGTTGGAAGCTATTAGCTGTCGAGTTAGCCACAGGACGTGTCATCGGCCTACGTCATTTTACTGACAGGAAAGGTATTGCTATCACACAGGAGCAGTGCGGTTTCACAGGAGAAGTTGACTGCTTAAACCAAATTTAAATTAAAAGTGACATTTGCGTCTTTGTTGTTTATGTGTTGTTGTTAGCTGGCTGTGAGCCGCTAACAACAACACGGTGAACGTGGTCATATAAGACCATACACACATAGAACTATTCTCTGCATGTTGTGTTTGTGTCTTTGCGTAACCTGTGCACGCAAATACACCGCTGAAGCTGAACTATGGAGCCTCAGGGAGTGTCCATGTCTCCTCCGTGTCTCCTCCTGAAACGCCACTAAACTAAATTAAAAGCTGGTGTACGTATGTTTTCCCGTTCATTAACAGCTCATGTTGGTTGTGCCCAAAAGTAAAAGGTTGTGAGCAAATCAAACAGATTTAAGTACATTTAGTATGAATGACAATGTGTCATTACATTTGATAATCTCAATTAGAGTGGATTTGAAATAGAATGTTAAAAATGCGATTAATCGTGAGTAAACTCACCATTACTATGCAATTAATAAACAAACAAATATGTAATGTGTTGGTTGCTATGGTAACTGTTTCCATAGTGATAGTTGCCAAGGTAACAGTTGCCGTAGTGATTGCTATAGTGACGGTTGCCGTTGAGACCATTTCCATAGCAATGGTTGCATTTGTGACCATTGCCATGGCAATTGTTAGCATGGCAACCGTTGCTATGACAAGGAATTTACATTAAACAAGAGTCACCAGATTGGCCTTCCGTTGTCATAGTAAGAGTTGCGACGGTGATTGCTCCCATAGCAACATTTGCCATAGTGGTTGTTGCCACAGTAACAGTTGCCATAGTGATTGCCATACCGCCAACAGGCAACTGTTACCATTACCGTTTCCATCCATGCTAACCGTTGTCATGGTTATAGTGGTTTTACTGGCTTGTTTTATGTGCTATGTGATGGAAACATGTTGGCACTTCCAAAATCGTTTTTTACTCTCTTTAATGTACTGTGATTAATTATGACTGAACACAAGAAATGTAATGATGTCATCTTGTATTGTTGCACTTTGAATTGCCTTGTGTATGAACTGTGCTATACAAATAAACTTGTCTTGCCTTGATCATATTAGAGTGAATCCGTCCCTAAGAGCTGATTAAAACACATTCCTAATTTAATAGTGTAATATCATTCTCCTTGTCAAACTTGAACTCTGAATTGTCTCTTTTGTCAGCTGTTGTCTGACTCCCAACTGAAGAAGATGGAGGAGCAGCTGAGCGAGGCCAACAGGAGAGGAGACGACCTGCAGAGGGCGCTGTCTGAGTTCACTGCTGTCAAGAACAGACTCACAGGTACAAAGCGGCTCTTATTCATGCTATTTGTTACAAATATGTTACATCCAGGCTCCCCCCTGGACTGCCACCTTAACGTGGTGGGGGAGTTTGAGTACTCGGATGATCCTGGGAGCTATGCTGTCTGGGGCTTCATGCCCCTGGTAGGGCCTCCCATGGCAGACAGGTCTCAGGTGATGAGTCAGACAAAGAGCAGTCCAGAAGACACCATGGACAGCACAAATATGAAAACAGTGACGTCGCCCGGCATGGCGCAGCCGGGGCCCCACCCTGGAGCCAGGCCTGGGGTCGGGGCTCGTATGCGAGCGCCTGGTGGCCGGGCCTCGCAGGCCCTCGCAGGCCGGGCTCAGCCCGAAGGGATGACGTGGGCAGTCCCTCCTGTGGGCCCACCACCTGCAGAGGGGTCCGTGGTGGCGCGGTGCTGAGAGGACTGGGCGGCAGTCGAAGGCGGAGACCTCGGCGAACCAGTCCGCACACACAACATCTGGCTCTTGGGACGTGGAACGTCACCTCACTGGGGGGGAAGGAGCCCGAGCTCGTGGGGGAGGTTGAGCGATACCGACTAGAGATAGTCGGCCTCACCTCCACACACAGCTTGGGCTCTGGAACCCAACTCCTTGAGAGGGGTTGGACACTCCACTTTTCTGGAGTTTCCCTCGGGGAGAGGCGGCGAGCTGGGGTGGCCATTCTCATTGCCCCCCATCTCAGCCGCCACGTGTTGGAGTTCTCCCCGGTGAATGAGAGGGTCGCGTCCCTCCGCCTCCGGGTGGGGGACAAGTCTCTCATTGTTGTGACGGCCTACGGGCCTAACAGCAGTGCAGAGTACCCGGCCTTCTTGGAGTCCTTGGGAGGGGTACTGGACGGTGCACCGCCCGGGGACTCCGTTATTCTCCTGGGGGACTTCAACGCCCATCTGGGAAACGCCAGTGACACTTGGAGAGGGGTGATCGGGAAGAACGGCCCCCCTGATCTGAACCCGAGCGGTGTTCAGTTGTTGGACTTCTGTGCCAGTCACAGTTTGTCCATCACGAACACCATGTTCGAGCACAAGGGTGTCCACCAGTGCACGTGGCACCAGGACACCCTAGGCCGGAGGTCGATGATCGACTTTGTTGTCGTATCATCTGACCTTCGACCGCGTGTCTCGGACACTCGGGTAAAGAGAGGGGCGGAGCTGTCAACCGATCATCACCTGGTCGTGAGTTGGATCCGCTGGCAGGGGAAGAAGCCGGTCAGACCTGGCAGACCCAAGCGTATAGTGAGGGTCTGCTGGGAACGTCTCGCTGAGCCCCCTGTCAGACGGACTTTCAACTCACACCTCCGGGAGAGTTTCTCCCAGGTTCCGGAGGAGGAGGGGGACATGGAGTCCGAGTGGACCATGTTCTCTGCCTCAATCGCCGATGCGGCGGCTCGTAGCTGTGGTCGCAAGGTCTCTGGTGCTGGTCCCGGCGGCAACCCCCGAACCCGGTGGTGGACACCGGCAGTAAGGGATGCTGTCAGGCTGAGGAAGGAGTCCTAGCGAGCCATGATGGTTCGGGGGACTCCTGAGGCAGCTGTCCAGTACCGGCAGGCCAAGCGTGCCGCGGCCCGGGCTGTTGCAGAGGCAAAAACCCGGGACTGGGAGGAGTTCGGAGAGTCCATGGAGCATGACTATCGGTCGGCCTCGAAGAGATTCTGGCAAACCATCCGGCACCTCAGGAGGGGGAAGCAGTTCTTTGCCAACACCATGTACGGTGCGGGTGGAGAGCTGCTGACCTCGACTGGGGATATTGTCGGGCGGTGGAAGGAATACTTTGAGGTTCTCCTCAATCCCCCCGTCATGTCCTCTGTTACAGAGGCAGAGGCTGAGGAAGTTGGGGCGGATACATCCATCTCCCTGGCTGAGGTCACCAAGGTGGTTGGTAGCCTCCATGGTGGCAAGGCTCCGGGTGTGGATGAGATCCGCCCTGATTATCTAAAGTCTCTGGATGTTGTAGGACTGTCTTGGCTGACACGTCTCTGCAACATCGCGTGGCGATCGGGGGCAGTGCAAATGGAGTGGCAGGCCGGGGTGGTGGTCCCTCTCTACAAGAAGGGGGACCGGAGGGTGTGTTCCAATTATCGTGGGATCACACTCCTCAGCCTCCCCGGTAAGGTCTACTCCAAGGTACTGGAGAGGAGGTTACGGCCGATGGTCGAATCTCGGATCCAGGAGGAGCAGTATGGTTTTCGTCCCGGTCGCGGAACACTGGACCAGCTCTATACGCTCCATCGGATACTCGAGGGTTCATGGGAGTTCGCCCAACCTGTCCACATGTGCTTTGTGGATTTGGAAAAGGCGTTCAACTGTGTTCCCCGGGGTGTCCTTTGGGGGGTTCTCTGGGAGTACGGGGTCGGAGGTCCTCTGCTGAGGGCCATCCGATCCCTGTATGACCGGAGCCAGAGCTGTGTTCGCATTGCCGGCAGTAAGTCAGACCTGTTCCCGGTGAATGTTGGCCTCCGACAGGGCTGCCCTTTGTCACCGGTTCTGTTCACTGTATTTATGGACAGAATATCTAGGCACAGCCAGGGGTCGGAGGGGGTCCGGTTCGGAGACCACATGATTTCATCTCTGCTGTTTGCGGACGATGTTGTCCTGTTGGCTCCAACGAACCAGGACCTGCAGCATGCACTGGGGCGGTTTGCAGCCGAGTGTGAAGCGGCTGGGATGAGAATCAGCACCTCCAAATCCGAGGCCATGGTGCTCGACCGGAAAAAAGTTCCTTGCCCTCTGCAGGTGGGTGGAGAGGTCCTTCCTCAAGTGGAGGAGTTCAAGTATCTCGGGGTCTTGTTCACGAGTGAGGGAAGGATGGAGCGTGAGATTGACAGGCGGATCGGTGCAGCGTGCGCAGTGATGCGGTCGCTGTATCGGACCGTTGTGGTAAAGAGGGAGCTGAGCCGAAAGGCAAAGCTCTCGATTTACCGGTCAATCTTCGTTCCCTCCCTCACCTATGGTCATGAGCTTTGGGTAATGACCGAAAGAACGAGATCGCGGATACAAGCGGTCGAAATGAGCTTCCTCCGCAGAGTGGCTGGGTGCTCCCTTAGAGATAGGGTGAGGAGCTCAGTCACACGGGAGGAGCTCGGAGTAGAGCCGCTGCTTCTCCACGTCGAGAGGAACCAGTTGAGGTGGCTCGGGCATCTGTTCCGGATGCCTCCTGGACGCCTCCCTGGGGAGGTGTTCCGGGCACGTCCCACCGGGAGGAGGCCCCGCGGAAGACCTAGGACACGCTGGAGGGATGTCTCTCAGCTGGCCTGGGAACGCCTTGGGGTCCCCCCGGACGAGCTGGAGGAAGTGTGTGTGGATAGGGAAGTCTGGGCGTCTCTGCTTAGACTGCTGCCCCCGCGACCCGGCAACGGATAAAGCGGAAGAAAATGGATGGATGGATGTTACATGTGGAGGCGAAGATATTTGCTTATTAATCTCCTCCTGACTGCCAAGCTTTAAGGATTTCTCCAACATGTGTCTCCACAAACCGCAGACCAAATTATTTATTGGCCCATCTGACCATTAATCCACAGTAGCACAACACAATTCCACTGTCATTGACACAGTAAGAAACCGTTTACCTCAAAACTTAGCAGCACCTGTGCCATATATTTCTACCCCTTATTCAATCTGAAGAGACCAAAGACACGATAAATACATTAAAATGATTTATTTGTTTGGCGCATTGACCCCGGCAGTGACACTTGCAGCTATGAGATCGATTGCAGCTGAGATGATCTCAGATCCCCCAAAAGAGGAAGCCACGCTATGTGTGCCGGGGAATGCGCAGGCCTCCCGTGGGAAGCTGCCTATCTGGAGGCGTGGGAGCCTTGCATGGAGGCAGCATTGCATAGGGGCAGCATTGCATAGGGGCAGCATTGCATAGATTGCATAGAGGCAGCATTGCATAGATTGCATGGAGGCAGCATTGCATAGATTGCATAGAGGCAGCATTGCATAGAGGCAGCATTGCATAGAGGCAGCATTGCATAGATTGCATGGAGGCAGCATTGCATAGATTGCATGGAGGCAGCATTGCATAGATTGCATGGAGGCAGCATTGCATAGATTGCATGGAGGCAGCATTGCATAGATTGCATAGAGGCAGCATTGCATGGAGGCAGAATTGCGTGGAGGCAGCATTGCGTGGAGGCAGCATTGCGTGGAGGCTGCATTGCATAGATTGCATAGAGGCTGCATTGCATAGATTGCATAGAGGCAGCATTGCATGGAGGCAGCATTGCATGCATTGCATGGAGGCAGCATTGCATAGATTGCATTTAAGAGCCTCAGGAAGCGTTGTTTGTCAGGAAGTGGCTGCCTTTTAAACTGCCCGCTTTGCTCTGAGAGGGTTGGCAGGAGGCTGGCCTGGCTGTGTGATTGGCTGAGGCTCGAGGCTGGCAGAGCTGTGTGATTGGCTGAGGCTCAGGGCTGGCAGGCACTCGGTCTTTCAGTCTGAACATCCGCTTGAGCTTCATTAGTGCACAATCACATAAGGCCCACAGCGGCTCCTAGTGGCTAGGAAAAGGTACGTTTGGCTCTGACTCAGTAACTATGACTTACCGTAAACAACATGAGCCTCAGAAACTCTGGCAGATGTCAATCCAGTCATTTCGTGCTTTAACATCCTGATCACAAACATTTATTTCATATGCTGTGCATGTTTTCAGTGGGAAGTTGTAAAGTACCATTATCAGGCCCCCAACAGGCCGAACACTCCCAACATAAAGACTGAGACGTCGGCTTTCCCTATATCTGCCAAACATGCAAAACAGTGAACATGTGCAACTTCTGCCACAGTCACATGATGCACGAGCACCTGACACAGTCTGAATGAGGCCACAGCAATTGACACAGTCTGTATGAGACTACAGCCCATGACAGTCTCTATAAGATCACCGCCCCTGACACAGTCTGTATGAGAGTTGAGTTCCTGACACAGTCTTTTTACCCGAGCAGCTGATAACGCAGATATGATGCGGCGCATGGATGAGGCGGAGGGCCGAGCCAATCAGACAAGCCGAAACAACTCTCTTGTCCAATCCCAGCTGGAGGAGCTCCGCAAGCAGTTGGATGAGGAAGTCAAGGTGTGAGATCACAACGTGCTTCATGATGATCATTTATAACTGTAAAAAAATTCAATTTACAAAGAAAACAGATCCTTTTGTGGCTCCTTCACTCCTAACACACTTCGCCACAGCTTTTGTCCAGCACCTGTCCTTCATACACACTACATAAACCACGTCTTGCCAAAAGCCACAGGTCACTGTCTGATGCAGGTGTTTAGAGGTTGAAAATCTATGAACTCATTTAAGAAATGGCGTCTCAGGTGTAAGAGAGTACACAGTACCGTGCAAAAGTATTCATACAGCTCAAACTTCAGCACATTTTGTCATGTGATGTGTGCAACTGTGACACTGGAATTTGTGTGGGTGTGTGTGTGTGTGTGTGTGTGTATGTGTGCAGAACAAAGCCTCCCTCTGCAGCTCTCTGGCTCAGGCTCGGCAGCAGAGCGCTCATGTGAAGGAGCAGCTGGAGGAGGAGCAGGAGAGCAGACAGGAGCTGCAGAGGCTGGTGTCCAAACTCAACACTGAGCTGTCTCTGTGGAGGAGCAGGCAGGAGGCGGACGCACTGCAACACACCGAGGAGCTGCAGGAGGCCAGGTAACACACAGCTGCACACACTAGGCGCAGGAGCAGAGGGAGAAACTTTTCACACAAATTGAGCTATTTGGTAGCTATCAAAATTGCATAGAAGTTGAGTTCATTACCATTATTTTTGTTTATTAAATCAAATCTAATCCACAACTGATTCTGATGGACTTTTTCACCATCATCTATAACAGTAAAAATCTGGGCTTTTTAAATTTTGTGTGTGTGTGGGCATATGTGTGTTTGTGTGTGCTCGCATTTTCATGTGTTAACTGTCTCTGTTTCACACTTTCTATGTGTTGAGTTTAGAAAGAAGCTGGCTGTGCGTCTCCAGGAGGCGGAGGAGGCCGTGGAGGCCACCCAGGCCAAGTGCTCTTCTCTGGAGAAAACTAAGCAGCGGCTTCAGGCGGAGCTGGACGAGCTGTGTGCGGAACTCGACAAGGTACACACAATGGCCCTCATTTATGAAACTTGCGTATGGCCAAATCAGGGTGCAAATGATGCGTACACAAAAAATTTACACTTTTTGGCATTTATCAATCTGGACACATGTAGCAGAGATAGGATGGCAACGCGCTTATCTGTAGGAACGGGCTCTGGGGCAGTGCGCAGCAGGTGTCAGGACAGGTCCCACTGCATCACTGCTCAAATGCGGTGCACACCATTCAGACATTTTGGATCCAGAGTTACTCTGTGAAATGACGAAAAGCTTCTCATACGTATCTTACTCTCTCACAGAGATCGCGCAGACGCTTCACCTGGTTAATGATGAGATACTAACATTCATTCATTCATTATTTATTTATTTGTTTATTTACTTTGAAAGTTGAAGAGAAGCGGGATGAGTGCGGCAGTGGGTCTAGACACTATAGGAAAAAACGCGTATGTATAATATAGCATATATTTATTTTTAAACAAACGTGAATAAGCTTTTTGAAGCTTCCAAACAGTCTTCTTGGCCGACTTCCATGCTGACCTGTCGTAAAAACGGAGCGTGAAACGGGCGGTTTCTGAATATTTATAGGCGTGACTTTCATATATACGCTAGTTTTGAGGGTGGAACTTATTAACAGCCGCAGGTGCGTGTGCTCAGATCTGGGCGGATCTCACACGTTCATAAATCCCACGTAGGATCTTGTGTATTTGGAATCTACGCCTAAAAAAATACACCCTTTTCTGCGGGCCAATTCCACAAACACTGCCATACACAGCAATTCAATTACATTTATTCTTGTATAGCCCTAAATCACAACAGTAGTTAACAAAAACTCTTTGCCAACACAGAACAAAAATCAAACAGTTCAAACACAAGAAATGCAATGATGAAAAAGATAAACACATAGAGCCATTATGTCCATAAATGTTTACACCATCCAAGACCAAGACCTGTGTTTGTGCTTTTCAGCTTTCAATTGATGTGTTTTAAAACTCAAAGCATCTTTCGAGTTACATGTGTGATCTTTTTGCTCTGGACTATGAGCCTATCCATTTGTCTTTTTCTCTTTGCTATGTTGGTGTGTCTCAGGCCAACGGCTGCGGACAGGTTCTGGACAAGAAACAGCGCCTCCTAGAGAAGCAGCTCAGCGACTACAGGCATAAGTGTGATGAGCTTCTGGCCGAAGTGGACAGCTGTCAGAAGGAGAGCCGCCAACACGCTGCGGAACTCTTCAAACTCAAGAGCAGCTACGAGGAGAGCCTGGAGCAACTGGAGGCCCTCAGGAAAGAGAACAAGGCCCGCCAAGGTACAGCAGACAGTGTATATGAGGGCCTCAGGAGGGAGAAATATTTTACTGAACACTGTGCATCCGGGCTGGTTCAAAGACGAGTTTAAATGTCTCCAAAAAGTTAAAGGGAAATTTAGCTATCCAACATTAAGTCAAAGTAGATCATGAGAGGGATGTGCAAAGACCCACTTGGAATTGTCTGCTTTAGGGCGACAGTGGCTCAGTTGGTAGAGCATTGGCCTTTGAGCCTGAAGGTCATGGGTTTGTAGCAGGACTCTCGCCAGACCCTTGTAGATCGCTGCGCTTCTCACATGGGTCTGGGTCTGAGCCATAGCGGTGGGATTTCAGAAGGCGGGGCTTTGTAAAAAAATCTTTGTATGTGATTGGATAAACCACTTGTCTGGTATCTTGAATGACGTCTTCCTTCAACCACTGGACTGGCACTGCTTATGTGTCGTCCAAGATGGCGCCGGGGTGTCTGGTTCGCCGCTTGACTCTGCTCTGTTTGATCAGTTTTATATTGTTTTTAACACTTTTCACGAGGACCATAGACTCATTGATTGTGTACAATCGCCATGAGCTGCTAAATATAAGATTAAGAGTGAATACCTGCACAATTCATGATGCAAACCAGTCGGATTCATTCTACCTGGCGGATTTGCCCGAGTGTCTCCGGTGCGTGAATGCGCCCCTGCCGAGGAAGCGTAAACGCCGCCGTGGAGTGCGAGCCGGCCGGCTTGTAAAGCTAAAGGCCTGGCTGGCGTGTTCTCCGGGCTCCGTGAAATCCCACATAGTCCCAGCAGACTATGGCAGCAGCCTTCAGCGTTACGTGTCCAGACGCAAGCTTGTGTCCATCGGCTCCTGGTTGGTTCCCGTTTTTGGACAGCAGGAGGAGGATGTCTGTGCGCTGCGCCCTCGTTCTACCCGGGGTACTGGCGGTGTTACTCCAGGAAACCTGCGCTCACTGAGCCGGGCAGATCCCGCGGCTTGCGGGTCTACGGCTGTTGTGAAATGCGCACTCCTGAACGCAAGATCAATTGTGAACAAGACATTTATTCTGCAAGACTTTTTTACGTCGCAGTCATTGGATTTACTGTTTCTGGTTGAGACGTGGGTCAACAGCGGTGAGTCAGCTGCCTTCTCCGAGCTTTTACCCCCTGAGTGTACATTTATTAATGTGCCAAGAGCCACCGGTCGTGGTGGTGGCATAGCTACTGTGTTAAAGAACTCTCTCTACCACAAGATTTTATCCCCGGAGCCTGTTTCTTCGTTTGAACTGAGCTGTTTTGAGCTGCGTCAGACTGAGCCTGTGTTGTGTGCTGTTGTGTACAGACCACCAAAATACAACAAAAACTTCATCAAGGACTTCTCTGATTTTATGGCTCTTATGTCAACACGTTATGACAAGATGTTGCTGGTTGGGGATTTTAATGTGCATGTATGCTGTCCTTCAAAGCCCTTGGCCCAAGAGTTTTTAGATTTGGTTGATGTTTTTAATTTGACTCAGCATGTGAGTGGCCCCACGCAAATACATGGCCATACGTTAGACCTTGTGCTGTCCTATGGTTTTCCTGTGGTCGATATATCTGTTGGGGATGCGGTATTTTCTGACCACAGTCCTGTTCTTTTTGGGCTAATGTTGCAAAATGAGATGGGACCGATATGTCCTATGTATCATAGCCGCTCTATCAAGCCAGCAACTGTAGAGACCTTTTCAACTGCATTCAATGCAGCAGTAGATTTACAGTCTTTTAGAAACCTCTCCATGGACTCTGAGGAATTGATGGAGTCATTTATATCCACCTGTTGTAGTGTTTTGAACAATGTCGCTCCATTAAGAGCTGTGCGTCCTAAACCTAAACAGGAGCCATGGCTTAACGAGGTCACACGCACTGCGAGGCGTGAGTGTCGTAGAGCTGAGCGCAGGTGGAAAACTGACCATTTGGAGATTTCTCACCAAATGTATAAAGACAGTTGGAGCACTTATCAAAGCACTGTTTTTAAGGAAAAAACGAGGTATTTGTCTAATCTTGTTGTAGAAAATATAAACAAACCTCGAATTCTTTTTAAAACTATTGGTTTAGTTTGTAACCCCAGTCCTTCCACTACTTTGGAAATGACGAGTGAAATGTGTGAGAAGTTCCTTGTCTATTTTACCACTAAGGTTGAGAATATTAGAGTAAACATGGTGGCTTCTGGTTCTTCTTTGAACAATGCTCTAATCACACAGTGCTCTTCTGTTTTTAGTCACTTTGAGCCTGTGTCATTGTCTGTCATCACAGGGATCGTTGACAAGCTAAAACCTTCATCCAGTCCCACAGACCCAGTTCCACCTCGCTTCTTTAAAGAGGTCTGGACAACTATTGGACCTTTTGTTCAGGAGATAATAAATACGAGTCTGTGTTCTGGGGTTGTCCCTTCCTTTTGTAAATCAGCTGTAGTAGAGCCATTAGTTAAGAAACCTGGACTCGAGCCTTCAATCTTATCAAATTATCGTCCTATTTCAAAACTCCCCTTTGTTTCTAAGATTTTAGAAAATAGCGTAATTTCCCAGTTGCAACCTTTTTTAAATGAAAATTGCACTTTAGACCCTTTCCAGTCTGGGTACAAAGCTTTGCACAGCACTGAGTCTGCACTTTTAAAGGTTTTTAACGACCTGCTTTTATTGGCAGATTCTGGAAATTCTGCTGTTTTAGTGCTTTTAGACTTGACTGCTGCGTTTGACACTGTGGACCATGCAACTCTTTTAAATCGTCTTAAATACTGTGTGGGTGTCAGGGGGACCGCCCTGGACTGGTTTAGGTCATACCTGTCAGGGCGGTCTTTCACTGTCAGGCTGGGGGACTCCACATCCACCTCTGCCCCTTTGCACTGTGGAGTTCCCCAGGGCTCAATTCTTGGCCCTTTGCTTTTTGCCCTGTACCTCCTCCCACTTGGTGACATTTTTAAAAAACATGGAATGTCTTATCACTTTTATGCTGACGATTGTCAGATTTACATGCCTTTGTTAAAAAACAATCACAGCCCCCTGACGCCTCTACTCAACTGTCTGAGTGACGTCAAGGATTGGTTGGCTCAAAACTTTCTTAAACTCAATGAAAATAAGACAGAGGTTATTTTATTTGGCCCTAGTCCCCCCCTCATTGACCTGGGGCCCTTAAAGGACTATGTGCGCCCCACAGTCACCAACCTTGGCGTCATCTTAGACAGTGATTTTAAACTTGATAAGCAGATTAATCGCGTTTTAAAATCAAGCTTTTATCATTTGCGGCTTTTATCTAAAGTCAAACCTTTTTTATCTTTTAATCTTTTTGAGCAGGTCATGCACGCTTTTATTTCGTCACGCCTGGACTATTGCAATGCACTTTATGCGGGCATCCCCCAAAACGCACTTTCCCGTTTGCAGTTGGTCCAAAACTCAGCGGCACGACTTTTAACAGGAAGCAGAAGGCGCGATCACATTACACCAATTCTGGCTTCGTTGCACTGGCTTCCTGTTCATTTTAGAATCAATTTTAAGATTTTATTGTTTGTTTTTAAAGGTTTAATGGACTGGCCCCTCCCTACATCTCGGACCTCATCCAAATTTACCACCCGCCCCGCGCGCTGAGGTCCGAGGGCCAGCTCCAGCTCGTGGTGCCTAAGACCAGACTTAAAACCCGGGGGGACAGGGCCTTCTCTGTGGCTGGACCAAAGCTGTGGAACGCTCTGCCCCCCCACGTCAAAACAGCTCCTTCAGTGGAGTGTTTTAAGTCTCGTCTTAAGACCCATTTTTATGCTCTGGCTTTTAACACTACGTGAGTTGTATGGTCCTTTTATTTTATTTCATCTTATTATTGTTATTTTTGTGTTTATACATATGCACACACGGTTTTTCAAATTTGATTTTTTTTATTATTAACTGTCTTACTATGGATTTATTTTTGGTATTTTATTGTGCAGCACTTTGGAAACTGTGTTTATGAAATGTGCTATATAAATAAAAGTGGATTGGATTGGATTGGAACCACTCACATCAGCACATGACTCCCATGGGTTGCCAAATGCCAGCAAGATTTTCCAGCCCAAAACATGGAAGAATGCCCCAAAAAAGAAAAACACCCAGAATGATTTTTTTGGCTAAAAACATAATGTTATCAACTTGGGCTATCATGATTCTGTTTATTGTCTTTTTGTTTATTTATTACCTACAAGTCTTGGAAAAAAGTATGAGGGGAACCACCCAACCTGGCAACCCTGCTGCATAGTGTTGTAAACAGGAAGACTTAAAACAGTCCTTAACCCAAGCTTTACACAAACATTTGACTCTTAAAACACACATAACAACATAGAACCATCAACATCTCGGCTCATATTGCATAAAAAGTGACATCCGTGTCTTAATTCGTTCGTATTTACACTTTTTTTTTTAAATCACAGACCTTATGTCCGCCATCTTGGATTGCTTTTGCTGCCTCATGAGACACGCTTGAGAAGGCGGTGCAAACCCGACGTAACACTGGCGATCCTGATTGGTCGATTATTTTCTGATCTGCTGAAGGAGTTTGGTATGCGCTTGATCCCAAAACCTTGTGTGTGAAGCGAAACGCCTGTGGTGGAGCATGGCGGAACTACAAGGGTCTAGAGCCAGGCTAAAGGGTTCGAGCTCACCACAAGGCTTTCTCCTCCGACTCCCACTGATGTCTGCTGTCGTTGTGTCCTTGGCAAGACACTTAACCTCTGGGAACACCAGGTGCCACAGTGGGGCGGCTGCGGCTGTAAAGTGCCAAACTGCCTTTGTGTCCTTAGGCAAGACACTTCACCCCAATTGCCTAGAATGAGTCTGGTGTGTGTGTGAATAGTTGGTGGTGGTCAGAGGGTACATACTGGTAGCCTCGCTTCTGTCAGTGTGCCCCAGGGCAGCTGTGGCTACAGTAATAGTTCATCACCACAGTGGAGTGAAAGAATTTGAAGCATCTTTGAGTGTCCAAAAAGCGCTATATAAAACCGATGCATTATTATTATTATTATAGCATTGTGTACTGACCGCGCCTGTGCTTCAGGAGGTTGCCTTTATTTCTCACACATCACAATGAAAGCTCTTTGCGTTTAGAAGAAGTGTTAAGGTGACATTTAGGAGTAGTCTCTCTCACATTAGTCCTGTGCTCAGGTCTCCGCACTGGCTTCGTATGGCTCAGAGAATAGACAATATATGTACATATGTGTGTGTTACAGAGGAGATTGTGGACCTGACAGAGCAGCTCTCTGATGGAGGGAAGAGTGTGCATGAACTGCACAAGGCCAAAAAGAAAATGGAGATGGAGAAGGAGGAGCTGCAAGCCTCTCTGGAGGAGGCTGAGGTCGCACTGGAGGTAAGACCAGACCCAGAAATCCGCAGACCTGTACCTGTACTGTTATGAACTGATGGCACAAACACTTCCCTCTGCCTTGGGGAAAATGAGGAAAGAAAACACTTCTCCTCCGACACTCTTTCAAAAAGATCAGTGACATAAGTTTTCCAGTTATGACTAACACTCTGTCAACTCTGTTTTAACATACATTTCTAAAGGGGCATTCACACCTGACCATGCGTCCAGTTTCAATGCTAACGAAACATGACTGGTCACATGTGCCCAAACAAGCATTACTCGTTACTTGTCCAGGTTTTCTAATAGAGCTGTGGTGTGTGCAGGCAGAAGAGAGCAAAGTGCTGCGTGTGCAGTTGGAGCTGTCTCAGACCAAAGCGGATCTGGAGAGGAGGCTGCAGGAGAAGGACGACGAGATGGAGTCTGCCCGGTAACATGAGCCCCAGACCTGTCATTCATGTAGAGCTGATTTGCATGTTGTGTTAGATATTGATCTGAATGTAGTGAAGTTTTAATTACAACTCACAAAGCACCTGTGCTGTTACGGTGGGAACGTGGCTCTAGACTGTCTGAATTGTCTGAAGTGGCATCTGTCTGATCGTGGCGCTCTGTGGCCCCCATAATCGCCAAGTAACAGTCCAGGATTAATATCATAGTGGTTATGGGTTATGAATCCAGGATCCACTTTAATATTGATCTGGACACCTTATAATTTGGTGATATCAGAATGAGAATGATCAGAATGAGCCTGTGAAATGAAGGTGAGAACTTTAGTCATATCTCTAGCCCCAATGGAGGTAGAAAATGACCAACTCATTTATTCACTATAAAGGAGAAACACAAGTAAATGGAAAAACTCTGTTTAAATTAAAAGATGAACTTCTCGCCCCAGAACCGACTTTTAGTCATTATCATTATGTTTTGCCAAATTGTAATCCTATATTCAAGCATCCTATATTCAAGCATCAAACTGCAGAGAAGTCTGTGTGAGAGAAGTGAATCCCCGCCCCTTCTCTCACACAGCACCAATGGCCATGTTGATGTGACTGAATGGTAATCACACAACAGTACATAGTATATAAAGACTGACAAAATAAAACTATTTTTTCATAGTTGTATACTACTGTAAAATGAAAATGTTAAATAGAAATATTCACACACAAAAATTCTCCAGAAGAATGCAGAAGAAACCAATTAGAGCAAACTCAAACAAGCTATATCTGTGGGAATCTGGAGCACAATGTAGTAGATAGCAACATTAGTCCATTCTCACTCCCGAGCTAATGGCAAATTTGGGAATAAAAGGCTCCTGATTAGTCAACTTTGTTGACGCAAACAGTGACAGAAAGAGGATTATACAGTACGAAACTTTGTCCTTGAGGACACTTATCTGCTGCTTGAAAGAGTCTCCTGCACTCTGGTGTGACAGAAAGGGCCACCAGAGGGCGCTGGAGTCCCTGCAGGCGGCTTTGGACGTGGAGCTGAAGGGTCGCGTGGAGGCGCAGAGGCTGAAGAAGAAACTGGAGACAGAGCTGAGCGATCTGGAGCTGCAGACCACACTGCTGACCAGCACCAACACTGAGCTGAGCAAGGCCAACAAGAGGGCCCAGCAGAGCGCCAAGGTGAGGCCCCCAGCAGAGCACCAAAGAGAGGCCCCCAGCAGAGCGCCATGGTGAGGCCCCGAGCAGAGCACCAAAGAGAGGCCCCCAGCAGAGCACCAAAGAGAGGCCCCCAGCAGAGCACCAAGGTAAGGCCCCCAGCAGAGCGCCATGGTGAGGCCCCCAGCAGAGCACCAAAGAGAGGCCCCCAGCAGAGCACCAAGGTGAGGCCCCCAGCAGAGCGCCATGGTGAGGCCCCCAGCAGAGCACCAAAGAGAGGCCCTCAGCAGAGCGCCAAAGAGAGGCCTTCAACAGTTCAAGGTTGTGTGTGTATTGTGTGTATGCGTGTGTGTGTAATAATTTTGTCAAACCATTACTTACTGTACATCTGACTGTAGCTGTACTCTGTGGTAGTTCTCTGGGCTGTCCTGACTCTACATTGCTCTGTAGACTTCACAGAGGCAACAAGCAGCAGCAGGACCCCGCCCGTTATATTCATATATCAACTATTTCTTTCGTAAAACACTTATTGTGGCCATACCTGCATGTGAAAGCCATATCTTGTCAAACCTCTGAAGCTAAGCAGGACAGGGCTTGGTTACTACCATGATGGGAGAGCTGGGAACACCATGTTCCACAGTGGAGCGACTGCAACTGCAAATGAATGCTGCGCTTTTTGTCAAGAGACTTCGCCCACATTAAGATGAGTCTAGTGTGTGTGTGTGAATGGTTGATGGTGGTTGAAGGGGCAGATGGCATATACTGGTTGCCTCGCTTCTGTCTGTGTGCCCCATGGCAGCTGTGGCTAGAACAGCAGTTTATCACCACAGTGTATGGAGTGAAAAAAAAATGTCATGAGGCCAATATAAAACCATTGCATTATTATTATAATTTTTAAAACAAATTTTCTTATTTCTGATCAGTCACAAGTGTACATGTAACGCCCAAGTTCGTGTGACCAACCAGTTTCAGAGTGGACAAAAGTGCGGAGGGAGGTTGATTAAAAAGTAAGAAGTTCATAACAAAAAGATTAAAATGTTTTAAAAGTTATTTTAAAATGTCCAAAAGTGCAGGTGTGCTTATCAATGACGTGGAGGGAATTTGGGGAGGAGATGGGGTGAATGACCATCCGGATAGCCAAGCTAAACAGCCTAATATGTGCGATGCAGTGGCTGTATGCTGGTGGTCTGACTCCACTTCTCCTGGGCCACGCCCGTAGCTCCCCTCCAGCACACCTGGACAATGCCGTGACAAAGACACAGAGCTATTAGTAATAAAACTAAACAGTGAAAAGGCACAGGGAGGACACATTAATAACAAAACTAAACTGTGGAAAGCGAAATGTGACAGTGCCGTGTGGTGTGGTGGACATTACCTGGACAATGCTGTGACAAAGACACAGAGAGACAGAGTGGTGTGCTTCTGCTGCTTAAACCAGAGTGAGTGAAGTGAGCTGATTGCCTCCACCTGTGTGACCACACCCCAAACAAAAGACACACCCATGCACACACAAACTCCAAAGTAAAGACACACACACAAAGAGGCGGGGATACAGCTCTACCATGTTACATACATGTGTGTTCAGGAGCTCCAGGCCCAGCTGGAGGAGGAGGTGCGGGCTCATGAGCAACAGCAGGAGGAACAGGCAGCTCTGGAGAGACGGGTCACTGTGCTGCTGAGTGAAGCTGAGGAGATGCGCTCCTCTCTGGACTGTTCGGAGCGTGCCCGCAGGACCCTGGAGAGCCAAGTGCACGAGGCCAACGAAAAGAACAGCCATCTCAGCACCCAGGTCAGCTCCCCTCCCACCTGTCTGCTCAGGCACCCAACTTTCCCATCTCTAGCACAGTACTTGATCTCATGAGCCTCTGGTCCATGTCCTTCACAGCTCCAGAGTGCGCTGAGCGGCCGGAGGAAGCTGGAGGTGGACATGCAGGCTCTGCAGCAGGAGCACGACGAGGTCCAGGCCGAGCTGCGGGGCGCTGTGGAGAAGGCAAAGAAGGCTCAGGCTGAGGTACCAACACATGTCTTATTCTGAGACATGGACATCCCATCAGTGACCACTGCGAACTCATTCAGGCCCAAAGGGTGTGACTGTTTGGACACAGAAGTAGTGAGAGTCTGAGAGGGAAAGGCCACAGTGGTTCAGGAACACTCCTCATTGTTGGTCTATGAGTGATCCCAGTCATGATTCCAATGAAGTAGTAGAAAGCAGTCAACTGTGTTTACACTGCATGTAACCACAGAAACTTGGTACTTCTGAGACAAGGCCAACATATGCATTTAAGAGCACAGGGAAGATCGGTACTTGTATTAGAAATGTGTGGATTTGGAGAAAATAGGCCATTATCTCATGTTGATCATTGTGATGCGTTACACAGTCCCTCTGCACGTGTTTCATTTTGTTTTGGATTGATGCAAACGCAGGAATGAGAGAGTATTTAATTGGGTATGTGCACTGGGATCCGACTTTGCCTTATTTGGACTGGGACCAGTTTTTTTTGTTTACTCCGTATCCTTTCATAAAGTATGCCGTGTTTTCACCACTAGGTAAAACATTTTTTTTTCACTTCCTGTGGTCTAAATGCTGAAAACTTTTTCTCTAATCAATTGTGACTTATACTCATGGATTTGTAAGTTCAGACTTTAGGAGCTGTAGACGATAATTCAGTCCAACCGTACAGAACAATAACAAGATGAATCGGTAGTGTCCAATGTCTTCATGTTGGGTGTTGTGTGGGTATTGTTGAAGTTATGAATGCCATGTGCTGTGTGCAGCTGTCCAGAGTGTCCCAGGAGCTGTGTGTGGAGCAGGAGCACTGTCTACATGTGGATCGGCTGAAGAAGAGTGCAGAGGCCCAGCTCAAAGACCTGAGCGTGAGGCTGGAGCAGGCCGAGCAGAGCACCCTGAAGGGCGGCAGGAAGCTCACCCACAAACTGGAGACCAAGGTGGGTCCCAGAAAACACCAACTGAACACAAAAAGCAAAGTAACTGTGTGTTTTATTTATGTTCTGCTTTAGGACTGACAGGTGTCAGAACTTTGCTTTTTCTGACACTTTCTACTTTTTAGCATCTGCACTTTCTGCTATTTACATTTGAGAATTAGGCGACAATGTCTCAGTTGGTAGACCATTGGCCTTTGAGCCGGAAGATCCTGGGTTCAAGCCCACCATGAGATCCTCTCCAACTGATTTTTGCTGTCATTGTGTCCTTGGGCAAGACACTTAACCCCACTTTGCCTGAAGACCCCGCTGACAGAGCAAGGCTGCGTCCTCACTGACACAGCAACCGTCCTCCTCTGGACTCACCATCTGCAGGAGGATCAGTGAGGGGCTGGTCCTCTGTGTACTGGGTGCAGCTCTGACTGCCACCCTCTCGACCCAGAAATGGATTAAGGGGACAGTGATGGGAATAACGGCGTTACTAGTAACGGCGTTACTAACGCCGTTACTTTTTTCAGTAACGAGTAATCTAACTAATTACTTTGACAGTAACTATAACGCCGTTATCATTTCCGACATCCCGTTACTGCGCGTTACTCAAGACGCACAATGAACGTGTTGTCATGAGAGAAGGGAGGATGAGAAAACCTCTCAGCAATTATTGGCTGATGTAAATCATATTTCCTTTACAATCTACATGTCTACAGTTGAGAGGATGGCTCATAAATTGTGTTTTTGAAACAAATATGGGTCTTAATCGTGCTCAACCACGGCTTGTATCACCGTGAGGTCAGCCACAGAGGAGCGCATGTGAGCGCAGAAGTCGGCTGCATACAATTCCATCGATAAGCTCCTTGCTCTTCCTGGTTTATCTGCTAAGGCAGCCATTCCCAAACTCAGTAACACCGAGGCCCCCTTAAAAATCTGACGGGTCTGCGTGGCCCCCCCAAAATAATAACCAAGAAGACAACATTAAAAATAGGCTCTTCTGGTTATTTTATTTTGGGGAAATAGCCTCTGCTACAAACATTGTAATACAAAAATGATTACAGTGGATTATTCAAGTCAAATAATGAACACAAATATTTTAATATTACAAACAAAACATTATAAATTTAACATTAAATAATTATTTTTTTTATTTTTATTTTTTTATGACCTCCCGCGGCCCCCCTGCAGTACCCTCGCGGCCCACCAGGGGGCCGCGGACCCCACTTTGGGAGACACTGTGCTAAGGACAGCAACAGGTTTGGCTAACATACATATAACACATTTTTACATAATCTAAAATGCCCATAGGGTAATTTTTCAATTACTATAGGAATGATAAGAAAGAGAAGTGAAGTGTAAGACGGTTGATTTTAGAAATTGGATGCACTCGGCTGCAGCAAAACAGAGGAGTTTACGGAGGACACACGCGTTTTGTTTTACTTTTTAAAACTCATTGGACTCATTTCCAAATGGAGGATTACATATCTACGCTCAAACCATTAACTGGATTTAAACAAGGAACTGGTCTGAACCGAAGTGGACTGTGCAGGTCATTTATAAGGTATAGCTATAAGGTAAGACCCATAACTCATAGTTTTGCGTTTTGTATGAACAAACAATGCGGGCATAAAACATATTTTGCTGTAGCCAAACAAATTGTCCACTTGATTTATATGGTGTATATGTTCATCTGATTGGACTGAAGTCAGTGCTTCACCAGCCTCACCGCTCGTCACCGGTGTTTCCACATTCACAGTGGCGGGTGTTGGTGTTTAGTGCTTACAGCACAGTGAGAGATGAAGAGTGAACAGGACTTCAGCAGCAAAACAGCCTTTTCTAGATGGAAATATTGGCACTGTTAAAGGTAAAAATGCGCACGTCGGGTGCACATTATGTTCCAGAACAAAACGAAAAAGTAACGCAATAGTTACTTTTACTGGTAACTAGTTACTTTTATAGTGGAGTAACTCCGTTAGTAACTCAGTTACTTTTTGGGAGAAGTAACTAGTAACTATAACTAATTACTTTTTCAAAGTTAAGTGCCCAACACTGTAAGGGGATGAAAATGGATGGATGAACATTTGAAAATATACTTTTCACACAGCATTAACCCCAAACCACTAAGCAGAAGTAACTATGAAATGATTAGCCATACTTTTAAGTGAGTATATCAGTGTGGTTAGCCATGCTTCTAAGTTCAATTCGACCTTTATTGTCTGTCATTTTCTCTGGGAGTGTAGTGTTATATGAATATCAATATATTCAGCCAAACATCTATTCAAATGTTTCCCGCTGTACATCTATACTGTAGGACATGTCCTGGATGGTAGCTCAGACAAGTGCTTCTGTCACCTCTGTATATATTGTATACTGTAAATAATGCATCAAACAATACAACCTGAGAGATGCCTCTTGCCACAGATCAAAGAGCTGGAGGTGGAGCTGGAGGCGGAGCAGGCGCGTCACTCTGAGACCGTGAAGAGTCTGAGAAAGAACGAGAGACGCCTCAAAGAGCTGCTGTTCCAGAGCGAAGAGGAGCACAAGCACCAAGCCCGTCTGCAGGAGCTGGTGGACAGGCTGCAGAGCAAGATGAAGACCTACAAGAGACAAGTGGAGGAGGCTGTACGAACCACACGCACACACTTATTTGTATAGGAGAATTCAGTCATTCATCAAGGCAACTCAAAGTGCTGCTTTCATACTACAGGCACAAAGCAACGTCACACTGCACTCCAGTCCAGAGCCAATGGAGAGGCCAGGCACCAAATTAAAATGTAGTTCCACCAAAATAGTTGATAGGGCGCCACACAGACAGTTTTATCCTCAAAAGTGAGATTTTATCTACTCTACACTAAAATATTAAACAAATGACCGAGTTGTATGCACAGCTAAACAGTTTGAACCTGGATTTGAACATTGTCAGAGAAGAAGTCTGTCTCTTATTTTCAGGAAGACTCACACACTTTCAAATCTACAATCAATCCCCACAGCAGTTTTCCCAAAAAGAGGGGTGTGTTCCATTGAAATATAACGGACACATACTTTATCCGTCCAGGATGTTTTACTTTGTGACAAGAGTACCAGTTAGACAGGACGGCTGTTTCCAAAGCTCTCTCAAATCCCCTATGTTCATGTTCTTGCTCTTTATCGGTCTTTCCAGTTGATTTACTGTAACACTGTGGTTCTTGTGTAATTGTTGGTGCAGAATCTCTCCTCACTGCTTGTGTTCTTCTCTGGTTGTGTGGTTCAGGAGGAGCAGGCCAACATGAACCTGAGCAAATACAGAAAGATGGTGCACGAGCTGGACAACGCCGAGGAGAGGGCGGACCTCGCCGAGTCCACCCTGACCAAGATCCGCAGCAAGCGCAGAGGCAGCTTCAGCAAAGGCTACTCCTCTGTGAGTGACACACGCATGCACGCACACACATGCACGTGTTTGGTTGCACTCAAATAACCTGTCAATAGAACAAGAAAATATGCCCCAAATGACTTGATTCTAGTATAAAAACATACATTAACAAGTATTATTTACTTATTTCTTAAACATTTTTGAGAGATGTTTTCTTAAATTATAACATAACATACTTATTTTAACTATTTAACGTTTTCTGGAGATAAGAAAAAATACTTTAATCAAGCATTTAAAACTCACTGCTCAGACTTTTTTCTCTGAGATTATGTGTTATAATCTTCAAATTAGTAAAATTATCTTACATGACAAACTACATTCAGGATAAAAGCTTAAGAATCATTTATGTTATTTCTAGTAAATAAATCTTACCAAGATTGTACTTTTTTTCAGTATTTTGCACATTCTGATTGCACAGATGCACGACAGATAAGATATGATATTCCTTTATACGTTCCACAGTGAGGACATTTCAGTGTCATCGTTGTGCACATTACAGCAGAGAAAGAAGAAAATAAGAGCACTCAGATTGCAAACATCAAACAGAGTCTATTATTTCAGATAATAGACAATAGAATTAAAATAATACGATAATATATACTGTATAATTGTCCTAGGTTCAGAAGTGTTTAAAGTTGTGTATATTGTACTTTAGCAGCAGAGAATATCACCAGTAAAGTGGCGAGTGAATGACAGAAATATCAGATGGATGGATATGTAATAATGCAGTAGTAATAACAACAGGTAAAGTGGCTACATTAAGGTGAGGTCCGGTGGCAGTGTTTGTCTGAAGGAGGTTTAAAGGTCCTCATGGAGGTCCTGTATGTTTGTGTTTCAGGGCTACAGCACTCCGTACCCGGGCCTGATGCGCTCCAACAGTTCTGTGTGCTCAGAGGGACCAGGAGAGAAGAGCCTCCCTGATGACAGCGAGTCCATCAGCTCCCTCATCCCGGCCTACCTCAACTCTCTCCAGAAACTCATGATCGACTAGAGCTCCTAACCCCCTCCCCTGCACAAGTCGCATGGGATTACAAAACTCTTTTTTTTTATTCGTTACAAAACATAAACATTGGTTTGACAAATACAGAGTTTTGTAATATTTCAAATACAACTGCACTGCTCCAGGTGTTGGGATCACTCACAGACCTCTAATGTTAGGCCTCTTTTAGACGACACACGTGATTCCCAGCAGTAGAGCCACTTCCTCAATAACAGGATCCTCAGGCTGCCGCAAATACGTGCATTTAACAGCAGCAGCAAAAACTGAAACTAGAGCTTTACGTGGTTTAGTTTTGACGAAGGAGTAGAATTCCCCTCTGTGTAGCGCTCAGAGCACACGTAGCATTAGGCGACCCATCGCCATTGTTTACGTTTGTTCTCGGCCACTGCACATGTCCAAATGTACGTGGAGGTCATAGCAGCAGAGAATCCACACTTTTTTCTTCACAACAGCCCCCGCCGCCACATATCTGTTCTGTTCCACTCGAGAGGCTGTTTCTTAACACTTGTGTTTTCACCTGAAACCGATAACAAACTCTGAGGTTTTACTGTCGCAGCGTCTCCGTGTAAACACCCCCTAATATTGGACAAACACTCCAAACACACAGTCTCCATGAGGATTAGAGCTAACTCAAAAGGCTCCATGATTTGATTTGTTTATTTCAAACATGCACCAGTTATACAGACAATTATGCACTGATGCAAAATCATTAGAGTAAAAAGGAAAACCTGTGCATGGTTTGAAAAGGGATCGGCCAAAGAAAAAAAATACAAATAATATAAAATCTTTTTATATATTTTTTAATTATTGTATTATTATTTTTCTCACTCCTATTTTACTATTGTTTTCTTTATTATTATCATTACTATTTTGTCTTATTATTTGTAATATTAGAATGTTAATACAAATAATACTAATAATTATAATGTTTTAATAGTTTTTTGTTTATTTTTTTATTTTAGGTAATCCTCTCATTATAAATGTTGCCTTGCAAGGTTTTTTTGTTTTTATGATATTCTCCTGGAATTGTGAAGGCAAAAACTCAAAAATAAAGTATAAAAAAAATAAAAAATACAGAGGAAAATTCCCAAATGGCAACTACTAAGCAACAAAAGAGGAGCCCTAACCTCACGTTATTTGTGAACTGAAGCTGAATTTGGGCCAGAAGGCTCCTGATTGGTCCGTTGTTTGGGGTGTGACACAGTTTAAGAGGAGTTTTCGAGACCATCACTTGTTTTCCGACTCAGTCTTCGGGATCACAGCAGGGGTTAGCATTATGGTGTAGATTAGACCAATAATGGCCAATCTATACTTAAAGTTTGCAGTAAAACATGCACACAATTCACAGCTACGAAATGTCAGGCCTCATTTTATCTTATCTTTTCTTTCTGTAACAATCAGAAGGACGAGGTGAGAGGAGCAGAAGAGACAGAGGTGAGAGTGGAGGAGAGCTGATGGATGCAGGAGCCAAATCCTAGTGAAAAACTAGGATTTCAAGGAACAAAAAGTTCATTATGTCTTCTTCTGTATTTACAAGAGGTTCTTTTAATAAAACAAAAGTGTTAGGAAGATAGTACTGATTTGTAAAAAATTAAGACAGACTGTTCTGTTCACTGTGTTTATGGGGACAATTTCTAGGCGCAGCCTGGGATCGGAGGGGGTCCGGTTCGGGGACCAGAGGATTTAGGCCCTGTCCACACGAAGTCAAGCTCAGGCCTAAACGCAAAAATACTTTATCAATCCAGTGTATCGTCCATACGAGGCCGGCGTTTTGGGGGGGTGTAAACGAACATTTTTGAAAGTAGTTCCCAGAGTGGAAAGATTTCAAAACTCCGTATATGCCGCTCCGTGGTTACTGCCTCTCCGCAATGTATCTGAGACGCTTGCGTCATCGCCCCGCCTCTTGTTAAAGCACGCATGCGCCGCACTCAGAAAATAATGACAACAACAATGTAGCTTGTTGGTTTTGTAATCCAGTGTGACCCGAAGCAACAGTTCAACCTCATCGTCCGTCCATACTAATGTAGTACCAGCTCGCACACTCGCCATGTTGTCTGTTTACAAAATTCCGCGCATGCCCACGGAAGTTTGGGCTTGATCCCGTCATTGCGTCACAGCGCCACCAACAGGTCTGGCATAGTTTCACAGCGTTTTCAGGCGTATTGACTACATTCATATGGACGCACACATTTACTGAGCTAACTCCGTGTTTACAGAAAAAGTTTCTGAAATTATAAGCGTTTTGTCTTCGTGTGGATATAGCCTTAATCTCTGCTGTTTGCGGACGATGTTGTCCAGTTGGCTCCAACGAGCCAGGACCTGCAACATGCACTGTGAAGCGGCTGGGATGAAAATCAGCACCTCCAAATCTGAGGCCATGGTGCTCAACCGGAAAAAGGTGCCTTGCCCTCTTCAGGCGGGTGCAGCTTGCGCAGTGATGCGGTCGCTTTATCGGACCGTTGTGGTAAAGAGGGAGCTGAGCCGAAAGGCAAAGCTCTCGATTCACCGGTCAATCTTCGTTCCCTCTCTCACCTATGGTCATGAGCTTTGGGTAATGACCCAAAGAACGAGATCGCGGATACAAGCGGTCGAAATGAGCTTCCTCCGCAGAGTGGCTGGGCGCTCCCTCAGAGATAGGGTGAGGAGCTCAATCACACGGGAGCTCGGAGTAGAGCCGCTGCTTCTCCACATCAAGAGGAACCAGTTGAGGTGGCTCGGGCAGCTGTTCAGGACGCCTCCCTGGGGAGGTGTTTCGGGCACGTCCCACCAGGAGGAGACCCCGGGGAAGACCCAGGACACAGAGGGACTATGTCTCTCAGCTGGCCTGGGAACGTCTTGGGGTCCCCCTGGACGAGCTGGAGGAAGTGTGTGTGGATAGGGAAGTTTGGGCGTCTCTGGTTAGACTGCTGCCACTGCAACGGATAAAGCAGAAGATGGAATGGAATAGAATAGGATGGACTAAGTTGGGTTCAGAAGCAGCTTCAACTCTTAGTTTGTTCAGAGCTCTCTCCAGCTGGTACATTTTCAGTTGGTAGAGTTGCTCCAGACAGAATCAAAAAATATTATTCCAAGTCCTAACAACAGGTGCAAAGCAGAAGTCAGCGAACCGGAACGTGATGTTATCTGTGTTGGTCCACTATTGTTCATAGCTTATCCTGACCATGGTGAGGCCAACTCAAAGCTCAGCTCTGAAGAGTTCTGATGCAGGAAGTGACAAGATCTCACGCGTTCACATTCTCAAGTTGATGTGATCTAGATCAGGGGTTCCCAAAGTTTTTAGCCCGCGACCCCCATCATAAATGGCCTGCTAACCCGCGACCCCCGCCCCAACAGCCCTTCCGTCACATGAAATGAGCATGTATTTCCTTGATACGAAGTAACGCTTTCTAGAGACTCACGCCACTACCGAGCTGCACTGTCCAGCCCAAAAAAGGAGGCTTGAATATTTTTACTCATGTAGTGACACAGTGATGGGCTTGGTGGGCTCCCTCCTCAGCAGAAGTGGAGCGCATTTCTTGCGGCTCGCCCTACTGTTCTCCTACCGCGGTAAAGTGCGCCGGCTTTCCGGAGTCAGCGGTAAAGAGGTCCGCACATTAAAAGCGGGCGGCCGCTTTCTGCTGTTACTTTATGCGGTTCATCCCCGCGGCTTCTCTTTCCAAAGTTACTGTCAGTAAAGGCATAAACCGGCCACCCGCTTTTAATGTGCGGACCTCTTTACCTTTGACTCCGAAAAGCCGGGCCTCTTTAACGCGCTGTTCTACCGCTGTCCTCCCTCCCTCCGCTGCCCTCTCTCCCTCCTTTGCCCTCTCTCCCTCTCTTCGCACCATCAGCCTGACCCCTGATACAAGTGACTTTTCTCCCCCTCCGGGTTTTTCTGTTGTGGATATTAACCACGTTTCATTTTAAAGCAGGTATTATTTATTTGTAGCCTCCAAACACCTTTAGTTTTAGCAAACAGCAGGATACGCTTTGTCGCTGCGCATGACGTGAGCTGTGTTACGTGATGATTTTGATTGACGCTGCAATGACTGGGACAAAATTACTAACGTTATTAAAATATATTTTATAAATATATTATAAAATATATATAATAATATATATAAATGCTAAATAAATATTTAAGGGCTTTATATTTGCTCAAAAAAAATGATTTTTTTTTTGAGCAAAAAAAAATCATTTTTTTTTGTGTGTTAATCATCTTGCGACCCCCCCAGGGGTTCCCGCGACCCCCCGGGGGGTCGGGACCCCCACTTTGGGAACCACTGATCTAGATCAGTTAAGGGATGTTCTGTGTTTTAATCTAACAAATCAAGCGTGTGACTCAAAATGATTTTCTATAACATTAGTAAAATGAGTTACATAAATAGGGCAAAACAAAAAGGTCTGTCTTCCCTCCCCCAGGCCTCCAAACTGCACCATGTACAGCTCAGGGTGAATGCATCTGGACTTAACCATTTTAACCCTAACCTTTGTCTTATTCAGTTTGAACCATAGACTGTATATAAAACGGACAGTCACGCCTATCTCCGCCGTTCTAATGGGCCAAAAATTTTGCTCTACTGGAGCAATCCAAAATGGCCACGAGTGGTCCCGTCCACAAGAAAATGGTGAAAAAAAACGCATCTGCACATGCGTCAGCCGGTGAGAGCTCCATTCATTTGAACGAGAGACTTCAGTAATTCACAGCAAGTAAACTAGAGTGGACCAAAAAACATTCACCCCCCTCAGCATTGACACATGTGGAACATAGCTTTGGGCAAAGAGCCAACTTTTGGTCCATCCTGTAAAGACGTTTGAGAGGTCTGCCAACGCTATATGTTAGCATTGGCTAATTCTTCTGGGTCCACCCCCATCGGCCCGGGGTGGTATTGCAAGCACGTCAGCGCACGTCATTTTGGCCACTTGAGCTGGGACATGCCCCCACTGGTTTGAAGTTTTCCCCTTACACTTTGTAGGGAATTACGCAAGTTGATTTTCAAGTCAAATGCCTCCAGGGCAGCAATACATCCATGCAGAGGGAGCTGCGGTGTGGCTAGAGCTTAAACAGATACTCATTTTTATGTAGGACATGTTTGTCCCAATTTCTTTAACTTGTGGAATCTGTCCCAGTCTCTTCACAGCTTCAGTTGCAGATGATCCACTCAGGAAGACTTAAAATATGAATTCAACTTTAACAGTCTTTGCTATTGGATTATGTCCTCAAAGTGGGAAAAGTGACCCAACAATATTAAACTTTATAACTTGATTTTTCCAAATGCCACTATAACATGGAAGTTATGAAACTACAAGCAATTTCAAATGGCCACGTTCAGTATTAAAAAAACCCCCCCCGAAAAACAGCATTTGTGGTATTTTATTGGAAAGTTGCCATTTACAGATACACAGGACAGTCATTGCAGATGGAATGTTTCTAAATGGAATAAGTGCCATGAGGTCAGGCGAGACATGCAGCAGATCTGCAAAGTTTGGTGTACCACAAACATGAACAGTCCAACAGCGGTCATGAGTGACCACGAGGAGAGGGTCAGGGGAATGTGGCGGTGTGTTCAGGTCCTGTGTGCTCAGTTGTACAGCCAGTCGAAGGCACAGCTCTTGTAGGAGACTAGCTCCTCTGCCGTGAACCACAGGGAAATTTCTTGTGTGGCACTTTCTACAGAGTCACTGCCGTGGATGATGTTCCTGAAAGACAAAGCCATCGTTTTAAAACTGGTTCCAGTAAAATTAACCTGGCAAACAAGACCTTGAACTATAGATCCATGTTCACAGCACATCCACACAGTGGTGAGTCTCTTTGTGGCAGCCGTACAGATTTAACAATAAAAATTTCTTTCAGTAGATACCATGCATACAAAGCCAGCCATCCACTTTTCTAGATTTATCATAGTAATTCTGTTGACATTTGGAATACAATTATTCAAGAATGTCAGTTTATTCACAATAGTTTTAAATTGTCCAAAGATATGGCTTTGGTATTTTGAGTTTGCTCTGTAAACTAGGACGGGAGGGACAAGATGCAGCAGTCTGCTGTGAAAGAACTCATTAAAAATGTTTGAACCCATTTTCCCCAACTTGAGGTAGAGTCTACTCTTGGTCTAATGGAAAACCTGCAGCCCAACTGGCTTTCAGGACCAGTTTGGAGCCCCCTCTTTAGAGCATGCAACTCAAGCATGACCAATGCAAAAGGTGCAATACGGTGACGCAAATTAATGTTTGCTTACACCCGTCTGCATTGGTCATGCAATTTTACGTCCGTGGGAGATGTGGAAATACCACTAACTATGCTCTAAAGCTTGACCCTGGTTCAGAAGATCACTTCTCAGTTTGAGTTTTCCACCTTAGAGCTACAATCATGTAAAACCTGCAGTTACTCACTTTCCCACTTGGATGCAGAAGTCTCCTCGGATGGTCCCGGGGGCGGAGTCAGCGGGGTCTGTGGCTCCGAGCATCACTCTGCCGGTCTTCACCGCTCCCTTTCCTTCCCACACCTGTGAACAGCACGTTTCAGTTCCTACAGAGTCAATTTTCTATGGTCGCCGTTTGAATCTCAACTGTTCAGTGTCATGACTGTAGAAGGAATAAACCAAATGAGACATTTAGTGACTACATTCAAATCCAAGATTCAGTGAAAACTACTTTAGCCATTTCTCAATCTACTTTTATATTACCCTCTTGGGCTGCGCAATAAAGATGTATGCATAATTTTTAACTGGTGTCATTAAATCTTACAAAATGATAAGCAACACCTTTCACTAGTTTAAAAATTCATTTGACTTTCAAATCTTTTGATTAGCCTTTTTAGTGCTGTATAATGTCTACATAAGCTAAGCACAACAGTCTGAGGACTCGAGTTGTTGATTAGCCAACAGACTGTACAAATAAAAGGTTCGCCAGCACTTTCAGGTAATTAATCCCGGTCTGGGTCTGACCCCCAATGCCTTTTAGTCCCTTCTCTAATCAGTGAGTGCTAGTTTAACTCAACACTGCATGCACCTGAATGAGGAAACTCTACAGAAGACTGAAAGTGTGCCTCTTGCTCAGTTCCTGCATCAGCAAATCCAAATAATTTCTCCAGTCGAAACATCAACGCTCAGGTCTGCACTTTGCTACGTGTTCAGACCCACAAACAGCAGTTGGTTTGGACCAGGTCCAGAGCACTGATGCAGGGGCAGAAACTGCATGTGCCGAGCATATTATGATTAGCATTGCAGACTAGGTGTGTGACGATATAGCGATTTATTGCAATACTTTCTCCCGCAATTTGATTATCGATATGCATTTGCCAAGTATCAATATTGGAACATTTTTTTGAATTTGTATCAATACTTAATATATGGCTACATTATGCATCATGAAAGTGTATTTTTTGTTTATTTATGCCATAGATTGGCATATTTTATATTTCTGACCAATATCAAGCGTCATTTTCTGAGCTTTGTATCGTGAGGTACCCTTAGGTTCCCATCCTTATTGCAGACAGGATTGAATCCAATTATACCATCACGACCTCTCCATTTGCATGATATAGACTTGTCCGAAGAACTTTTAAACACACGGCTTCAGTCACACCACATGGAACATGTTTGTGCTGATGGTCCTTGGCATTAGATCAGCTCCACACACACACCACTTGTATTTTAACTTTAGCAGAGACCTGCGAGACGTGGCTCGTCACTCGGTGCTCTGACCATGTGAACAAGCAGTTTGCTGCTAAAAATGCTTTAACCCGCAGCACAGAAGAATGGGAAGATTAAAAAAGCAGTTCTCTGTGCGCAGGTGCCGAAGCTGTTGCAGGTATTGCTCTGCTTTCTCGGCTCTGATCCAGTAGAACGCATAGCTGCACTTATGAAAAGTACGCGGCTCGCAGGGCTGTTATTGCTAAATATTTTAAACTATGCGGTTAACCGGTTAATGAGGCTTGGTGGTCGGTCATGAAAATTCATAGTTTACATCCCTACTGCACATGTTTAGTTTGAGATCGGTGCCTTTGAGGGAGGGGGACCCTGAAAAGCCATTACACTGTTTACACCTCACTTAATTGGTGTATTCAAGAGTCATCCTGGGTCTTTGACACTTATTAGAGGCCTTAAAACGAACTTACCCCATTTTTATTTTGAAATTTTCCAACACTGGGGAATTTCATAGGGAACTTATTACTTACGACATAATTGTAGGACAGCCAAAAAGCAAGGCTCAACTGTAATTCAGAGACTAAGATTTTTTTCCATAGCAAAGCCTAGTTATTGTCGATTCATGAGCAAAGGTTACACACGTTTCTATCCCCGTTGCCTTTGTAAACATGGCACTTCCCACTACAGTAAAACACTTCCAGGTGCACACACTGACGTGTGTGGTGTGTATTCTCACCATGGCCACCACGGGTCCAGAGCTCATGTAGGCGATGAGTGAAGGGAAGAAGGGCCTGGTGGACAGGTCGGCGTAGTGCTTGCTCAGCAGCTCCTGAGAGGCCTATGAGCACAAAGACAAGTGAAGTTAAAGCTCAGCTGAGGACAGACTTCTGTTGACATGCAGGATCTCTACTCTGAGTCATTTAATCCTTCCCTTTTTCAAAGCCATTTCTGTGGTGGCAATTCATTCAAAACCCTAAGAAATGTTTCCAATTTAGTCTTTAAACCAAATACATTTTGTCATTTAGACAAAGGGACTATTTGCGCATCAAGCCCATCCATCCACATTCCTAACGGTGACTGTTGCACTCAGGAGTACCAGGAGGACACTCACTGACCATAAACACCTATTTTAGTTTAAAAATATTATATCATAATTATATAATTATATCATATCATAATATCATATTCTAAATTTCAATCACCGTTTCCTAAAACTTAAATTGATAAACATTTCTATTGGACGGTGCTTAAATGTATTTAACATGAAGTACAAAATATCCATTTAGTAGAGCAAATAAGACTCAACCCCAATACATTGTAGAGCTTTGCTCATCACAAGGTTTAAATACCAATTTTACCAAAACAGCACTAATGAAGGACCATCACCAGTCAACTGAAAATACATTTCTGCTATTGCAAAAACACAACTGCTAAATATTCAGATTTTAAATGCACAAATTATAAGCTTTGTCTACAGCTAATCTGCAGACAAAGCGTCCAAACACTAAGTTTCTGTTCAAAGGCTTTTTCCATAAAAAAGGCTGTGGATCTCCAAAAGCAGCAGTGTCTCAGCTGCTCTTTAAGCCCAGCATTGAGCCAGGTGAGCAGGAAGCACATTTCTGCTCAGCCCGAGCAGCAGAAAAGCCTTGTTCAGCTTCGGTCCACACTGCCTTTGTGTAACACTTGCACCGGGCCGTGTCAGAGGTCAGACTGTAGCTCTAAAACAGGCCTTGTGCTCCTGGAATAGAGACCCTAATGAGCTCACCCCTGCAGCTTAACGCACTCTGAAATCAGTTATGTGGTCGTGTCCTCAGTGGGGAACTGACAAGCCTCAGACTTTGAAAATTTGACTTCAGGCTCGAGTTGATTTGGGAAAGAATGTTAGTTTGTGCTGCTATATTTGGTTTGACTGTCAGTAACTATAGCAGTTTTAAAATAAGTTGACAAACATTCCAAAAAGCCACTGTAGACACACATTTAAGGTCTTCATTTGACTTGTAAAGACCCCTCTTAACATTTATCCAAGCAGAACATTCCAATGGCCCAGTCAGAGCCTCAAGAACTTTACCTGGATCAGCTTCAGGCCCACCAGCTTGAAGCCTTTCTGCTCAAAGCGCTTGATGATTTCTCCGATCAGTCCTCGCTGCACGCCATCTGGCTTGACTGCGATGAATGTGCGCTCCTCGTGCTCAGCCATTCTTCTACAAGCAATAAAAACATGAAAAACAATCCATCAAGCAAAGTCCCACTGTGCCACTCACTTTTTGGCGTTTGGAGTGGGGCCGGCCGCTGAGGGAGCCGACCCCATGACACGCAGAGGGGAGGCAGAGTCAGCCTGCCCCACACACACACGCAGAGGGGAGGCAGAGTCAGCCTGCCCCACACAAACACAGGAGGAAGCCCTGCCCACGGCTTTCACTTAAATCCTCCATCAGAGCAGTTCAGATTACTACACCATTAGCCTTACAAACAGTTGTGTTTTAAAGCTCACTGGGCCGTATTCTTGAGTGGCTCTGTATCCAACGTTAACGCAGCGCATTCTCAACTACCACAAATACTAGTCATGTTAAAAGGCACAATACACACCATAGAGAATTGATTGAGACTTTATGATCAAGAATCCAAAAATGTTGCCAAAAAGATCAATTTACTGTCTAGGTTCAGGCGTGCTTCAACGTTTGAGAGTGCCGATATTTGACATCTCTGCCAAGGATTTAAACGTCAATTAATGACACTGGGCAAGGACTATGCTTTTGTGCTCGTCATTGAACTCATTCCTGCTGTGAGCACAAAGACATAGGGCAGGCCAATAAATCCATCAACCAAGCTTATAAAACAAGCATGTCAAAACTCAGGCATGTGGGCCAAAGCCAACCGGCAAGACAATTTTTAGTTGCCCTTAAAATTATTTTAAATCAACTTTCAATCTTGATGGATAAACTACCAAGCCATGGTTTTACCATCATCTATTTTCTCAAACAATTTATTTTAACTTTTCACCCAAAACGTTATTCTAAGTAAATTTAAAGGAGGATCCGTGAGGGGCTGGTGCTCCGAGTTGAGTGGCATCTGATTGCCACACCCGACCCAGACATGAATTAAGAGGAAGAAAATGTATGGATAATGTATAACTTTATATTTGGTCAAAACTAAAATTACAAAATACCTTTATATTTGAAAATCAGAAGAAATTAGAAAGGATTTCCTAATCTTTCAGCGCCGGAACATTTCTGGGCTCTGATTTGAGTGTCATAGTTTTCAGAAAAAGATTAAACAGTTTGTAAAAAATTTTACCAAGCCATACTGGCAATACAATAGATTTAACTATTGCCATATCGCCCCACTCTAAAGCACAGATAGCAAAAACTTAAGAATTGATTCACTTTCAAATGTAAGTAGCCCACACCTGAACAAAGCTGAAAGCCCTATGGTTCTATGTTTAAACAGGAAGATAGTTCCTTTTAATTATGCAACTAAGATGCAGTTTTATGCGACATTGACAGCTCATCGACTGCATTTTAATCAGACTTCAGTGATGTGGCAGTAATGGTGCAGTTTCCATCACCTGATTGGATACAACACTAGCTAAAACTGCTCATTTGTCCTTCCATTTTGTCAGCACCAGCCCCACTTCATTTTGATGAGAACAGGTTAAATGCACAGCCATTTTCTTAGTTTGAAACCAAAGCACATGGATGTGACAGGTTCCAGATCAGGGTTTCCAAAACATTACATTTTAGTTCTCCAATTTCAAGAACAATGAAACACTTGCGCATAGACTTAATCTGCATTTAGTGGCTATTATAGACCCTACACTTTTGAATGCAGCGAGAGACAGAGACTGAGACACTTCCTGCTCTTATGAAGCATTTAAACACCAAATATATATCTGTCCTGAATGTGCGCTGGAACATCAGCGTTTACCCACTGTGGGATAAATAAAAGGTTCCCTCATCTGACCTACAAGGAGAGACATCAACTCTGATTTCTAGGCCATAACCCTCCCTGCGGCCCTGTACTCTTTGAGCAGAGTCCTGTCACATTGTCTGGCTCAGGCCTAGCTAGCTTCTTGTGTTAGCCGACAGCACAAAGACTAGCCCCATGGACAGAACAGACGCGGAAATGGCCCTAAACCACGTGCTGAGGGGCGGAATAAACGTGGCCTGCAATACGTAAACTCTGGAATAACGATAGCGATGGAAATAGAATACAAAATTAGAGCTTTCTCACGTGGAAAGTGCAGGTCAGGACTCGGCGAGAACAGACTGAAGCGTGTTCACGTTGAGAAGGGAAAGACATTCGGCTCGGTGGGATTTTATACTCCTCCCTACGGCAAGCGCAGAGGGACAAGACGTATGGCGCGTTCCGTTTCACCACGCTTTAAAAACCCATCCATAATGTAAATGTACGTTGCTAAAGCAGATTAATATAAGAGGGTTTAGGTAGTGGATTATGTGTATGATGCATTTACATTCAGACGGACATTGAACAGAACAGGATTAAGATAAAAAGGTTAACAGTTATGAGGTGCTTTGGTGGTATAAGATATGATAAACTTTATCGATATCACAAAGAGGAAAATCAGGTTGTGCAAAAAATATGTTACTGATATATAGATGCTTATTATTCAATCAAATTAAATGAAATAATGTTTTTTTAAAAGCACTTTTCGGAACACTCAAAGATACTTCACATGTTATTAGTAAGTAATGCTTATTTATATAGCGCATTTTACAGACCAAGGCGCTTTACAATGTTCAGAGTTCAGATATTGTTCCAATCATTCCAAACACGGACAGAAGCGAGTCACCAAACACACTTGCGCATCAGCCCCCAATCCACACCATCCATTCAGTCTCTCCCTTTACAGTCTCTCTCCCTAAAACCTTCAAACAAGGTCAGAAATCTAGGGGTAATACTGGACTCAGACTTAAATTTTAATAGCCACATCAAATCAGTAACATCAGCAGCTTTTTACCATCTAAAAAACATTGCCAAGATCAAAAACCTAGTGTCTAAAGCAGTCCTGGAGATTCTTGTCCATGCATTTGTCTCCAGTAGGTTAGACTACTGCAATGGCCTGCTCACAGGTCTGTCCAAACAGGCTGTAAAACAGCTGCAGTACATTCAAAATGCAGCAGCTCGAGTCCTGACTAGAACCAGGAAGTACGACCACATTAGTCCAGTCCTCAGGTCTCTGCACTGGCTTCCTGTGGCTCAGAGAATAGACTTTAAAACAGCTCTGCTTGTGTACAAGTCTCTCCATGGCCTCGCACCAAAATATATTAGTGACATGTTAGTCCCATATGAACCAGCCCGGACTCTGAGGAGCACAGGGACTGGACTCCTGTTAGTGCCCAGAGTCAGAACTAAACATGGGGAGGCTGCTTTTCAGATTCATGCTGCTAAAATCTGGAACAATCTTCCTGAAGATGTGAGACAGGCCTCCTCAATGACAATGTTTAAAACCAGGTTAAAGACAGTTCTGTTTAGCTGTGCTACAAGTGAGGGATTTTATATTTAGGCCCGAGCCCCGAACGGGGAAAGGGCCTATTGTTTTTACTCGAGAGATGTCAAATTCTGCACTTTGAGCCTTAATTTCACCCCCTGAACATGCATGAAAAGTTGTAAAATTTTGCCCAAACAGCACACCTGGTGAAAAATTTGATATTTGGGTGTTTATTTTTATGGGACTCAAAAAATGCCAGAACAGCGCCACCTACAACAGCCAATGGGAGTTTCAGAGGTCAAGTTTGTCGTAGAGCCATGAAATTCGGTACACATGTTCCTCAAGTCAAGATACTAAATTTCACTGCAAAATGGAAAAATGATCCGCAATCATTTTCATACATGTTGGTTGGAAAGCGACTCCTCCTCGGCCGTTTCACCGATTGGCCTCCATATCACTCCATATTGTCTAAACACATGTACCATCAAAATGACCTCAGGGATTTTTAATCAACATTAATTTTGCTCCCGTTTGCACAAACAAAGTCTGATTTGCACAAAACTTGAATCCAATGTTCAACTCCAGGGTTTAGGTCAGGTGAAAGTGAAATATTTGAAATTGGCCCAATAGCGCCCCCTACAGATTGAGGCAAAGTTTTACATGGGGTGCCAAACAGCTCTAATCATCATATTCATTACAACTTGACTAACGTTCTTCTATGGCAACAGCAACAAATCATCACACGGCGGCCCCACCTTCGTTGCACGGTGCTGCGTGGTACGGTCTGGTGCGGCGTAGTGCGGGGGATTGTGGAGCGGCGCGTTACGGCTTGGTGCTGATCCGCTTGGTGCGGGGCGGCGTGGTGCGGGGCGGCGTGGTGCAGGGCGGCTTGATGCATGGCTGCTTGGTGCGGGGCGACTCGGTGCGGGGCGGCTTGATGCGGGGTGGCTTAATTCGGGACGGCTTGGTGCGGGGCCGCTTGGTGCGGGGCCGCTTGGTGCGGGGCCGCTTGGTGCGGAGCAGCTTGATGCGGGGCGGCTTGATGCGGGGCGGCTTGGTGCGGGGTGGTGCGCACGGTGCAGCGGGGTGGTGCGCACGGTGCAGCGGGGTGGTGCGCGCGGTGCGGCGAGGGCCGTTTGACGCCGCTTGCGGCTTTAATTTTATCTTTCTTTTTAATGTTCTGTGATTATTTATGATTTTAATGCTTTCTTGTTTTGTTCAGCACTTTGAATTGCCTTGTGTATGAATTGTGCTATATAAATAAACTTGCCTTGCCTTGCCTACAGTCATACCTACACAGACACGGGGAGAACATGCAAACTCCACTCAGAAAGGCCCTGGTCCGACCGGGATTCGAACCCAGGACCTTCTTACTGAGAAGCGAGGGTGCCATCCACTCCGCCACCGTGCCGCCATTAGTCTATCATTCCATTCGCAGTGATGAGAAGATACTAATGGAGCCACAGCTGCCCTGAGGCACACTGACACACTGACAGAACCAGCATGTGCTATCGGCCCCTTCGACCACCACCAACCATTCATGCACACACCAGAATCATTTCAATGTGGGTGAAGACACAACCACAGTTTGGCAAAAAGCATGGTCTCACATTGATTAAGAACTAGTATAATTGTATAAAAGGTTGTTGGTCTGCCCACTCATGATCAGTCGGCCTGCTTCTAAAGTATTGATAATTAATATATTGAGAAGCCGTATACAGCCACTTCAGTCCACTCTGGTTCAAAGCAGGCGTTCAGAAAGATTCATAATCCAAAGTCTGAATGCGTTCTATGGTCTGGTCTTTTATTTGTTTATTCATTTTGTTGGGACAGATCAAGTTAATAAACACACCTCTCCGGATTGTTGCCTTGGATTGATTTGTATCCATTGTCCCACAGTCACACACACAAGCACACAAACACACACTCATTCACCCTGAACTAATGTACACATTTTTAGTGGTAGGGGACACCGTAGCACCCGGGGGAAACTGGCAGACTCCACATAGAAAGGCCCCGTCTGGAGGGGCAATGCTGATCTATCTCTATGCATTTATACATTTTTTGTAACAAAAGAAAAAAAAAAGCCT